AAAAAAAAAAAAAGAAAGACAACTTAACCTCTGACACCTCCCCTCCATCCCCCAATCCAGCATCCAGAAACACCTCCGATCCCATCGAAGCGACGACTCGAGACCCCTACAAACGAAACCTCGCAAACCTAATAATCGGAGCCTGCCTAGGGTCACGGGGATGACTCACTCACGAATGGAACGCCATCCTGATTCCCTGACATCCCCCGAATCCTCATGACCGCGCCGTACTTCAACCAATGAACTGGATCCAAAACGCATGCGGACGGCCGTCGTGCAACTATGCCCATCCAACCACCGTCTCTGTCCACCCTCTCTATTCCCACAGAAGTGGTCCACAACGCACCTAACCTGAATGCGGATGGCTCTCAGAAATACCAGTAGGTGTTAGTCTACAGATTCGAAGAGTGACAAGGTGTTTTGGAATTCCAATTCCAATTCTCAGAAGCTGTAGCTGGCGTAGCTGGCGCAGTGGTGGGGCGAATCATTCCATCCGAAAATTGGGCTTTGTCCTACTTTGCAGGCCGTTTGACTGGGGGTGTAAGTTTATGCTTCTTGTGTTTGTTTAGCCATCCCTCCACTTCACTCCACTCCACTTCGATTCAAGAAAAAAAAAACCCCCCAATTGGTGAGTTGTATGTATTCTGGGTAGCCAGGCCGGAACGTACACTGGGATTCCCCGGAGCGAGAAAAGCTTAATCTTAAGCTTAACCTTAACCAGCATTAGGCAGGCCAGGGTAGGTAAGTACGGCGAGTGCCCTTGTTTCTAGCTTCGTGGCGTCGGTGCTTACTGGGTAGTACTAGTGCTTGACCGGATTGGTTAAGGGTGGGTAAGAGCCTGAGGTATGCCTGCGCATGGTTGGCGGTGCCCGAGTGTCCGGGTCATTCGGTTGATGTGGTTGGCTGCGGGCAGTGAGCGATCAGGTATCACTATGTGCCCTTTAGGCGGTGTTGATGATAGTGATACTACCGCTGCGGTGGCTTCCCGCTGAATAGTAAATCTGTACATATGCATGCACTTGAGTATCTACTGAATGAGAGGTGGGGGGAGGAAAGAGAGACAAACAAGGACAAGAGGGAAGCAAGAAACCATGCATGCCCCCAAAGTGAACTTGTTGACGAAAAATCATGACTGCCCCCTTAGCCCTTCTCTCACCGGCATGAACGAGAGAGGTACAGTAGGAATGATGTCAGACTGAGTTGAGTCTCCTACACACTAGCTACGTAGCGAGTGCACCCCTCTATCACCGGGGATCCCTCCCCTTCCCCGGCCAGGACTGTCTTCTGCCGCTGTAGCCAAACCCCCATTGGATTCCTTGTGGCGGCGGATGCTTGGTGCAGTTATTCTCTGAGACTCACACCCAACTGGCTGATGAATGACCGTGGAACATATCACGGACTGGCACTAACTTACCTAGTAGACAAGTATTGTCATGGATGGATGGATGGATGGATGGATGGATGCACCGCACCGAGACGTTCCCTGCTGAATGTACCTCTGCACCTACCTGACCTACCTACCTACCTACCTACTTCCCCTTTAGGAAAATAGGATTCTCACACCTACTATAAAAGCGCCAGGTTGGTACGTAACTGCTGTCTTCCAAGTTGCGCAATGGATTCAGCATTTGGTTTGTAGAGGACTTGCCACCCACCGTCGAACAAGCGAAAAGCTTTCTCAGTCCAACCAAAACTACGGCACAACCTTTTAATTAGTGCCTGGCGGGGATGGGCCGTTGATGAAAAGAAAAGCCCTTTGGCTTTTTGCCTGTTGGGAGGAAGATTTTTTCTTCTTCTCGTGCTGTGAAGGTGCTTGGAAGTTGGGTGTAGCATGTTACAGTACTAGGTAGTTCTCTTCGTGCCCATCCGTCCTGGTCTCTCAGGAGGAGGTCATCAGACTAGCATCTTACCATGACAATCGTAAATACTGCATCTGCTAGCTGTACTTCTTCCCTCGCCATGGACTTCGCAACTCGCAGTGAACTTCACAAATCACTTTTCCGCAAAAATGTTAAGAGTTTGGGTTTGAGGTGGAACCTTCCGAGCATTTAGTTATGTCCTTTGGTCTTCAGAGTAAAAGGGAGGGTATATTCAAATCCCTTCTGATTACATTATGCCATCTATCTATATGTGTACCAATCCATCAATCTATCAATCTAAGTTTCCAAGTATCCAACCAATATATCGCTTTTGATGTACCCCGCCAGTATCAAACCACCTCTTCCCCGAGAAGGACAACGCATGGATAAACCAAGCGTGAAGAGTAAAAACCGAAAGAGGGAATGGCAAGAGTCGTGGCACCGAAGAGAAGCAAACGGGACAATCGAGAACCGCACCTCAGCCAACCACACCATTTCCCACCAATCTGAACCATCCCTCCCAAAGACACACCACACTGCAGATCCCTTTCACAACAAACTACCTACCAACAGCATCCTCCCTTCTCTGCCGTCTAAACCGCAAACCGACTCCACCCACGGATCTTCACCCCCCACCGATAGAACCCATACGGCACGGGCACCATGAGCGCACTGATGGCCCCCAGGATCGTCAGCGTCCAATGCACGCCCATGTTCTGGTAGAACGGCACGCCCACGACGGTCATCCCGCCGGCGGCACAGTAGCGCGAGACCGTCATGAAGCCCAGCGCCGACGCGGCGTAGATGTCGTACGCGTCGATGACGTACATGTACGAGGAGATGAAGACGGTGATGGTACCGAAGCCGAATACGGCCGAGGCTACGATGGGCGACCACACCGACACGCTGGCGTACGAGGTCCAGCCCATCCAGAAGAGGCTGACGGGGATGAACGGGCTGCCGATCATGGCGAACCAGAGCCGGTTTTCGGGGCGCGGGGCGTGATGGTGGTGGTGAGGCTTCTCGTCGGCGGTGGCTTGGGGCTGCTGCGGCTCGTGCGGGTTGTTCGGGTTGGGGTCGACTGGTTCGTCGGTGTCAGAAGATGATGGCGACGAAGAGGCAAGAGCGGCTTGTTTAAACTCTCGCTTCGTCCAGCGGTAGATGAGCGGCACGAATAACCCCGCGAGGACGATCCCGACGTACATCGCGACCCAGACGATGTTGGTGAGGCCCTGCGAGAGGCCGTGGATGTCGGAGAAGATGTAGGTGTACCCATCAAAGAAGGTGAACAGCACGATGTAGATCACGGTCATGTAGAGGGAGATCAACAGGATGATGGGCTCGTGGATGGTGAGACTGAATTGTCGGATGCATGCGCCGCTGATTCGGGAGAGCAGCGCGGTTTTCTGGAGATCCATGGAGGACTTGTAGCGCGGATCCCCCGTGAGGTTCCGGAGGTGGCGGGCCTTCCATTTGAGCAGCATGGGGCCATACGTTTCCGGCTGCAGCAAAAGGATCAATGCAAAAATGAGTCCGGACATAATCAGGATGATCCAGTTGGTCCACCGCCAGGAGAGCGTGCCCTCGCCCATGTACGATGCGATCACCGGACCGAGCACCGGCCCGCCAAACGACAGGATCGCATACAGAGGGAAGGTGAGTGTCTTTTCCAACGGATTCCACAGATCAGCGATGGTCCCTCCAGCGCAGGTCAACGGAGGACAGCCAAACACGCCAGCCAGGAACCGAAACACGATCTGCGCCCCGATGTTCGGCGCCAGCCCAGAGGCCATGATGAAAATCATGAACAGGGTCAGAGACCCCGTGTACACAGCGTTGCGGCCAACGACCTCGGACAGAGGGCCAGACACCATGGAGCCAGCGGCGAACCCAAGCAGGTACATGCCCGTGGCCAGAGAGGCGACGACATCGCTGACATGGAACGCAGCGGCATTCTGAGGCATCACCCCCGACTCAATCGACGACGCACATCCCACGGCAAACGCCAGCGCCGTCACGAGCAGGGTCGCCGAAATCCGCGCGCCGCGGCTGTAGTTGCGTGGGTTGATGGGGTCATGGTCATGTTCCCATTCGACGAGGAGAACGGAGGAGGTGGTTCCATCGTCGTCGACAATCTCTTTCAGCTGCACTCCGGGCAACTGAAGGTACGGTGGATGCCGCTGGGCGTTGTTGCTCGTGACATCGCCTCCGGTCAATTCGTCGGTCTTCTCGGCTCGGGAAAAGCCCGGATACTCTTCTTCGAGCTGCCTGCGCACGGCGTGGCCGATGCGTCGATACTGAAGATAGGCCTGCATGAGAGAGTCAGTGAAACAGACGCAACTGTTGCGGGTGGGATAAAAGCACCAAAAACCGGAATGACAAGACGGGAGTGAAAAAAGAAATGGAGAGAGAAACCTTGACGACATGGAGACAATAAAAGGCCCTGCTGATTAATGGGACGGTGATAAGAAATGAGAAATTGCGAGCAAAAAGGTGGCTCGAGACCGGAAGAACGCCGACCTCACATCCTTCGAACCCACCAGATCCACTTTTTCGAAGGCCAGAGAAGGAAACTAATTCCTAACTCCTTGGACTATCCGGGAGGGGCAGTATAGTCCGCCTGTAGGAGGTGAGGGATTTGGGAGGATTTGGGATGATCCTCGGGTCACCGAAGGCGAAGAATCAAGTCGATGACGCCTGAGGCCACACTAGCCACACTAGCTCAGTGGGTCTGCCGGAGATCGGCCTGAAGTCCGGTCGGTGCCTTAACTGACTCGGGCGAGAAGAGAACTTCCTGCTTGCCCGCCTACGTAAGTAGTGCTTGCAGTGCTCGCAATATTTGCAAGTCGGCTTTCCTTGCTTCCAACTCATGATCCCACCCATCATAAACGAAAAAGCCCGCAGGAAATCTCTCCCTTTGCAATTTATGAACACATCCTATTAATAAACAAAGAATAGAGATCCTGTAATGAAAAGAGGTAGGAGAGATACATAATGAAAAGATAACGGGGTCAGGGCTTCCCATGGACGCTCAGCATCGCAAGATCCCTTCTAGATTTCCATGAATCCCAATCACTCGCTCCTTACTCGCTATCTCCAAAGTCATCTCCCGAGTCATTGCCCCCTCCCACAATATCATCGCTATCATCATCGTCAATCACATAGGTCTTCTTCTTCGTGGTGGCCGTGCGCCGCGAAGGCCGACTGACCGGAGCCGCCGGCGAGTCCAAAATGTCATTGGCCATGGCATCGATGTCATCGTCGGACAGATCATCCGCCAGCTGCTTCTTCTTCGCAGCGGCGCTGGTCTTCGCCTGCTTTGAAGCATATGCCTTGGCTGCTGGAGACAGGGTTGTCTGTTTTGTAGGTGCGGCAGCTGCAGTCTTGGTGGTGGCATCCTTCTTCGGGCGACCACGCGTCTTGGCGGCCGGTTTAGCAGCAGTTGAAGCAGCAGCCTTACCCTTGGCGGCTGGCTTCGCCTTAGTGACCGCTGGCTTCACAGGCTCATCCTCATCGCTATCATCCAGCAGAGTAACGGGTTCCTTGGACTTCACCTGAAGGGAACGCCGGGGCGAGCCCTGGGGCACCAACTTGCTGTAGTCGGTCTCGTCCGCATCGAAGTCAGGTGAGGCCTTGGACGGCTTGGTGCTGGTCAGTCCCGAGCGGCTGCCCGGCCCAGACTGCTCCGAGAAGAGCTCGAGAGAATTCGACGTGGACCCGCCCGCGGTGCCACCGATCCCCTTCACCATCTTGCTCACGTCTCCCAACAAGTCATCTCCGTTGTCGCTGTCCGAATCACTCAAGGCGTACTTGGTTGCCTTGCGAGCCGCCCGCGCGGGTTTGGGGGAGGGCTTGGCAGCCTCAGAGGCCTGAGCTTTGGCGATTTCGAGGAAGGCATCGTCGTCGAGGTCGTCATCGTCTGCAGGCTTCGACTTGGGCTTCCGTCCACGCTTGGGAGCTTCTTTGACTTCGGAGCTTTCAGGGTCTTCAGACTTCACCCTAGCAGAGGCCTTGGAGGTAGCTCGACTTTTCTTGGGCAAGATCTCAATGTCTGAATCACCCGAGACTGGCTCTTCCTTCTGGACAGATTCGGGTTTCGACGATCCACCTCGGCTCTTCTTAGGAAGGATTTCCAGGAAATCGTCGTCGGAGTCGTCGTCGATCGGCTTCGCAGCGGGCTTGGCAGGAGATTTGCTCAAGAAATTGTGCAGTGTTCCCTTCGGTGCGGCCTTCTTCGCAGCAGCCTTCTTGGTCTTTGGCGCAGCAAAGTCTTCATCATCGGGATCCTCATCAAGGGCCGCCTTACGCTTCCGACCGACAGGTCCACGAGCGGCAGTCATCAACTTGGAGGAGGCACGACGACCCATTTGCATGACCTTGCGCTCGCGACGGGCCTCGTCTTCCAGCTGGAATCGCCACTCATTGATGAAGTCATCGAGATCCTTTCTCCAGATGTCTTCCTTGGACAGCTTGATCAAAGCGTCAACTTCCATTTCCTTGTCCCCAATTTGCTTCCGGAGTTTCTCCACGCGCTCCTGCGTCAAGGACCAGATAGCCATGCCCAGCAAGTAGTCGTACGCATTAGAGAGGTTGTCAGTGTCCTTCTCGTTGGCCGACTCCTCCTCTTCATCCTCGAGAGCCGGCTCAGTCTCGCCCGCCTTGACGGCTTGAGCAACCTTGGGGAACGGCTTGAAGCCCTTGTCTTTCAATTCAAGAACGAGGGCCGCCTTCTTCTTCTTCGAAACAATCAGATCCCCGTCAATAATCATCTGAATGAAGCGGGCCTGGTTGCTGAGTTTGTCCAATTCTTTTTGCAGCTCCGAGAGCTGATGTTGCTTGCGTCGCTCGTAAAACTTCAGACGGAGCGCATAAAACTCCTTAAGGATGTCATCGACTGTCGCATACTTCGTAATCCGGCCTTCCGGATCGAAAGCGACCAGATTGGTGGTGGCAACAGTCTTTGTAAGCTTGAACTTCTCTTCCAATCCTTCAGACAATGCGGACTTCATGTTCTTTTCGTCCAGCTGGATGACGAAATGAACCTTGGTGTGGGTGTTGTAGTCCTTGTAGTCCTTGATGAAAGAGGGCGTCTTCTCGGCCTTGATTATGTCTTCAAGCTTGTCCTTGAAGTCCTGAGTCCAGGTACGGATAGGGAGTTCGGTGATTTCCACTTCCTTCTCCCCGGTTTCCTTGATGACACCGCTGAATTTGAACCGATCGCCGCCAATGTCGGTAACTTCACCAGTGAAGCCTCGGAACCAAGGTTGCATAGGCTTGGTTGGCTCACCGTCCATCATACGTCTCAAGTTGTCCACGATATCCTCTGGGTTGTAGTTGGGAATAGAAGAACTCCAACCTGTACCGATACCATCTGCACCATTGATCAGGATCATGGGAACGACTGGTACGTAGGTCTCCGGCTCAATCGTAGCTCCGTCATCAACGTTGTAGGTCAGAAGAGGCTCATCCGCTTGGTGGAAGACACGACGAGCGAACGGAGACAGCCGAGTGTAAATATAACGCGCACTAGCACAGTCGGATCCACCCTGGAGACGACTACCGAAGTTACCACTAGGCTCCAGGACGTTGAGATTGTTGGAACCAACGAAGGTCTGCGCGAGGCCGACAATGGTCTGTTGCAGTGAAACATCACCGTGATGGTACGCGGTCATACCCGAAACGTGACCAGCAAGCTCGACAACCTTCATATCCTTCTTCAAGTTGCGACGGAAGCAAGTGTACAAGACCTTGCGCTGACCAGGCTTAAGACCATCAACAACTGAAGGAATAGACCGGACGTTATCCGCCATACTGAACAAAATAAGCTCCTTGTTGATGAAGTCGGTATATGTAATCTTGGACACGGAGTGGTCGAGGAACGTTCCAGGCTTGAACTGGCGAAGCCATTCCTTTCGCTCATCCGCCTTCTTTTTGGAAAAGGCGAGTTCAATGAGCCCAGCCTCGTTATCCTGCAAAGTATGGAATTCCTTCAAATGACGATCGAGATCACGGAAGTAGACCTGAGCATCTTCAGTGGTGCTGGTACCCAGACCCTTGTAGTACTTGTGCTCCCAGCCGCGTTCATGTTTGTGCTCTTCCTTCCACACCTCATATTCTGGCATCGTGAAGAAAGACCGTTGCTTGGTGGGATTCTTGGGATCACCCTTCCACACCTTGACAATGGGAGTGATGAACTCGATCAGGAACTCAGGAATTTTCAACAAACTGGGGAATTGGGCCTGGAGGAAGTTGATGAGCAACCCCTTGATGTGACTGCCGTCGTGATCCTGATCCGTCATGATCATCAAGTGACCATACCGAAGACCGCGGGTGTCGGTGTATTCCTTCTTGTGTTGAAGACCAATGAAGTTCTTGATGTTCTGAATCTCTGCATTCTTCGAGATCTGATCAAAGGACGCATCACGCACGTTGAGCAGCTTTCCTCGAAGCGGGAACACACCGAACAGGTCAGGACCAACAACTGATCGTCCAGCCACGGCCAGACCTTTGGCTGATTCACCCTCAGTCAAGATCAAGGTGCAGTGATGGCCGTCCTTAGTACCAGCTTTGTTAGCATCCGTCAATTTGGGGTTGTTCATGCGGCTGCGCCGGCCACCGTCGGTCTTCTTCAACATCTGATCGGCCTTTTGCTGGGCAAAGTGCAAGATGTTGTTCATCACTTCTGTCTTCAGGACCTTTTTGTAGAAATCGTCATCAAGAACGCATTTGCTACCGAATTGAGATGTTTTGGTCGTGAGTTGTTCCTTGGTCTGGGAGGTGAACGCTGGGTTGACAATCAGGGCGTTGACGAAGATGAAGATGTGGTTGCGGATTTGGGCTGGCTTCAACGTGGCGCCATTCTTGTTCTTCTTCTTGACAGTCTCGGCGAGCTTACTACAAATCTGATCCGCGATGTAATTCACGTGTGTACCTCCTTGGGTAGTCGCGATGGAGTTGACAAAGGACACCTGCTGGAAGGAGCCATCAGAGACCGCAAACCCGACCTCCCATCGAGGGTCCGGGCTGCAGGTGATGATTTCATCTTTGGCTCCCGCGCCCTCCTCGCCGCGCTCCCTCCTGATAGCCTTGGTGTACATTTCCATATACTTCTTGAAGTTCCGGACGGGAACGCGTGTACCGTTCAGCTTCACGGCCACCTTCGCTGTTCCAGCCAAGTCATAAACACGGCGTTTGACAAGCGCCTCGAAATCATCGTCAATGCCCGTCATTCCGAACTTGGCGAAGTCAGGCTTGAATGTGACCTTTGTGTAGTCTTCTCCCTTCGCATCGGTGATTTTGGGCTTTCCACAATTCAACATGTTGTTGGTCCAGATCTGCTTATACCTTTTCTTTTGGCGTGAGTCCTGTGTTTCCAGTATGAACTCGGTGGAGAACACGTTACAGAGCTTAGCACCATAACCGTTTCGACCACCCGTGACCTTCTGTTGCTCGTCGTTGTAGTTGGACGAGGTTAAGAGGTTACCGAAGATGAGCTGCGGAATGTACATATCCTCGGTCTTGTGCCATTCGATGGGAATACCATTGCCGTTGTTCCACACGCTGATCTCGCCGGCTTCCCGGTTGACCGTCACGCGAATCTCATCCATGCTTTGGTCATTTTGTTTGTTGTCGGCGGCGTTGACGACAATTTCGTCGAAGATCTTATAGAGACCTGGAACGAACGAGACCTCGCGGAATTCCATACCATCCATTTCCGAGTTGTAAACCCACATCTGCTGTTCTGTGCGTTCGACGGATCCGACGTATGTATCGGGACGTTTGAGGATATGCTCGCGCGGATCAAGCTAGAGGACCAATTATCAGCTTCCCTGTCTACCGGCGCAACAACATTTTCAGCATTCGCAAGTCTTACCCTCTGGAACTTTTCCGATGCGTCCATAGCAGCATCATCACCAGCGGAGTCAGCCTTTCCAAACGACTCGTTCTCAACGTCGGCAAGCGGCTTGCTGCCTCCTTTCTTCGAAGCGGCCGGTGCCTTCTTGGCCTTCTTAGGAGGAGTGTGAGACATGATAGAGTCGATATCGGACAGGGGGTCGGCGTCGTCCATTTCATCGTCGCTGTCGGGCTTGGTCCGCTTCTTGGGCGCTGGTTTGGATGCAGACTTTGCCGTCAACTTAGTCTGGGTTGGTTTCTTAGGCGCTGCCTTTGAAGCTGCTGCTTTTTTGGGCGCCGCCTTGGCCTTGGGTTTCTGTACCGCGATCACGCAACAATTAGTGTTCGTCGAATGAAAGCCGGGGGCAGATCGAAGCATACAGGAGCGGGTTCAGGGGCGAAGTCGGATCCATCGTCCTCGAAGACGGACTCCACCATGGAATCATCCATTGTGGATTGAGTACGCTCGGGGCGCGTGTGAAAGAGTGAACGAGGGGAAAGGAAGGCAAAGAGTGACAAGATAGGAGTACGGAAGAAGAAGATTAGTTAGTGTGAAATCAGCCTCGCTGGTGGAGACTTTCTGATGTACAAGAGGGAATAGTTGGGTGTTGTATGAAGAAGTAACCTGTCCCCCAACTGGTTACCTTTGTTGTCGGCCGTGTTTAGTTGTTTTGTCGTCGTTCTTTGTTGACGCGCTGTTGCGACTGAGCGGCGATTCAAAGAAACTGAACAGCGACCGGCACGGATCAAGGTTGGTCCGCCCCGCGAGTGGCGCAGGCTTCACCCGAAAGAGTAATTCCCAAACACTTGAGCCTAAAGCGGAAGGGACGACCAAAACATGCAAGGACCATTGGACCAGGCGCGGGGGAGGGGAATCAACCCCGTCATTGACTTTGACCGTTGGTTATTCTTAGCACAAAGCGAGGATTCGGGAGTGGCTTCGATGCTTTGTATGCTCTCTACTGCAGAAGAATGCCACGCGAGATTCTGATCTCTTTCTCTTTGTTAAGGTTGATTTGCCTTGAAGTTCAGTTGACAGCTCGGGACTGCAGTGAGTCTCCCTGGACAACCACCACCCGCGACTTCGGCAAACCACCTCCTTTCTTGAGTTACTGAGGTCGATCAGATATCAGTTTTATCTTATTGAAAACTCAATTATATACGAGGTATAGTCGATGGCCTTACCTATAATTCGTGTACTTAGGAGGTTCTGGTCGATGTACGACATGTTGATGTGCCAGAACTTGTTGTCTCAAGAATACTGTGTTGAGTGGTCCACAGCACATTGAAAATATGTATAGATTGACCTTTGCTCCAATCCAGTGCCTCAAGTCATTATTTCTTTTATAATGCGCTGTGACTTCTCTTTACTCGCCATCGTGCAGACTCTAGTTGCAGCATTGTAGAGTGGAACTCGAATAACCTATTTACAGACACAGCATTGTGAGACACCAAGCTTGCTTGGTCCTGCCACCATGCCTTTCTTGGTTTTGGCCCGACTCATCCGCAGGCCTTCTAGAATCCGTGGACGTTTCGGACCCTGACAAGAGCTCGGCAGTAACGTACTGTAACCAGCCTTAGAGCAAGGCCGCCAAGGCCAATCATACCACTTAGTTTTCAGGTGTTATCCAACCAGAGTGCAACCTTATATTTGCTCGGGCACTTGAAACGCGTCAAGCCAGGTTTGAAAATTACATTCAGGGGCAGTTTCTTCCAGTCCTTTCCGTCAGCATCATGTGGAATGCACACCAACATACTGAAATCCTGGGAAGATAAGTAGCCAACTTGCTGCGATCGATGTCGCAGTTAAGTGTCTGATGTTGGATTGGGTCCTCTTCTCGAATCATTGGTTTCTATCCGTCCCTGTCCCCTCTTTCTGCCCGTCATCTGCAGTGCTAGCGAACTCATAGTGGATCGATCGCTAAGATGACGATAAGTTTGCAGTCGTACGGGGTCTTGGGAGTTGTTGGATCGACCAGCTGCCGAATAAATTGGATGGCGGAAACTTGGAAGGGCGTTAGAACTACTACTATATTCAAGATAATTAATCAGGCGAGACTGGTTCATACCTAGTGCCTGTTCGAACAAGGAACGGGGTTTCGGGTTTAGATCAGGCAATTTCCATGGTTCACAATGCGGACAGATATCAGGCATCAGAGTCCCATCAATCGTGAAATCTAGACAATTTGTACTCTATAGACTGAAGATAAGTGAGCGAGCAACCGGAGTCATTGGTTGTCTAGCTGCTCCTCGGCGATAGGGAGGGATGATTATTGGCAAGCGATCGGCGGGGCGAGGCTCGGTGGATGCCCTCAAAAACCGACGGCGGCCCCTGAGCAAATGGTAGACTAGAAGAGGGGGAAAGAGGAGAGAGGAGGCAACTTGGAAGAGTGTCAGCGTTGCTAGTGGCTGACACTAACACTAAACCAGTTCATCGCGACTCACTCTCTTGCTCACTTGATTTCCCAATTCCCGACCCTGAAACCTCCCCTCCCTCTCTTCTCCCCCAAAATAACGCCGTCTCCCTTTCTCTTCTTCTTCCCTCCCCCCCTCTGGCCTTCCCTTTCCATCATTTATCTCGCCCCCTGTTCAGATCACGCAAACGACGAGCACAGGCGGTGATCACCTCTATTGACGGAGCAGAAGCGCCAATTCGACCCACGCAAGATATGCTGTCGCCATTGACGGCCCCTCTTCCGACTGCCCATCTTCCTTATCGCGTCTCGCTTTCAAATTAACCCCACCGTTCTTGTCGCGCTCATCAACACCCTCCTCGCCCTATCAACACACCCCCCTGACGGCTAGATCTGTTCGAGGAATGTGCCAGCGGACTGCCTGAACAAATAACGTCAATCGCATTTTGAACAATCATAATGGCCTCTGAAAGCTCCTATAACACTCCATCGCACGTCCATTCGGACTCGACAAATACTGTGTCGCATGACACCGACTCAATGGTCACCGTACCTTTGACCTCCAACTCAGAAGACACACAACCCGACTGGCGGACACTGAATATTCCTCCCACACCGATCGACATAATCACTCCGACGAGCGGGAGCTCAAGCGACGAAGAGACTGACGCAAGGACCACACCGACCCAAGACCCACAAACATTCGAGTTACAGCCAGTTGCGTACCGTGACGATGCCAGCTCAACTCGATCCCGCCGCAGTAGTGGGGAACATGATCGACAAGATGCGGTGGATTGGGAGGAATTGGAGAAGACGGAAGAGCAAGAGCCCCGTTGTGAAGGATCGGACGAGGTATGTCTCTCAGAATGAGCTGGGGGTGTCACTCACAGACTGACATGAGCCAGTCAACCGCTCTGCTTCTAGCACGCCTTGAGCAGGAGAACAATGCGCTGGCGACTAATCCAAAATCGGGACTACCCAAGAAGAATCATGCACAGCAAGTGTCGCAAAGACCGTCTCGATCTCAGTCCCTGCATCAGATCAAGCGCCTGATCGACGAGGACCCCCGGTCATCCCTCCGATACTCGCAACTACCTCCCCCGCCTATGACTGAGTTGGAGTTCTGGGCAGCCTTGGTCGCGGATTATCCACAGACAGCCCAGCGTCTCCCGACCTTGACCTCGAACAAGATCAGAAGCGGTGTTCCTCCCCCGCTCCGCGGCGTCGTGTGGCCCAGCTTGGCTGGTGCTCGAGACTCGACCTTGTTATCAGAATATCAGAGGCTATGTGGCGAGACAAGTCCGTATGAAGGGTTGATCGGCAAGGATATAGGGCGTAGCTTCCCCAATGTGGAGATGTTTCGTGATCCCAATGGCGAAGGACAGCAGATGCTCGGTCGGGTATTGAAATGTTTCAGTCTCTACGACACGAAGATCGGCTACTGCCAAGGACTAGGCTTTGTGGTTGGTCCCTTGCTTATGCACATGACGGATGCAGAAGCATTCTGCGTGCTTGTGCGGTAAGTTCTTACACCACACGCAACTTTAGCCTCAATACTAATGTCGCCAGATTAATGGATCATTATGATTTACGGACTTGCTACCTCCCCGACCTCTCGGGTCTTCATCTTCGAGTGTATCAGTTTCAGAATCTCTTGTCTCGTCTACGACCCGGCTTATTTGCACACTTGGAGGAACTCAACGTGGAGCCTGTCTATGTCTCGCAGTGGTTCTTATCGTTCTTCGCAGTCGCATGCCCTCTTCCAATGCTTCTTCGTATTTACGATGTGATCTTTCTCGAGGGAGCTTGCGAGACCTTGATGCGCGTGGCTCTGTCCCTCATGACGCGGAATGAAAAGAAAATCATGGCTTGCGCCGAGTTCGAGGACGTCATGCAGCTTCTATTATCGAGAAGTCTTTGGGATACGTATGTGAATCGCCATAAATACCTGGAAGCTTCAGCTAATGATCTACAGTTACGCTTGCCATGCGGATGAGTTTGTCAACGACTTCGTCTCACTCACGTCGCTCGTTACGAAAGAAAGTCTTCAAGCCTTAGAAGCCAGTTACAATCAATCCCAGGGTGTGCCGACCGGTATTTCTTTTCCTCAGATGCAAGCAACGGCCTCACGGTTCTTGGGGCGGCTCTGGGCCGGCTCTTCCCACAACTCCACCAAGTCGGTTAATCTCAACCCTAACGCCGCTAGCGCGGCTATCCGGCGATCGGCGTCTAAACAAAGCATGACATCCACACTTAACTCGGTCGAGTCGACATCCGATGCCAGCACAGCACCGACAGAGCTATCAACGGATGCCCCGAAGCCGCGCGCAAAATCGGCAATGTCGCAACACAAAGATCGTGATCTTCATACACAAATCGAGGATCTCTTGATGGCTCTGAGCGATCTCCAGCGCCAACATGCGAATCTCACACGTGAACTACAGCAAGAGCGGGAGGAACGCGAGGAAGACCAAGCGCTGGCCAAGTCAATGCTGCAGTACATCAAACAAACCAGCGATGAGCCTCCAATGGACCTGGTTCATAAGGCTGACGCACGCTTCGCCACGGTAGAATCTGCCAAGCATGTCCCGATGGACCAGACGAAGCAACAACTTCGCGATGACCTCAAGCGATGGAAGGAGATGCATGCCACGGAAGCCAGTCGATGCTCGGGCCTAACGCGCCGTATCGACGAGATTGACAAAGACAATTCGTCGTTGCGGGAGCAGCTCCGCGAAGCCCGTGGCCGCATCCAAGATAGCTATCGGGAGCGACAGCGCCTGGAACGCATGGTACGCGAGCTGCGGACTGTGAAGACCCGCAATTCGGATACTCCGCCTGAATCATACGGATCTCCCACAAGCGACACAAGTGAAGGATATACGAGTACGGGCCTGCGAGAACTCAAACTGGTACGCACCAATTCGCAGAAGAGCCAGAAGAGCACAACATTCAACAAGCGGTCGAGCAGCTTGGGGCTGCAGTCGGTCCTGGCGACGGAAAACAACAAGCCAGCAGCGGAAGAAGCATTGCTTTTGGAACTGGTGAATGCAAAGACCGCGGAGGCAGTGGCACGCCAGGAACTCGAAGAGGTCAAGGGAGCGCTCGACGCACTGCGCAAGGTGGTGTCGCGAAATGGCCAAAACACAGAGGCTCGACTTTCATTCCTGGGCCGGTCATCATCTAGTCTGGGTATACCTTTATCCAAAGCACCTGCAGAGCCTGCGAATGGGGGCGGGCTCTTCAGTGGCTGGGGACGACGAGCGGTGTCAACAAGCAATGAGACTTTCGATGGTCGGTAGAGAATGGAGGATACATATCTGAGTATGTATGGGCTTGATGCGGGATTGTATCACGAGGTGTTTGATATTGGTGTAAACAAGATTCGGTGTTGGACTGTTATGATATCCATGTATACGTATATTTGTATAGCTAGACTAGAGTTGTTGCATTCTCTTACCTTAATTTCAGGGTCAAAGAAAATCAAAGGAGATGATGAGATAGTAAAACACCTGACTTGAAACATGTGCTTTTCGGCGGTCATGGAAGGTTTCTGTGGAAATATCATCCCATACAGTAAGCTTCGTCTTCTGATGTCTGCGACTATGTCTGCGGAGGTGAATGTGAGATGATACTAAAGTCAATGTTTTAGAGTCTCTCGCTGGAAAAAAGGCAGGTAGGGGATGATCAAGGCGGTGCCTTGTTGGGCGGGGTTGGCTGAAGAGGTACTGAGGTTATACTTCGCTGATTTTGAGGCGTTCCACCCCCGATGTTCAGAGATCAGACTATAGCTGTTGAATATGACACGTCAGTTGATCTTGATCGGTTCTCTCAGAAAAGAGTGCCGACCTCAACCGCTGACTCGGTAGTAGCTGTATGGTGCCTAGCCAACCACTACCATTGCTGGGAATCCTCTACCCGCTCTTTCCGGTTTCCAGGCTGACATTGTGGTCTGAAAATTTGTTTCGCGCAATGAGGTCGCTCTTCCTCCAAGTCTCAATCTGTCACAAATAAGTTGTCAGATTTACCCAACGATCCTTTTCCACCAGGCGAGCTAACAGGTATATACTTCAATAGTGTCCATAGGCAGATTGTGATGAGCACCGAGACCGCCGAGAAGACCAGGTACCAGGTCCAGTCCGGGTTGTCTTTCAGGAGATCAATGTTCATTCCGAAGAGACTCTGGATAGAAAAGACCCAAAAATTTAGGAACTTATCGAACGCGGTCGTCATGTGGGGAGAATTTGCGATTGCAACATACCGAAGAAAACATGAGAGGCAAGAAGATAATCTGCCATTACTATAAGTCAGGGTTGTAAATGGACATGGCGGCATAGCTCCGAAACTTACAGTCATCCAGCTCAGGCGCTTGACGCTAGCTGCCTCGCTGATAGAGACCCAGGCTAACTCCTGCACACAAGGGATCAGGATTCAATCACTAGGCAAGAAAATAAACATGGCCCACTTACTAGTTGTAGGACTTCTTGAGCGGCCCGCTCCGAATCGTCCAGTTGGGACTTGATTGTCTGGTCCAGACAATGCACCGCCTCGAACAATTCCTGCTTTTCCGACCCCGGAAACTTCTTCTGAGCTGTGATCATAGTTTGTAAACCTTGAACATGTCCACTCAGATACTCACGGAGCGTACCGCGCAGTTCACTATGCTGTGCGAGATGATTGATTATCGTCTGATTTCGACCCTTTCGCCGGATCTGACTCTGCCGCTATGTGAGAGAATTAGTCTACGAACTCTGATGCACGGAACTGAATTGGAGTGAACAAGAACTCGTCTTACCAGTTCAGCTATATGGTCTCTGACATACTGGGCTCTGATCTCCCACTTCTGCCGCAGATTTAGTATGAGCTGTTTACAGAAGCTTGCAGGTGTCGCTGGTAACTCCTGGGGCAGAGCACTGATGTATGTGTAAAAGGCTTTGTTCTCCGTTTCCGATGACGTTACAGCCCATTCCATAGCCAGTGTTTCGGGTCGCAGCAGTTGTGCCTTCTTCCTGTAAGACTGCTTGGCAGGTGGAAAGAATACAGACAGACGATTCACCGTAGTGTCCGGGCCGGATGCTCGCTGATACCGAACGTATGTGGTTGACGTTATGATATCATTGAGGGTCCTGCCTGGAACCGTCGGATGAATTGGAGCGTTCTCCATTTGCACCGATAGGGACTGAGGATCGCATAATCTGCCATAGTCAGCTTGAAATACGCTTCTAGTGGGACTGCAGCATCGATTCTCACAGTAGCGATGAGGAGGTCGGCCTGGTATTCCAGTCACGCGCTTCACTGCCCGCCAGAAATGCGAGCTCGAGACCATCTAGACCTGTCCTAGTGAACCGGACACAGCGGCGGGCTCCTGTCGGGTCCAACTCTTGCCATATGTTCAACGGAATTTCAGGGAATGCCGCTCCCCGGCGAAGCAATGCGGTCACATTCTCAAGCTTTTTGTTCTCAACCGCGAGTTGGAGTGCTGTCTTAGAATCATTATCGAGCCCATCAATTGAGATTCCATGGTCAGTTAAGAGTTTTGTGATTTCGGAACCTGGCAGCTCTGCAGCGTAGTGTAAAGCAGTCTTGCCTTCATCATCGATTCTATTTAGAGACTCATCTTTCAGGCAAGGCAGAAGTTTCTGCAGGAGCCGACATGCTTCAGGAACGCTTTCTTGCCTTTTCTTGGCTTCCTGAACCAAGGACAGTACAGAGATATCGTGAGTTGCAAGAAGCGTAGCGGCCTCCAAGTTATCTTTCTCTAGGGCCCAAATTACTGGGGTTCTGCGTATGGAAGGTCGCGAACCCTTGGGAGGCATCTTGTCGCGTTGATTTCGGTCAGCACCGCGGCCGAGTAAAGCCCGCAGCCAGACAATATCGTTGTACTCGGCAGCCCAGGAGAGCAGTGACCGACCTCCATCGAATACATCAATGTCTGAAAGCTTACTGAGAATCTCAGAGAACTTGTACTGTTCGTAATATGGGCTCCCAAAGCCTGCTCTCGAGTTCCGTTTGCGGGCTTCAATGAACAACGAATAGCATGTCCTGCCCTCATTATTCAAACACAGATCTGATTCGCTCGAGCGGCCATGCACAGCCATGAGAACAGTATGAAACATTTCCAATTCACCCGTCTCCGCGGCAATGTGCAGTGGGGTTTGGCCCCCAGTGTTCTTCTGGTCTGTAGTAGCTCCCGCGTTGTCCAAGAGATATTTGACGATATCAAAATGAAGTTCACGAATTGCCCAGACGAGAGGGGTATCCCCATTCTTGTCTGCCTTGTTGACCGCCGCTTTCCTCCTGTGAAGAAGTTCAACTAGCGGCAAAGATCCTTCCCTGGCAGCAAGCGTCATGGCCGTCCGGCCACTGCCATTGGTGACATTGCAATCAATACCGGGAAGCTCCAGGAGCTTCCGAGCGGCATGGAAATTGTCTTTTTCCACTGCCAGCATGAGGGCAGTGTAGCCTGTGCTGTCTTTAAGGTTGACAATAGCGGTATGGTCTTTCAAGGCGAGCAGTAACAACTCCAATATGCTTTCCCCGGATTCTCCAGATACATTTTTGGAGTGCAATAACCACCACAAAGGAGTGCGACCTTCCTCATCTGTGGAACCAGCTTGGGCTCCAAATTCAAGCAAGATATGGACCAGCTCCGGGTCGTCTTCCTCCACTGCATATGAAAGAGGTGTGCGGCCTTGACATGGGTAATTGGGATCGAATCTCCTGGTCTCGAGAATTTTGCGCAGTATGCCGTGTCTGCCGTCCCACTCTTTGAAATCAAAATGCTCGTCCCTGTACGCATGTTTAGTGCAGGCGAGCGCTATAGATGTGAGCGCAGAAATCTTGGGTGCAGAAATGTGGTGCGCAGAATCTGGAACATCAATCATGACGTCGGCTGTGGACTGGGAATGCTGCTTCAGACGATTAACTATGTACTGTAAATTGTCATTTTTTAGTCTTGGATGATTTTGAATGAAGTTTTCTAGCTTCTCTCTGAGCGCTTCGTCGGACATAGTTGTCTGAGGATCTGGTTGCTGAGGGTATCAGTCGTTTGTATTGTGATATGGTAGCCTCGGACGTGGGGATCGACATGAGGTTGTACCTGGGGAGAAAGTCTGTTTAAATGCACTACACATGTGCGAGAGCAATCTGTAGTTACTGTACATGTTGGAAAAGCAAGGCTGAGCGGAGAACGCATCGCTGACTGCGTTCGTTAGCGCGACAGCTGCGCCGCGCCATGTTACAGATAAGGCCTCTCCAGCCACGCCCAGGCAGGGGTTTTCTCCCTAAGCGCCGTGCGAATCTGCGCCTGTCAATTCATACCAGGCGCGATGCTGCGCCAGAAACGTCACTCATTGTGCGGAGGTGGGTGCATTAGTTGGGTGAAGGGGCGCAGGGTAAGAAGCAAGACACCGTTTATGATGAAAAAGACAAACATACCAACAGCATGTGTATGACAGTGGTCGCCAAGCGCCCTCTTGTAAGTGCCCTGTGCGTCGTTTACTCGCCGTCCTAGGGTTCTCTACTCGGTATTTTGATAGAATGAAAGAACCTGCACATGTATGATCTATCTTGTAAATGAGTTGTTAGATGCTTATACTGGGCTACCGACGTTGCACGCGCACTGAGGATGACTAGATACTGTTGATTAAGTAGGGCGGTATTGACTTACGCTTCCCAGATAAGAGTTTCTTTTGCAAGGCCTGTTGGCCTAACTAGATGATATCCAAGACTGTAATTAATGATGAGAGTTGATCCTTCGATGGTGAATGGGGGACGCCCGGCACTTAAAGCTATCCCTACATTTACCCGTTGACAGCAAAAGATGCTATGCCCATACATTGTCACAGATAACGGACAGCCTGGTATCTCAGGGCTGAGAAGGTTCATGCTGATACTGGATCTTGTATATACTTCAAGGCGGAAGGAATGTGAATTATGAGCCTTCAAATGCCACACAAAATCATACAAGATGAACAATGTGCTCCTATTCAGAACTGTAGATATCATCAAGTAAGTTCAGGCAGAAGGATAATAACCTCCGAGACCCAATGATATTTGGAATTTCCGGCCTGGGAGCTTGATGGCGCTAAGCGTCCCCTACGTGGCGGCCATGGCAGCCTATGAATTTCAACTCCAAGCGCGACACAGGAGCCTCCAACACGAAAAAGCCCATCTGACTGTCTGTGGATTGGGCATCGCTAATCAACATGCCCGAGGCACGAGGCGTCAATGCCATTCGATGAACATCTGCCACAAGCCCGCATTGACAGTGTCGATCATCCCACCGGGTCGGGAATGCTGTCACCAGGAGCTCCCCTGCCACTGGCTGCACTAATCACAGCCCCGATAGTGCTTCATGGGGTGAACAACTTTGCGTCATCGTCGCGGGGTCATGAGGCGGCTCATCTGACCGAACCTTTTTATTGTACAGTACCTGATGTTCGTATTTAGACGTTCAAGCTCCCGAGATGTGTGACTTTGAGAATCTGGAACAGCATTCGATTTGACTTTGCATCTATAGTCGACACGACCACTGACTGTATCGATGGTGGAGCGCAACATCAGTCTCCTCAGCCTAGATGGCGGGGGTGTCAGAAGCCTCTCTTCACTTTACATTCTCAAGCACATCATGGAGTCTATTGACGGCGAGAATACACCACGGCCATGCGACTATTTTGATCTCATCGGGGGTTCGGGCTCGGGCGGGTAAACTGATCTTGCGCAATGCCTGCGCATCGGTCCCTAGCTAAACTATCATAGGTTAATTGCGATCATGTTAGGCCGCCTCAAAATGGACATTGACCAGTGTATCAATGCCTATCGACGACTCCTGAAATTCGTTTTCGCTCGCAAAAGACATATCCCTTTCACGAGCAACCTGTGCCGGCAGTCGAAATATGATGGACGAAGGGTGGAATCGGCGATGAAAGCAATTCTCCACGAGCTTGGGTATGAGGACGATTTACTTCTGAAGGACGTTGATACTTCGTGCAGAGTGTAAGCATGCTGTCGGACCGACCATCCTCTTCAAGTTGGCAAGACTGACCCGGCATAGCTTCGCCTACATTACAGATGACGGTTCCAAACGAAACTCTGCCCCCTTGACGAGCTACCCCAGCAAATATTGCTCCAACGAGCTGTTCAAGACCGCGAAAGTGTGGCAGGCAGGGAAAGCGAGTATGTCCACACCACCACTGTTCGACCCCGTCCCGATCGGCCCCAGCGGGCGGCAGTTCTACAACAGCACCACTGAAGCAAACAACCCGGTGCGGGAGGTCTGGATAGAGGCCAGAGGAGTCTGGCCCTCGGGGTCGTTGGACAGCCAGATCCAATGCCTGATATCGATTGGCACCGGCGTGCCGTCGATCAAGCGACTCAACAAGTCGATGTTCGGCTTAATCAAGACGATGCCCACGGACTATGTCGACACGGAGAGGGACATGAACAAGTTTATCAGGGAGCATACCGAGCTGGATGATGCAAGCCGCCTGTTTCGCTTCGATGTGCCAAACGGGCTGGCGGAGATAGGTCTCGATGGTGTGGATGAGCTCGATACGATTATCGATGCGACCCAAGATTATCTCGCCAAGGAGCTCGTTTACAAGCAGGTTCAGCGGTGCGGCATTGCCCTTGGTGGCTTTCGGTAGACTGACTGGCTTTTATCTGTTTGCCGGCCAATCCATGCTTGGGCCAGGACCGATTAGAGCGCGAAATGACCGCTTTGGGTATATCCGGTGACAACGAGCCTTCACCAGGAAGCTCAGCGACTGAGAAATTCATGTCGTGTAGTGTCCCTTCGTGAAGTGCACTGGGTCCATGAAAACAGGTGACCTTCTTCGGGAGAGAACAAGCTGCCCCGGTCAAACGCTTCTATAAATCGTTGTGGATCTGGTTTATCGTTAATTGTGCAACAGCAAAGCCTGCACATTCATGATGTCTGAATCCATGTCTGTTATAAAGGAACTAACCATAAAGACAGTCTACTTCACTGTTTGGCATAAAGTTGTCTCACGGGACGGGCGATCCTTGTCACCTTATCCAGCTACCTTTCTTGCGCCGTCCCGCCATTCTGATTGACGAAGGGTTTTGATCGCCCACAGCATGAGCCACAGCTCTGACAGAACTACTGAACCAGCAGATCTCTTAAGATTTATATGATGCTGAAGTCGTCGATACGCTCGTTACCCCGGCTAAGACCGACATGGAAGCCCCTTGATTTCTCCAACGCGAACTTCGTTCCCATCCCTTCTAGTCAGAAAGTCGAAGAAGAAACTATACCTGACTATGTTGCGTCTCACTATTATCCGACCCGGATAGGTGAAGTCCTCAAGAAGCAATATCAGATTGTGGGAAAACTTGGATTCGGGACCAGCTCGACTGTGTGGCTTGCGCGGGACATGAAGTGAGCACTCCTTGCTACTTATAGAACTAGAAATTCCAAAATAACCCGTCGATGAGCTGAACTTCAGCTACCGTCGCTATGTGGCCCTCAAGATCTACATCACAGCTGCATCGATTGGGCAGCATCTGGATGATGAGCTTAACATGTACAAACGTATAGAGAGTGGCTCAAGAAATCACCCAGGTCGTGGCGCTGTTAGGCCATTACTTGACTCGTTTGATATCAATGGGCCCCATGATAAGCATCGTTGTCTCGTACATTCTCCTTTATGGGACAATGCCTTGACCTTCTTGTACCGGAATCCGGTGCGGAGACTGCCTGTACCAGTCCTCGCATTCATCCTTAAGCGCGTATTCTTGGCCTTGGATTATCTGCATACCGAGTGCCAGATTATACATACTGGTATATGAACCTTCAACCACATGAATTGCCTCATCATTATACTAATACCTCAAGTCTATCAGATATCAAGGCTGACAATATCATGTTCGGGGTTGGAGATGAATCTGTCTTTCGTGGTCTTGTTGAAGAAGAGCTTGAAACCCCTAGTCCAAGGAAAGAGCTCGATGGCAGGACTATCTACGCGTCCCGGGAGCTGGGGTTGCCTGGGGAATGGGGTGCCCCGGCCCTTTGTGACTTTGGCTCAGCTATGCCTGGTGATGTAGAGCACCTAGAGGATATTCAACCCGAGATCTACCGCGCACCAGAAGTGATACTCGAGGCCCCATGGACGTATAGTGTTGATATCTGGAATGTTGGTTGCATGGTAAACAAATGAATGATGATCCTGGTCGCGACCTTGCTGACTTTCTCTCTTCTCTCACAGATCTGGAATGTGTTTGAAGGCGGATCCCTGTTCACCGGATACGACCCGGAATACCAGACTTATCGAAGCAGGGCTCATCTCGCAGAAATTATTCGCCTGCTTGGACCTCCTCCATCCAGTCTGCTTGCTCAAAGCCGGCTAAGACACAAGTTCTTCTCTGATGAAGGTAAGGTAATTTCCATTGTGATAACTTCGGAGTTCCGCTCATCCCGTCTGACATTACAGGTGAATTCTGTGCTGGTATCCCATTGAAAGAACCAATCTCGCTTGAGGTGAGGGAAACGACCCTTGAAGGGCAGGAAAAGGCCGATTTCTTGCGCCTAGTGCGGAAGATGTTGCAGCGGGACCCTGCCCAGCGTAGCCCAGCGAGAGAACTGTTGGAGGATGAGTGGATCTGTAGGCATACTCGCAATTGAGCATCAGGGATTCTATGGCGCACAGCGTGTTTTTGTACTGCATGAGTTTCCATCGAGGGCTATCTAGAAATGCTCTAACTGGTCACCCGAGAATCAAACCAAATTTTGAGGTCGATCAAACTCTACTAAACTCTACCTAACTTGGTGAAATTCTGCGCAGAATCTATGATCGAATCTCGGAACCGACCGCGTTTGCAGCCAGCTCAGATGCACTACACACGATGACGCCGGTGTTTGCTCGCGGAAAGGGTGACGTCACGCCTGACCGGCAGAAGGTACAAAACAGCTGGTAGCTCAACTACCCAGTACTTTTTATCCCTTGAAATACAAACCAATCCCAAACAATCAACTCCAAAATGGTTAAAAGCAAGGATACGGTTATCGAGTAAGCATAGAATAGCCATCCCAATGAAATTAGCGCTAATCAAAAAACCCCAAGCGAATTCAACGAGCTGGTCAACATGACCCCCAACGAGCTCCGCGACTGGCTCCAAGAGGAACAGTCCCAATCCTCTGGCTGGAGCAAGGATAGCGAGTCAGGCGAGACGATCGGGCATGAGAGGTAAGCCGACTTCTTTAGCTTCTTGCGTCAGGGATCATCCATGTAGCCCTGCGTGTAATGTCGCATGTATGCTGAGCTTGAGTGTGTCTCTTTTTCTTTTGGTTGATAGTGGTCGCAAAATCGTGGACATCCTCGAAAGCAACCCATCCAAGGATGCGTCCAAGTACTCGGATGAGGACATCGATCATATGCGCAGGGTGGTGTCATACTGCAAGCGGCATCTGGCCCAGGAGGAGACCGCAAAGCAGAACACCGATAGTAAGAGCTATCGGTCTTTGAAGAACTGGGGCCATGATCCGCTGAAGGAGTGAGGGCTGTTACTTGTTCTGGAAGGGGGTTCGGTTTCCTGTTTGGATGTGTATAAATAGGTTAGGGGTAGAATTATTGTATGGATATAGTGTGAACTTTGCAAGTCTGGTCGCGTTGAGCTGGAGCTGTCTTAGGTGTAATAAGAGTACATTACTTAGGTGTTGGGATTAGATCAGCGTAGAGGCGCAGAAAATAGTTAACTAGTCAAGCAGGAATCGTCCTATTTTGAGGCATTGCATAGTTCTGATCTGACGCCGAAAGGAAGTATCAAGAATCGCACTTTGTAGTACCGCCTCTACCTTCTTTTTCTAAATGCCCATTACACTTATAATGCCTGTCAGAATAGATCGAAGCTATGGAGCTAGTCAACTCACTAATTAGATCCTCATATATCTCACATAAGGACCGGTCGCACTAACGGCGGTGCTGCACGCAGGCGTCGGTGTATGTCGATCGGCTATTGCCATTAACTCCGCAAATTCGTCTCCGATAATAAGAGAAACCCGTGGGTTGCGATCTCTTGCTCCAAGTGTGTGGAGATAGCAACCAATTCAAGCAGGCCAACGGTGGCAATCGTCGGTTCATCAGCATCGCTTGTACTTGTGCTCCTTTCGCCCGCCTTCAATCGCCCTGCTTCACACCAGTCCATCATATCAGCAAAGCATCATGCGTGCGATTTATTTGCGGTGCAGAGCAAGAAAATATCTGGCGTAGCTGAGGAGTACGTAATTGGCGTCGCGATAGCTTCATAATACCCCGGCTAGTCCCCGCACAGGCCGCTCGGCTTTGCGCAAGTACACTCTGGCGAGAGCCGAGCTCAGAGGCTTCTAGATCTCTGACTTGTAGGTCTTGGGGTTTCTTGTCAGTTGGCCGATCTCCGTTAACCAGGGTATGTCCCACACCGTAAAATTGTAAGAATTGGGTGACCGCTTGGCTGACCTTTCGCATGCTGCAGTGTCGAGTCTTTGCGGGAAAGAAAGCAGAGCGTTATGGACGGAATGGGGGCAATCTCGCGATATACGAGACAACAATCTAGTCTGTCTCTTGGGGGCTTTGCTTGCAGCCAAGATAATCCCAAGGATTTGGTTGTAGGTCAAAACAAAGGTGAAGGCGGAGATGGCGTGATCCCCAACAACGTGGAGGATGGCCGCCAGTGCCTGCCTTTCCTGCCCGTCAAAGATCGCCATCTTCGGTTAACTCTCCCAGCTGCTTGCTTTCCCCTCCTCATCCGCCCACCAACAACTCTACCCCCCTCACTCCGGTCACTTCTCCTCCACAGCTCCAGGGCTAAATTGCCGATCCTGGATCTTGCTTATCAGCTAGTAACTACTACTGCGGCTACCAGAACCCCGGCAGCCTGACTTCTACTCGTGCATCGAGGTCATGATTTCACGATTGGCTGTCATGCCACGACCCGTAGGTCAACAACTTGGCACCCACCCCCGACTGCATTACTGGCTAAGAAATACTCCTGTGCGTCTTAGGTGGTCATCAGAATACGATGTACAAACACTGAAGGGCAATTTCTCAATCAGAAACAAAGAATTAAATAACCCAAGGCTCCACGTGTGCCGCGTCTTCGTGGTGCTTAACAGAGGTCCCAATGCCCAATAGCACAAGTTAGCACGATTTCTAAGCGGCATCTTCTCAACGCTAACAATTGGGACACGCCATCTCACTCTACTAGTTTGCAGTGACAGTCCTGGTCAGAATGCCCCAGCGATCTCCAATAAAGAACAACTGATCACAAGATCCCCAGGTCCAGCAAGTTGCCTCAGTACTGGACCAGGAATATTGCAGGACCAAGACTCCACCCTGGCAGCTGAATACACATAGCAGGAAGCATAGTTCATGCTACTAAGTCCCCGGATATTGGTTATTCTCGCGAATGGTCTTGCTCTCGTCAAGTTTCCCCCAAATTTGTTCTTGCGCAGGAATCATTATGCCTCTCTAACACCAGGGCTCGGTCTAGTGAGGTCACAGCGTGCACTTGGTTGGCTTCAAAATCAGCCGGGCACGTGGCGAAGTGCACCACGCGGGTCGGTCCTTTGTGCGTGCGACAATTTTCATTTCCCCCCGAACCGAGAGAGCGTTACTCAGACATAAAGATTACCGTTGGGTCGGTCCATCCGAAAGTATAGTAGCTGGAATCCAGATTCGCCAATTGGAACCCACCGCAAGGCATTCTGTGCGTCATGAGCGCGCCCGTATCTTCTCGAGTCCCTGACGCTTAATGTCTCTTCTTCAAGGAATAAGTCATGAAGTTATGTCCAGCTCATGTTCAGTGTATTTTACCCCTCATGAAGGAGGGAGCAGAGCTGGCGACGTTGTGCCAGCGCATACCGACTGCCCCTGGCGTTCTGCAGGGCATGAACTCGTAACTTTCGGCCAGGTCCTCAACTCCCATTCGGGCTCTCCGATGGGTTGAGGAACTTGAGCTTGGCTATTGTTCCTATCTCCAACTTTGAGCTCGGATTTTGGCTTGAGCCGCCATTCTACTAGTCACGTCATACGGCCCGAGTGGGTTTAGCTGGCGTGGTTTCGCTAATCGGGTTCGTATAGAGTGCATTCGTGGCTTGCGGGGCCGCTTTATTTGCCAATCTATACAAGGCCAAGATTCGTGGCTTAGTGCCCTACAATGGGCCCGGGATAAGCCTACTGCATCAGAGGCTTTCGTTGAGAATATGACTCTTCAGTTTTGGCCTGGAAAATGCCTGACAAGGCGGATCCCTCAGTTGCTTGGCCCTGGATGCGAGTGGTTCGATTTTGCTTTTTTTTCCCATTCCCTTTTTCTACCCTTCTTTTTGTGGGATTTGTTCTTCTTATCTTTCTATGCAACGCGATCATCTGGGTACCCTCAAGCGAGACGTTACATTCACTGGGGTGGCCGACGTCCTTTCCTGCCTGTTAGCAGAAATTCCGCCCCAATCGCCAAGGCCACCACGCTCGCCTGGCCCCGAGGCTGCGGTGTCTCCCCACAATTGGCCAAGGATCTTCTATCTAGCAAGGTGCAAGGTCCCACGTCATTACGTTTCCAAACAGATTCTCCTCTTACCGAAAGTTTCTCGCCTGTCAAGCTATTTGCTTCAGAAAGTCATTTTCACCTAGGTTCTATAATTAACACAATGAGCCCCATGGGTTGCTCCACCTTCAAGAACGGACCTGTGAGTGATGAGCCGCCTTTCAAGCTCTTTACGGGAGGACTTGATATCTGATACGTCGAGGGAATGAGGATCATGTCTGAGCGGTGTCAGGAAAAGACGACTAGCGGTCAGCACCATTCCCAACGCGCCCGATATCAGCGTCAGGCATGCCATGTGCTGGCGGACGGCAAATGGTGCGGGTGAAAATGACCTCTACCTTTCGGGCTTGCAGTAATGTGAGATTTCCGGTGCACAGTGTGCGCCACGGTAGTCGGCTTCTGAATTGTCCAAGACATGAATCATGACATATATCATTCTTGGAAGCAGAACTGGCTTTAATCCGACTAGTGCTTCGGCCAATCCGCTTGAACTCAATGTTCAATATGCATTTCTGGGGTCTGAACGCTCACACCTCTCATAGGCGAGGTTCCAGAGACTGATTTTCTCCCTAGGATGGCGATCCATGGTCGCTTATTCACAGCCTTGGGCCGACCATCATGCAGAAGTCGAAATGCCACGAGGTCAATGCTCATTCCTTTTCAAGCAGGGCTTGCGATGTTAGATACGAGCATGAGTTAGTTTCAAATCAAAATTTGAGGCTCGAATTTCCTCCTCACAACATTGCTATCTAAGAAACTACTAAGTTGCTGCGCTAGCGGTCATTTCAGAACTCCGTCGTGTCCGTCATTGGATGCCTCCATGGGCTCTCATATGACTGGGTGGAGATCCGTACAGCTGGGGATTGCTTGCATTAGGGCTATTTTAGATCCGAGTATGAACGATGGGTCGGAAGACCTGTCAAGGACAGTGCTGCATGGAAGTCACCGAGCCCTGCAACTCAGTCTTCCCCGGGCGAGACAGACTGGAAGGCTGATTCATGGAGACAGAGCAGACAACATGAACCGAATTGAAATCCTGAATAGGCCAAGGCTCAACATTACGGTCACCAGCTCACCCTGCTTGCTGGTAGTATAAAGCCGTGGATCCAAGGAGGGGACCCATGTCAGGATAATCAGTAATCGATCTATTCGTTTGTGGTCCTCGTTTCCATTCCCCTCTTTATTCAATGAAGTTTCTTTTTCTTCTATGGCTCCTGGCCTCATTGGCCTTGAGCAGTCCGATTACACCCGATCTCTTTCCATTCAAAAAGACGTCTCAGCTGGAGGCAAGGGCCACAAATCAGAGTCAGTCGTTACAGAACTCTCAGGTGCCTTGGAAAGGATTTGACATCAATACAAATTATTATGAGACTGCCCCGGATACAGGTGTTGTGCGGGAGTATTTCTTCGACATCATCAATACCACTCGTGCACCTGATGGGGTTGAGCGGCAGGTGCTTCTTGTCAATGGGCAATTTCCAGGCCCAACCATTGAGGCCAACTGGGGAGACACTGTAAAGGTGCATGTCACAAATCGCATGCAGGACAACGGCACTGCCATCCATTTTCATGGAATTCGGCAGCTGAACAATAACCAAATGGATGGGGTAACAGCTCTGACTCAATGCCCTGTACCTCCCGGATCAAGCTACACATATGTCTGGAAGGCAGAGCAGTACGGTTCAAGCTGGTACCATTCGCATTTCTCTCTCCAGGCCTGGGAGGGCGTTTACGGAGGCATCGTGATCCATGGCCCTTCAACGGCTGACTATGATCAAGACCTGGGCGTCCTGTTTCTGAGTGACTGGCTTCATGAGACCTACTATAGCTATTATCAAGAGGATCTCAATAGTGGCCAGCTGCCTACCATGGCGACAGGTCTGTTGAATGGGACGAATGTCTGGGTTCCTAAGCATGGTCCTACTGTCGGCCGACGATTCCAGACTACCTTTGTGCCAGGTCGAAGATATCGGATCCGGCTGGTCAATACTGCCATGCACACGCAGTTCAAATTCTCGATCGACAATCATGACCTCACCGTGATCGCGGCCGACTTCGTTCCAATGGTTCCATTCAAGACGAATCACGTCCCGATTGGAATGGGTCAGCGGTACGATATCATCGTGACCGCCAATCAAAGACGGGATAACTACTGGATTCGTGCGATGCCGCAATCGTACTGCAGCAACAACACGGCGGCAGAAAACATCAAAGGTATCTTGCGATACAAAGGGTCCAACACAAACTCGGATCCGCAGTCAAAGAAATGGGATTACGGAGGCGACGTCGACTGTCAGGATTTTCCGACGTCGACCCTTGTCCCGAAGCTTGCTCTGAACGCAGACCTCGGCGAGGCGAACACGGTAACCTCTGATACTGGCATCGGAGGCATTGGCAAGCCACCAATCTACCTATGGAAGATGGGAGGTGAAATCTTCAATACCTCCTGGAGTGATCCAACCCTACTGCAAACCTCCGATGCTCCTAAGAAGTCCAGCTGGGAGCCAGGCCAGGGAGTCATCCAGGCGAGTGTTGCGAATCAATGGACCGTGCTGATCATTCAGACGACCATTCCTGCCGTTCATCCCATTCATCTACACGGTAAGTTTTGGTCGTGCTTCCCTGCAATGAACTCGAACTAACCAAACTTCATCAGGCCATGATTTCTACATCCTAGCCCAAGGCCTTGGTACCTACGACCCCTCTACCGTAAAGCTGCAAACCGAGAACCCCACGCGCCGCGACACCCTCAACCTCCCCGCAGCGAACGGCAAGGGCGGCTACGTCGTCATCGGATTTGAGGCTGATAACCCCGGAGCATGGCTGATCCACTGCCACATTGGCTTCCACGCGGCGGAGGGATTCGCACAGCAGATTATTGAGCGACAGAGTGAGTTTGAGCGGTTTCTGGACAGAGATGTCCTGGAAGAGACGTGTAATGCTTGGAATGAGTGGGCCGAGACAAATCCCTACGGGTTCCAGCACCGAGGTGATCATGGGCCGTATGAGTCTGGTATCTGATTGGGGTTAGTATGGCGGGTGTGACCTCTGATCGAGGTCGTCGTTCGTTCGTTCTTTTCCTTGCTTATGACTGATGATGGGAAAATGGCTGCACGGGATGATATGATTTAATGTCTTAATGTTTTAATAAGGGTTACATTTTGGGGGGAGATGATAGGGGTGTGCATGATTCTACGTTTTGTGGCGATTAATGCTAACCATGCAGAGAGAATCGGGTCGTGGTTGGGAATGTGTTCCAACTCACGGCATAGCAATGAACTTATACGCTTAAATGACTTCCTCTCATCCGTACATCTAATTTGGCCGTGTTGTTCGGTAGGTAAAATCGAGGCCAGATCATGCTAGCTCACCATCTCAAGTCAAGCAGAGATAAGATGACAGTGTGGAAAGCATTTCTCTCTACAGGAGCCTGGAACTTTTCCTCTGAGCTATACACCTTCTCCTTCTGCTTTCGATGAGAATGTCATTTCTCACATTTCAAAACGTAGTGCACATGTCCCCTGAGCAAGCAATCAGACTTGAGCTAGATAGACCCCTCAGCCTCGACGATTCAGCAATAGAGTACAATATCACCCAGGGAAGGTTGACAGGAGACTCAACCAAGTCCCACTATCACCTTTTTGCTACTCTCATTCCGGTAGTCACATCTTCAACCATTACCCCCCATTGAATGGCACTGGAAGACCACCCATCCACCCATTCTCCTCCTACAATCATACATAGCCTTCACAGCAGCCCGTCAACAGGCAACTACCTTACACCATCCTGAATCCCACATCTTCTCGCGAACCGTATACTCTCTCATAAGTATCAATCAATCCGACTGCACGAGCCATCACAACAGGATGAGTGAAGGACAATACACACCCCAAAGCCCAGGCCCAACTAAGCTTACTAGATAACGTTGCTGCCTAGCTAATCTGATCTGATATGTCGTGGCTTGGCCCTCGGAATTGTACTGTGCTGTGGACACTAAAGTTTAGATAAGGTGTACAGTACTGGACGGTGGGTTGACGGTTCCTGCATCTGGGCCACGCGTCCCCAAGTACAACATCTCTGTGCTGCACATGTCAAGAAAAGGGGTGCCTGCGGCTGGTTACGTGGGCTGCATGGCTGAGTTCACGGCAAATTCTTTGACAGGTCTGGGATTTAGGGTTAGGAAGGGCGTTAGGGTTGTGGGGATATGTTGGTGCCTACGGGTTGCGGGGGGGGCTGTGGATGAGCTTGTTTTGACTTCGTGCTGGGCTTGCTGGGATCTGTTTGTTGTAGGCTGTCTGAATGCTCTGGTGTTGAGATTGGCTCGGTATGATGCACTTTGATTGGATTATAGTAAAATAAACTGGGTTGGAGCATTTACCTAGATTATGTATGTAGGGTGGGGGTGCTTGAACTAGTTCGTGGACATCCACTATCTACCATACCACAGTGCTTGAACATGAAATATGTTTACAAGAGAGTCAACAAACAAGACGACTACCTATACCCACATCTATGCTCCGCCACCACAGGGATAATCTTGAAATCCCCCCAGGAGGAAACGGTAACCCGACGCGCCGCAGCCTCGATCAAGTCATAGACCTCTTGCTCAAAGACACTCTCGCCGTCATCCCACGCGAGGTGACTTCCCAGCGGCCCCCGCACTAGCTGCTTTCCCTGACGATTCTTTAGCGTTTCCCGGTCAGCTCCCAGCTGCACCACCGCCTCCGCTGCTGGCGGCGGCGACGCCATAGCAGCTTCGGCAGGTAGCCCCCTTCCGATTGCGCCCGCACTTGCCGGTAGTCGTCCGGCGAGACGTAGACCCGGTTATCGCCATAGTCCTTGGCGGCTTCCCAAGAGCTCTGCCAGCAGTTGGTCGTGTAGTGCACAATCCCTCCTCGTGGTCTTGCCGGGTATATCGGACCAAGCAGAATAACCAAAGCCTCTCTAACGGGAAGTCTGAGTCGGCTTCGTAGGGAGGACCGCATTCCGCCGCCCGGAGCTCTTCGTAGCGAGCCAACTCTCGCCTGAGTCACTTCTCAGCAATGTGGCGGGATGTATGGCAGACTTGCTTGAGAGGTGGGACCGGGATGTGGAGCCGTTGTCTGATTTCGGGCTGCTGGCCGGGGGCGCTGTCCAAGAATCTCAGGTTCATCGGATAGAGACTTATGACATCAAAGTCTTTCCACCGGAGAAGCCCAAAGTCCTCGAGGGACATCTCCCAGACTTGGAGCTGTAGCTCGGGTGGAAGCCGGAGGAAGGGATGGAAAGTTGTTAGGCGTTTCGTGCGGGGAGACTGCGAGTCTCGACCCGGGTTGATGATCTTCATGGCTTGAACTTACACCACTTTTAGGGTCGGTTGTAGACGTGAGCCTTGTATAGTTCGTTGAAGTTGATGGTCTTGTCTTCAGTTTGGCTGTTGCTCATCATCTTATATGCTGTCAAGCGGGCTTTCGGATGCATAGGTTTGAGTATATACATGTGTATCGTTCTTGGTTGAACTTGCACAAAGTGAATGATAAAAAGGGTAAATTCCTTACTAGTCCTTTGTTCTTAGCCGAAGTTTTTTATAGAGCCTTAAAAACTCGGGGTGATTCTCGGTGCTCAAAGACCTACAGTACTGCGTGAAGGGTGTAGTCCGTAGCAGAAGGGCTTCACCTGAGGCTAGGCCGGTATCTTCTAGCTGGTCTTGGTGGCCTTAGAGCAAGTGTTCTGTCAAGACGACAGGAAGGATAAGTTCGATAATCATCGCGTTGGGAGATATTTTGATCCCAAATATTGGAGCATGCAAAGAAAGTAGTCATTGTGATGACAGTTCTCAAAGACTTGTTGCAGCTAGACAGTAGATGGCAATCCATTAGGGTAGTGACAAATCTGGTCTATTCTCTTTCACGAAAACATGACGCATCAACCACTCATACTCGGAGGCAGATCCTCATCTCGGGTCCCCCAGTCGCTTTCTGCAGTTCCCAGCGCAAGCTCGAGCACTCCACCATCCGTGAAAAAGTCATGGCTAATCCAGTTCCTGGTCCATGGTTGACCATCTCGGGTGGCATTCTGGATGTAGATTGACTGATACGTCGGATCGAAATTCACATTTCGGATTGTGGCGGTCTTGCCCGTGACTTTGTTTAGAATGCTGACCTCCTTGAAGAACGGTGGGTTGATTAGATAGACATCCTGCCCGTGGACTGGAAACAGTCCCATCATGCTTAGAGCTGCAAACGCTCCCATCGCTCCTCCGTCATCGTTGCCCGGGATACCTGAGACTGAGGTGTTGAATTGCGAGGGAATATATGCATGTGCCTGCTTTGTGGACAGTCCAGGGCGTCCAGCGTAGTGAAATTGATGAACAGTGAGGAATGCTTGCTCGTCACCGATGTAGAGGAGGCCTGAACTGTGCAAGTACGTAAGTCGAGAGACAAACATCTCACGCCCACCGAGTTTCTCGACCAAAGAAGCCATGTCTTGCGGAACGTAACTAACAGATAATTAGCTCTCATCTGAGCTCGAAGTATCAGGCATACTCACAATGAGTAAAGCCAAGCGCTGCCCTCATAGGTTTCATGGCCATTAGCATTCAGGTAGCACGAGTCAAAACTCAGCAGCGGACTACAGAAGATCGGGTCCTGGTATCCCCATGTTCCATTCGGATAGCGTGGCTGAAGAAAGCCAGTGAAACCAGTGTTCACCCCGCTGATGGTTGAGTTCTGATCGTCTTTGAACATGTTCTGCCAATTTCTGGCGCGCTGTGAATACTTCTCGCTGTCGCTCTCATGGCCTAGGACCTGGGCCATTTGAGCAATGCAGTAATCATCGTAGGCGTACTCAACTGTCCGTGAGATGCTCCGTGTGTGCAGTCCCACTCCGTACGGATCGAAGTCATCTGTTGGTATATAATTGAGAGTCTTCCAGCTAGTCAGGCCACCCCGTCCCTCAATATTCCAGTTGGACGGCTCGACTTCGGCATCTTTCACCACGGCCTCATACGCAGTCTCCCAATCAATATCACTCACGTTCTTTAGGAGGGCGTCGGCCAAGAGTACATCTGCATTGGAGCCTCCCTGGGTATAGCCTTTGCAGAGTGACATGCGGCAATCGGGGAGATAGCCTTCATGACGATAGATATCAATAAGGCTCCGGATCATCAATGACTGCGAGAGAGGATCCACCAGTGTCAGCAGTTGATGCACACCGCGGTAGGAGTCCCAGATACTAAGCAAATATGTTAGATGAAGCTTGACTGGAAGCACGGCGCTACTTACCAATAGTAGCTGTCATAGTAAGGTTCGTCACTCTGCCAGAGTGGGTTCTCCCCAGTGTAGTCCTGTGGGCTGATCATTGCGCGATAAATACCACTCCAGAACACTTTCTGCAGGTCGGTCGATGTTCCTTCTGTATCAACACTGATTGCGCTCAGTTTCTCCCTCCAGGCACTCTCCGCTGCCCATGCCGTGCCAGCAAAGTCAAAATTGGGTTGTTCATTCTCTACATTGGTACAAGCTTGATCCACGCTGATGAAGCTTACACCTACCCTGACAAGGATCGTCTCATTTGCTGTAGGTGCATTGAACCTGACGAATGTACCACCACTTAGGGTCGATGCAGAATTGCTGCCATCCGAAGTTAGTGATAAGAACGTCTGGTTGAGACCCGCCCGGTTGTTCTGCCAGACGCCAGTATCTCGGACTTGTGCTCCTCTAATGTCCGCGCAAAAGTGTAGGTCATACGTCCCAATGCCGAAGCTAGGACTAAAGGTGCCGTTGCCTGTCAGTCTGCCTGTAGATGGATCTACTGATGCGGTCCCATTGGTGCGAGACTTAGGAAGATCCATAAGGTCGACGAGGACGACAGGACTGAATGTTTCGCTAGGAGCGTTCTCGAATGTGAAACGATATAGCGCAGAATGGTTAGTGACGGTCATCTCAGCAAAGATGCCGTTGTCTAATGAGATCGAGAAATATCCTGGTCGAGCCTGAGGCGATGACCAGGCTGTGGCTCGCACTGATTGCTGCCAGGCGCATTGATCCAGGTCATCATTGGGACAGCTTGGGTGCACGAAGATAGGAAAGTTGCCCAGGGATGGAGACTGTCAATAGTTATTGAGGAGCTCAGCCATCGGCTAGGAAGGTCGAGCTTACACCACCAGTCCCAGAGTCGTGCATATGAGAGAACCCAGAGACATTTTGCGTGTCATAGGCAAATCCGGCCTGATTCTCACCAAGAGTATCAGCTACTGCTTTAGCCATGCCTGTAAAGAAGTTAGCTGTCAAGAACTTTTAGATGTGAACTAATCAGATAGGGACGTACCAAAGGGCAGAGTTGCACCCGCGAATGAATGACCTATCAATATTGTCAACTTTTGGATGCCCTTTCATGGCCATGCCATATACCTACCTCCATTGGAAGTTCCAATTAGCGGGTCAATGTAGTCAAGTACATTGGAGGACACGCTCGAATCGTCGACTATTCGTCGGGTTACAGAAGCAGAAGCTAAAGCTGTCAGCCCAAGCACTTCAAGAAGCCTTGAAAAAGAAGCTGGGGCCATTATCAGACAAGATCATCCAAGCCCGAGTTTGATGGATTGAGAGTTGTGGGGATGAATTGAAAATATAGTCTTTAGGAACATTCCACAACAACAAAGGGTCCATGGCACAGATGCGGGGGGCAACCACTCTTCTTAAAACAATGAAAGCCACCAATGCGGTCGAATCAAAGCTCATCGATGCTCACATCTGGTTATGTTTTATTTATTGAGCTCTGTCTCTTCAAACTTGCCATTTATCCTAGTCATATCCCAAACTGGCTGCATGAATGGGTATAGACCAGCCGGCCATGTAACCATAATCAAGCTACTGCATGTAACACAACCTCGACAATAGGGTGGCAGTTTCTGCAAGGGATGGTCGCGCGCTTCCGAGTGTTGAAGGGCGGGGATTTAGGATAGTCCAATACTTTCACGTTCTTAGTAGAGGGATGTTTCTTATGAGTCGTTTATCCCTTGTTAGCTTCATGACAAGTTTTTGTGTCATCCCATGACTCCTTGGTCGGGCCTCGGTCACTAGAGCGCCGCAAGCGACAGTAACAGAGAACACAGCTTTGCCGAAACATTGGCTTGTTCATCTCAAGGAGAGAAACGTTTTTATACCTGATGTGAAGGTTGACTCCCACCGTCGCTGGACGTCGTGCCGCATGCCGAGCTTTGTTCCTATTAAGCTTATTTGAAACACAAGTCTCTTTTCGCGATAACAATCAACGATAAATTATTGAACCGCTTTTTGTTTTTTTCTTCTTTTTTCCTTTTGGAGGCGTAAAGGTGTCTTCTCGAAGGCGCAAGGCGCATGTGAGGCAGACGCCATTTTCGTGCGATGTGCAGCGCCTGATGAAGCATGTTTGCAATTAGCCGCAGTCGCTATAGATCCCAGGCAGAGAACTCGGAGTTGGAAAGCTCATACCATAATCATATCCTTGAAAGTGTTGATCAATGCTCTTTGTGTAGTCTCATAGTGTACACTTGATCTGTTCTTGTGATACTCCGCGTCGTTTGCGTGCGGGGACGATGCGTCGGCTGACTTGCTAGCAAGTATCACGCTATATCAGTCCGACTCTGCACAGATGGTAGGTGAAGGTTACATCAAATGTGGAGAAGAGGACTTAGCATACAATAACAGTGAAGATCTCTGATGGAGCTTAGGTCTCTGGATGTTATTCCTTTTCTGTAGTGCGGCCATCTTTGAATGATGAGAGAACTTGAGTATGTAGTTGGTGTAGGGAGGTGGTAGGTAATTCTTAGTAAATGCCAATTTAGGAACAAAGCCGCTAGCTGGGAAATATAGCAGCGAGTCCTCATCAATTCACTCCACCGCACGGAGAGATACTCATAGATATCCAACAGATGCTCACCATGGCACTCTTGCAAACATCATTTTCTCTTCCCATGTTCCCTCTCACACACCCTCCCCATCTACACTCGATGCAACCCCCTTGAAACTAAGAATACAAACATGGACCTCCCAGCTGAGATCATTGGCATTGTAAGGCCACTCTGAAATCAAGATAAGACGCTTAAGCTGACTATTGCTCACAGATTGTAGCCTATATTGCCAGTTATGATGCCATATATTGCTTTGGTGTCTGTTTATCCCATATTGATTCAATCCCGATGCATGATCTGGCCAGCTTACAACTGGTCAACAAACCTTCTGCTATTTTACTTCCAAACACTTCTTTCGAATCTTATCGTGGGGAGGGGGGCTATGGGATGAGATTTGCTACAGTCCGTATGCGGTACATGTCCGCCAGATGCATCTAATTGGCCCTGACCACGGTTTCGACAAAATGAGCTGGGAAATGCTCACGATGCAGCTGCCGATTGGCTTGTCTTGCTTACTTTATCTCGAATCTATGGTGGTTCATCTTGAAGTCTTGAGTACAAGTGATCTAGAAGCGATCAATCCTCAACGAGTCCTCGTGCAGAGCTTCGAGAAGGCACCGCTTCTCAAATTGAGGAATCTACTTGTCTTTTTCGATGGGCTGAATGCTTATAAAGCGGGCACCCTGCGCGAACTTGTTACTCCAAAGAAACAGGTAACACGACTTCTCCAAGGACTGCGTCGTCTTAGCCTTCAGACTCCGGATGCTATGGTTCCTGACACTTGGACGAAGGCTCAATCTTTAGCTGCAGATTGCTAGGCATGCCTTCTTAACTTACCCGAAACCTCTCCAACGCATCTTGCACCCGAGACAGAGGACGAACCGGAGCAGGATGTACACCCGGACTCTTCCACGCTTAAACTGGAGTTACTTGCGTGGGCCGAACTGGCAGTCCCTGTTTCTGTACCCGCCGCTTTCGCAACCCTGGCAACGCAATCGTTGCGCTATTTCGATATGCATCGGGTCTTGCTTGTCTCAGGGAACTGGTGTGATATTCTATTATCACTGAGCCATATGCCACAGCTAGTCAAATTCAGGCTCAAAAGATGCAAGCAATGGGAAGCGGGCTCCGATCGTTAACTCATTTGCGTGAACCTGGTGCCTGCACCTGGCGTGAAAGCTGAAGTTGACGGGCGTGATTACAAGGCTCCCCTTGCTTGTCTTCCTCTGGAGCTGGGCCTAGCCTATGTTGCTGCGTTGCGTCAAGTTAATGTGAATCGGAGTAGTGCTGGAATGTCTCCACTGTGGCATCAGAGAAAGTGGTGGACCTGTCAATAGCATGATCCAAAGTATGTTAGTGTGCTTGCTCGAAGTGATTTTGTTTCCTGATTGCAAGGGCCTTCACAGCACCACTATCATTGTGCCCCGAAGTGCACCTGGAAGAGGATATTTAAGCTTCCGAAAGAGGGAAGAATCTGCTGTTACATGTCGATTTATGAAGTTACCTAAACTTGGAGATAGTGAGTCACAAATTTCGGAACTATGAACATCTAAAGAGTCTAAGAATCGTAAAACGTCAACGAATCTATAGTGACGGGGAGAGGTGCAATGTGTGAGTTTGTGCAACAACAGTACGGAACAATGTTGTTCCGCAAACGGGAAAACATACCGTTTTCAGCCAAAGGATCGCCATGCCAAGCTTCTAGCAGCTTCAACTTCCTTATCCTTATCAACCATCTCCACAACCACACCTAGAACCATGAGCATGCCATCGGTTGATTTGCGATGATATGCGGGTCCTTTCGACTCTATCACAGAAGACGCGACCTTCATGAGTTGTGGCCGACCCAGCAGACACAATGCCTGGAGTGCCGTCCAATAAAGCCTGCGAGCGGTGCAAGAAAAGACACCTGAAGGTTGGTCCAGTGTTCTGCCCTTGACTAGGAATGCTTGCTAAATCATTCAGTGTGATGAAGCGCGTCCGAAGTGTCAACGATGCATCAATGCTGGTGTAGACTGCCCTGGGTATGTTCAAACTCGCAAGTTCATTGATCAGGGCGCTGCCGTGAGGCGCCGGTACGCCCCTTATCATGGCGAGGAAGTTTCAAATCGTCACCACAGTCCAATGGGCGCCCCAACGCACGTATGTACTTAATCTTCTCCTATGGTCCAGCTGTGTAAGGTTGTGTATGAAAGTCATATACTGACATGTGACTAGACGCTTCCGGGCGATTTATCGAGCTTGAATCATGACGCCACCAAGCAAACAATGCCAAGCCCAAGTCAGTTCCCATCTGGAGCAGCAACAGCGCCAGCATCAGGATCAACCCTTGGCATAAGTCAGCTTGTGTCGCACTCCCCAGCAGGGGCCTCGTCTCAGGCAAGCTCCCCAGGCGTAAGCATGCAAGCACGTCACGCAATTCGAACTCCTGACTGGGCCGGTCGAGAGATTGATCCGACCGGCATGGTAAGTTCGGATCCCGTCATTGGTCCTGGATGGAATGATGTTCGAAGCTCAAGTGCTTCGAACCACGCATTTGATAACGCATCTTACCCTAATGCTGAGATGGCGCCTCGACAAAGTCAAGCTTCATCACATACGGGGCATACATCGCACAGTCCGTCTCAGGCGGACGAAAATGAGAGCATTCAAGACATGTATTCCGATCTCATCAGTGGTTCTGGATATGAAGAATCATTCTTAGTACGATACTACGTCGAGGCGTTGGCGCCATGGTTTGTGTCCCCCTCTTGCGTGCTGCCATTTTGCTCATCCGTATGCAGGTTAGATCTTTCCGACCCTCGCAAGTTCTTTGCGACTCATGTTCCGCTACGAGCCAAAGACGATGTGGCTCTTCAATACTCTATCACTGCTGTGGCCGCGAAGCACCTCGGTAGAATGAAAGGACTGAAAATTACCGAGAATACTGCATTGTTCACGACTCCTGCGATACTGGAAACGTACCCTGATGTGTCGGACTCGGAGTGGCTGCATAAAGCCACTATGTACGGCTACCTGGCTGGTCAGCGACTAAATACTGCTCTCTCCGAGTCCTACACAGCGGTATCTAGCTCAACTGTACTGAAATCCCCTTTCGAGACGATCAATGACTGGCTGCGTAGCCAATCGAAGAACGCCCCCTTCGACCCACACACACAATTGGCCCTGGGGAAGAAACTAGAAAACTCCCTCGCTGTTTCGACTATCCTCAATCTGTACAAATCGATGGATGAGCCGGCAGAGAAAGGGCATTCGTGAGTTTATCCCTGTGGAACTCTACCATCTTGATGAGGATTAACGAATACAAAATAGACATCTCTCCGGTGTCAAACCGCTCTTCGAATCCATCGTCAGCCTATATGAAAACATGACACCAGCCCCTACAAGCTTCCCACATGGCGTCATTGCGGCGTTCTGTAACTTTGCCCGCCAGGACTACCTGAGCTCGTTTCTCAATCGCGTTCAGACCCACTTGGACCCCAGTGATTTCAAACTCTGGAGGTTTGCCGGTATACCGCTCGATGACGAAGGGAACATTGGGCCTATCAGCGAAACTTTTCTTCTCCAAGAAGACCTCTCCTTTCACTCTCTGGCATGGCTCTCATGCAAAGTTGTCAACTTTCTAGCCGACTCGAAGAAATCGTCCCTGCAACAACTGGTTTGCTCTCCATCCAGCGAGGGCTCGGAGGGCTCCACCCCGTATCCCACGACGTCCACATGGCTGAGGCTTTCGTTCGAGTATCAAACGTGGGTCGAACGACTCCCAGAATCGATCCGCCCTTGCGTGCGCCTTGAGAAGCCCCGAAACCTGTCACATCCGCCCGACACAAGTCCTGTCCCGTTTCCTGAAGTCTTCTACTCCTTACCGTCGTATGCATATGCGATGCAAGTGTGTCATTTCGGCCGCCTCGCATTGTCTCTAAATCGCCCCACCGACGCAGTCACAGCTCCAAGCACCGCCTTCGACCGCGTGCAGGGGTATCGTGAGCTGACCAAGGAGGTCGACTACCGGTGCCGGGAGATCATCGGGATTGCGCTGGCGCGACCGTCAAGCTGTGCGCGTGTGCACATGACACCGCTGCTGTTTGCGGTGGGCCAGTTCCTCGAAGCGCCGGAGGAACGCCAGATTCTGGTGAACCTGCTGCGCGGCATCGAGGCGGATCTGGGGTGGGAGACCGAGTCGAAGACGAGGAAGCTGCAGACGCTGTGGAGTCATCAGTAGCTGGTTGCTGCGGGTGGGCTGGTTAAGCCGAGCTGAGATCCAAGGACTTGACCCTCTGCCGCTGAGTGCTGCTACCCGAGAGGATCCACGAGCCCATGGAACTAGCACATTACAGACCTCTCGCGCCAACTTTGTATTAATGACACTCAAGAACCGCCGAGTGTGGATAGTCGGAAATTTCGCAACTATATCTTGCTCATCTATGCATGTCTTGAATTCCAACGGCGAAATTTATACTATGTTCCCTTCGCATCTCGGATGCCTAATAGGTGTATATCTTGCATCTGTACAAATTGTATAGTCGCTTCGATTAAGTCAACCTCAAGTTTGAGCAATCATTTACAGTGAGATAATCCATAAGACAAATACCGAAATAATTTCAAAAGCTCGTTAGGTATGACTCAACCTTCGAAAGTGACTAACTATAGTTGCTATGCTTGCTGAGGAGATGTAAGCATGTGTCGCATCTTGCTTTGCTACTGGCAATGTGGTCCAGGTTGGATGTGCTTTCTCCAGAGCTCCGGAGGTGCACTGGCAACCTCTCACCACACAAGGCCCCATGGTAAGGAGGAATGTTTTGGTCTTGGTCTTCGACGCGGAGGTGGTTGGGTCAGGGGATGACTGAGATGAGTTCGCCATAATGACAGTTTGATACTAGAAAGCTTAGGAGTTACTGGCTAGCAGTTCTGCTTTTATATCAAAGCTCTGATGCCGACCTCATTTTTACCTATGCAGGCAGCCGTTATAACAAACACGCACAAGGCTTTTTCTGATGCTCAATGGAAGAAAACACATACCCAACTCAAGAGTAACAAGAAAGATGATAAAGCAACCACACTACATCTTAAGTCACAGGTAATTCACAGCGTAGTGGCTTTCTTTGTTGATCGAAGCGGGGCGGGCTGGTAGCATGGAGGACGTGGCAAAGAGCTGTCCAGCCTGGCATAATCAAACCTACATTTTACAGTATCCAAAAAACAGATACTACCCAACCCAATGAATTAGCATGAGAGCTAGAAGACCTCAAACCCATCGGATTATTGCCCTTTTCTAGTGTAACCGTGCCCTGTAGCTGCTAGCTGTGATACCCAGGTAATTACTCCGTAGTCCTTCTGTGCATGGTTTAAATGGCCGGTTTCAGATATATATACTCTATACGCAATCGTTGGTATCCTAGAGCACAGACAGATCACTTATAGACTATTAGGGAAACACAGAAAGTAAACAGCGAAGGGCTCTCCGCATGTGAAACTACATGGGACCCATATCCCTCGCCCAATATTAGACACATTTCGCATAAGTCATCAATCAAGACAGACCAGCTGCCACCGTACCGTACACAAGATCACTCATCATCCTCATCCGGATCATACAGATCCAAATCCAACGTAGCCTTGGGCTTCGCCGGCGGCCTAGCACTCCCACTCCCACCAACAGTAGTCGTCGCTGAAGCAGCAGACGAGCCCGCCGCCGCCGCCGCCCTGGCCGCCTCATCCGCATGCCTAGCCTGCTCCGCGACCTCCGGCCCCGGCGCGGCAGCCACCGGCGCCGCGACGCCCAACCCCTCCGCCTCGCGAATCATGCGCTCCACCTCCGCCTCAACCTGGAAACCCGGCCGCCCCTCCGCCGCCACCAACTGGATCTGACCCATCAGGCCCATGCGGATGCGATCCTCCATCGGATACGGCAACATATACACCTGCCGCGCCAACTGCGCGCTCTCGTCCAACCACGAGGTCGCCCCTTTGGTCACCTCGGCCACCGGCTCAGCATCAGCGGGAGCAGGAGCAGTGGCATCCCCGGCTCCATTCGCGCCGCCAGCCCCAGCTCCCGCCCCCATCCCCCCCATCTCCGCATCCTGCGCCGACCCCCTCCGCGCCGCAACCCGTTCCTCAACCCCAGCAGCCGCATCCGCTGCCGCCTGATGATTATACTTGCTGATGCGCCGCGCAAAGTCCAGGAGCAGCTTGTAATCCACCTCCTTCACGCCGCGTAGCTTCGTCTTCTTCCCAGCCCCTAATCCATCCGTGCCCTGCATCTCCGTATCCCCATCCCCCTCCTCCCACCCCGCCTCAGAATCCAGATCAGTATCATCCTCCTCGTCCGAATCACTCTCTGAATCGGAATCCCCACAAACCCCCCGAACCACCCCCTCGTACTCCACGACCTCGCGCACGATCCCCCGGACCTTCTCCTCGAGGGCCTGCGCCTCCGCGCGCAGCCCCAGCAGACGCGCGTAGTTGCGCTGGTGCACGCGCAGCACGTCGATCGTGGACGTGAGGGCGTCGTCGGCGGCGAGGAGGGAGAGGGCAGCGGCCGGGGCGCCGGAGGCGGTTGGCGAGGTCGTCAGCGTGGTGAGGAGGGTGTGCAGGGCCGATTCGAGGGTGGAGAGGGTGGTGTGGGCTTGAGTGTTCATTTTGCTGTCTTCGTGGGGGATGTTCGCGGGGAGGTGTTTTGGTTGGGTTGTGGGGCTGTGTTCGTGGATGGCTTGAGTAGTGGTGGTGGTGGTGTTTATTGAGGCATTGGTTTCAGGTGTATTCCGTGTGGTTGGAGTTGGTGAGTGGAGAAAGGTAGGTTGGTGGGGATTGAGGTTGAGTTTTGGTGGTGGTGGTGGTGATGCTTGCTTGGCAGCTGGAGCTTGGGCTTGGCTGAAGCTGGACGGGAGCTGGGGATTGTTCCGGGTGGAGGCACGTGAGAGGTGCGGGTGGGTCACGTGGTGTGGTTCTCCGCTGCAGGCTGGCGATGGCCCGAACAAACAACTAGCACACACCACTGGCGCAACTTGCGTCTACTTATGACCACCTCCTTGCTTTGCTTCGGGCTAGCATTAAGCAACGGCGACCGGCGTGTGCCACACAGTGGTGGCAACGGGTTAGCTCCGTGACGGAGTAGCAGATGCACATTACGCGAGAGCGCCACTCTATCCAGGGCCGTATGTCCAGTCACTACTTGATTGATATTTTCGCCGCATCGTAGGAGGAGGTCGACGGTGGCGCTTGGGTCTGCATCCGGCCTGTCCATGGATCTCGCCGCCATACAAAAGATGTCAACCTGTCGGGGCCGGGAGAGACGAGTGTGAGACCCCGGATCAATCAGAACTGCACTATCTCCACTCGGCCGGCGTTGGCCGCCACGCAGAAAGCTTCCTCACAGGCCATGCTGGAGAGAATCTCCGGGAGGAGCAGGTCGTCCCATCGCTGCTGTCGCAGGAGAAACTCAAAGACCGCTCGTCCGCCTCCAATGGCTTGGTGAATGAAACTGGCACGGCCCATGAGCAGCGGCAAGTCAAACTCGCGGTCCAACAGCATCTGCACCAGTGCAGTCCGACCCGAGCCCAGAACCGCGGCTGCGACTGTCGTTTTTCCCACACTCATCCCATCAGGGCTAGCCCCAGCTTCCAGCAGGCATCGGAATATTTCCTCGGACGGAATGGCCACCATAAGAGCAGGATTGCAGGTTCAATGGTAGACGTCTTCGTCGTTCGATTGGCTCCCGCCTCGAGTAACAGTTCAATGATGGGCTGGTAACCCCCGTGAATTGCTTGAAGAAGTGCATTCTGTCTAACCACCTGATTCACGTGTGGCTCGCGAATGATCATCGCAGGGTTTTGAACGACGGACATCTGCCGAGTTATGATCGCCTCTCTCGATGGCTGAGCGCCACGCTCAAACAGCAACTCCACAACGGCTGTGTGGCCTCGGTTCGCCGCTAAGGAGCTGTGAGAGAGCCATTGAGTGAACCCTGTACAGACCGGTTCACAGCGTTCGCATGGCAGCCAGAATTTTCCAGAAACCCCTGGACAGCAGCGAAGTCCCCTCGTGCAGCGGCAACACATAGCATCGCACTTAGATTTGTGCCGAGCTGAGCGTAGCCCTGAGGCTGCGCCAGAAGGAGGTCAACCACAGCCGGGTGCCTGCTTCTAGCGGCGCACACAAGAGGGTGTAATGGTCTCGTTCAGACTCGGCAGGCTATCCATCACGCCGTCCGCATTGATGAGACACCGCACGCATTCGAGATAGCCATGGTGAGCAGCTTCGGAGATGGGCGGCGCGGTTCCACTGTAAGATCCGGCGTTGGGATCAGCACCCCGACTCAAAAGGAACTCCACCACCTCGTGATGACCGGTTCTCGCCGCATGCGCCAAGGGGGTTTGGTCGTCGTTGTCGCGAGTCTCGAGGTTCGCGCCCGCATCGACCAGGCAGCGGACCACGGGGAGACGGCCCATCTCCGCGACGCCGATCAGCGGCGTCCTGCGCAACCCGTCGGCCGGGAAATCGACATCGCCCTTCCGCGGCAGGTAGTCCAGGAGCATGCGGGCCAGCGGCTCATGGCCGCGTTTCGCCGCAATCGCCATGAGACTCATGGTCTGCGCAGGGGAGGACGAGTAGTCCCGGTGAAGGGGGTTTCACCCAGTCGCGGGCCTGACGCAGATCGACCCCGTGCTCGCGCAGGAGTCGTACGATATCTTTCTGGCTCTCGTAGATTGCTAACGCTACTGGTCGCCAGTCCCTGTGCGGGTCGCATTCGTGGGGGGACGCGCCTGCGTCCAGGATCAGCTTGACAGTTTTTACAGTGATGCGCGATTCTTCACGCTAGCGCCGTGCTGTCCCCATGGCGCACATTGTATCCGTAGAGCCAGGGGTTCCGGACTTTGTGTAAATGCTTGTTGGTACAGGCGAGTGCGTTGATCTCGCGGTCATATTCAAGCAGGTCCCCGATGATCTCGATCAGCTCAACCGAGAGCTCCGCGATGCCCATATTTGCGAGTCGAGTAGTGATGGTGATATCGAGCCTGACGTGTGTAGATGGGTGAAAATGGGACTGGGATACCCGCGATCCGTGTGCTCGAAGGCCTGTGGGCTGGATTGTGGTTGAATATCTCTCAAATAAAGTAACGCAGCTACAAAGGAATTATTCTCGGTCCACTCTATCGTTAACAATGGAGCACAGGGACACTGCGCATCCGACGCAGGGAACAATGAGAGGCTGTTGAGGTTGCGAAAGAGCATGAGGAAATCCTCCTTTCCAGAATTCTGGATTGGTGTCCGAGCCACAGTGATGCTCTTAGGAAAGTCGAGCTTTTGCAATGGGAGGATCATATAGCTCTTTTGCTTGTGACTGCGATGGTCTGGACCAAAAACAGGATGAGGTGTCTGAAGGCCGCCATCTCGGTTGAAATGGCTACATAAAGAAGGCGCTGGATACCACGGGTCAGGTGACAATCGCTCACTACTCTTCGACACCGACATAAGTCCGCTTCCGGCTGGATCCTTGCTCTGATAATTTGCCATTTAGTTCGGGTTTTCTCTGAATGACGACCCAGATGCTATCATGACTATTTTGTATGTTTTCTGAGGGCTTGACCTAGACTAGTACGACTACCGGTGATACATAGCTCAAACCAGACAAGTTTAACGAAGAAACCTATAGCTGCTCAATAGCTCATCAATGCCTCAATCTGTGATGGACTTCAAATCGCCAGCGGAGAAGGTTAGGTTTGCATACTATAGTGGGTCATCTTAAAGAGACTAGTAATAACACAATACCACGCAACTCCACAGCCCTGAACGCCATATGCGTCTTACTCATCCTGCAAAGATCCGCTTAAGTTCTTCCGGTGTTGAGACGACAAAAACAAGATGATTTGATCGGAACATCCGCTCGAGCCAACGCCATCCTAAGCTGTAACCCAAGAATGCGCGCCTCAGATTCACGACCCAGTCTCACAAGACACTCGTGGTACCCATGCAACGACCACACATTATTCGGATGCTGTTTGGCTCGCGGTAAGGAGTCATCCACCCCCAGATCCGCGGCATAAACGTTCGCCGCCTCTTCCACAAACCCTTGCTCCAACAGCAAAGCGCCATGAACATGGCGGATGGGCTGCATCCACCCCCATGGCTCGTCATATGGAAGTTTATCATAAAGACTGGTGGCATGGCTCAAATGCTGGAATGCCTTGGAAATATTGCCACGGCGGTACTCCAGCTCCCCGTCGAGCATGGCCTGTGCGATGGCTAGAATGTCACGACAAGTGTTGTTGTGCAGGGTGCGCGTTGGTGGAACTCGCTGGAATGCTTTCTGGAAAAGTTCCTGTTCCTTACTGGCCTCGTCGATTTCTCCCAGTGCAGCCAAGGCGACAGCTTTACCGTAGTGTATCACGGCGGTAGTCACGCAGTATAATTCCTGGTCCTGTGGGAGTTTGATCGCGATGATGTCTCCCCAGCGCCCGAAGCGGATTAAGACATGCACGCGCATCGGCACAAACGACTCCAAGAACATGGCCATCGGGGGATGTGGCGTGCGTAATATCTCCTCGGAGAGTGATTTTTCCAGCTTGATGGCAGTGTTCAGTGCGACCTTGAACTGCCCCGCGAGCATAGCTGCATAGATCAGGAAGTGGTAATTGTGGGATCTGTACATCGTATAGATACCCTGAGGCCGAGACAGGGCAAGATGTTTCTCATCAGCCCTCACTGCATCGGAGTTGGAGATGATAGCTCGCTGATAGTCCCCGCAGAGGATATCTATGTGAGTCGGCATATGATGAAGATGACCCGAGTCGGGAACCAACCCACGGAGATGATCAGCGATTTGCAACACCGCCTCCGGCTGGCTGGACATCTCCATGAGATGGATGTACACATGCAATAAACCTGGGTGTGCATAGCCGCCGTCTTCATCCAAAGCGCGGTGGAGAACATCTTTAGCCTCCAATGTACATGACCCTGCTGTCGGATGTCCGGTGTGCAAGTCCCAGAGCCGCCATGGCGTTAAGTTAATGAGGCTGTCAGCATATAGTGCAGTGACATCCAGGTCACCTGGGAATCTCTCATAGACGACCCGCATTGCCTCCGCATAGGCTCTGCTCCATGACTGGAGCTCCTGTGGGTCCTTCGGCGCATGTTTCTGAGGAAAGCGGGCTTGAAGGGCTCGAATGAGACCTTGCTCGACGGGCGTCGCAGCTTCACTGTTCTCCAAGGCCTGGGTGAGCGCAGAGTGTGTGCGGCCCACAACCATCTCCAGTGCCTGGGGAGGGAAAGCCTCCCACGACATGTTATAGTTTGGCCCGAGCGCAAACGCTAGTCCCCAGTATGCCATGGCACATGTTGGGTCGTGCGCGATCGCCTGATTGAAGCATTCGGCGGCCTGCTCGTGGTTGAAAGCATAGCACCAGGTAAGGCCACGGTCGAACCAGACCTGAGCATCCCTGCTCGCAGTGGTGACTGATCGATGGAAGGATCCAAGGTCATAGTATGGGGTATCCGCGGAAATAGCGATGGTCTGTCTGTTGAGATACTGGGCCATGTTGGTGGATAATTCACATTGTGTCAACCTAGCTCAGTGATTGCAATGCGACAGGTGGCAGGGAGAAGAGACAACGGTTGTCTGATTATAACTAGCCAGCCAGAAAGACATGTTAGTCATCGAACCGTCATCTTGTGATCCGTGACATCAAGACATGGACGCGCGGGATGGAACCAAGACAAAGAAACGGGTTGTACGAAGACAACAGGCCATCGAATGTTTTATCCTGCAGGTAGAAAGTCGTAATGGCCGATGCGATCTGGGGTTTGAAGTCCGAAAACGAGGAGAAAAAACTCCGAGAAGAGAGCCAGCGTTCCATCAATCTCACTACAGAACACCGCAACCATGCTCAGTACAGCTCAAATAGAGAGGTACTAAGACAGATATACCAATGCATCTGTAAGCGGAACGTAGCAGCAAACGAGAAGTAAAGGAGGGGCAACGGGGCAGGTAAGTTTAGCCGAGCAATGGGGGACAAGCTAAGAGTGGGGATTGTGCAGCAGGAATACGAGGGAGAAGTGGACTTGTGGGAGAGGAAGTTAAAGCTGAATAAAGTCTCATTCTCGTGACTTTTGCCGACAAGGGACGGGAAGGGTCTAGCCTCTCTGCCAGTTTGCTCGCTTGTCAATTGGACTGTCACTGACTGCACTGTCACATCCGTCAATGCCCGAATCCCCAACCCCATCAGCCCATAATTACACTTTTCAGACCATTGCTCTTCCTTTTCTTCAACCCAGAAAAAGCTTTTACCTAGAATTAAGGTATAACTAGAGCCAGAGGATCTCAGGTCGATCATGGTTATCTGAGCCGAGTGCCCTGTCATCTGCTAGTGGCCTGGCCTGCTCCCGCCAAGATCCTCCGCGTCTGCTTGGCGGGCGCACTACTCCGCGAGCTACCTGCAGTGGGAGACTGTTTTTGGAAACTGGTGTCACTCCAATTTGCTCATCGTGCAATCTGTCTGTTGATTCCTAAGAATTAGATAATGATTAATTTGTGATTGCAATCCTTCATCATGGTGAAAAGATGAGTGGTGGCCCCATCGACTGGTTGCCAGTGCAAGCAACAGAACACCAAGTGGGTCCGTTCTACGAGTTGCAGCCTGCAGGAGAATCGTCAACGTTTCTATCTGACAAGCAACGAGCCTCAATGCGCAACCTGACAAGCATCTACTCTCCCTTGCAAGACACCTTCTTGCAGACTCGAAACGGTGAATACCTACCTCTTGGAGGTTGCTTCAGCCTCTTCTCATGCCACAACTGCGACGCGGAACCATCACGAACAGGAGCGAGCTATAGTTCGTGATGGACAACCCGCCGTAAGCTGAGCTGACTAGATGGATGGGGGACTATATTCCACCACTTATCTTCATCCGGCTAGTCAGGCTGTAGATCGCGCCGAAGCGAACCTGTTCTCAACTTCTCACCTGCAGGATGGAGGATATACGGAGCCCCGGTGCATACGTAAGTCTCCTTCAATAGTGCCATGAAGATAACGAACGATGCTCCATCGACCTCAGCTGAGAACGAGAGGGAAACATCCACTGCCTTGCTCACGGAAACAGGACGCGTGTAGCAGCATCAGGGCGAGAGAAAAAGCTATATAAGGGCGGTCGTTGACCCTCGAGAAGACCTCGAAAGATATCCAGATATCACATATCAACAACTCCAGCCCAAATCCACTCTATAAACCATCCATCCCATCCAAACCACCTCAGCCCTTCAAGATGATGACCAAGGTTCGCAATCACCCTCCCCGATCGTCTTCACCCCTCTATCCGAAGCCCCCCTGCCACCCTCGATCTCAGCCCTACTAACCCTCAACTCAGACCCTCGCCCTCGTCGCCACCACCCTCGCCGTGGCTGTCACCGCCAACCCCACCGTGGGCTACGCGGGCTACTTCTACGAGAACTGCACCACCCCCAGCATCGACGCGGGCAACGCCTACGCGGGCTCGTGCCTGAACGTCGAGAACTTCCCCATCAAGTCGTTCACCGCATACGTCGAGTCCGGCAGCTGCGCCGACGGCACCTCGGCCGTGCTGCACACCTACACGGCCTCGGGCTGCGACGAGTCCACCCTGTTCGAGACCGTCAGCGTTGACACCGAGAAGCAGTGCTTCGAGGCGGATGTGACCCTGGTCAGCATCAAGTCGGAGTGTGTTTAGAATTCGGACTGCATGCGATGATTGCGGGGAGTATGTATCTAGACTTGTTGAGCAGTTGAATGTGATGATGTCGATGATGTCGATGATGAAGAGGTGCATATATGCCAAGTAAATTGTATGTTGGGCGGTGGGACGGCTCAAGGAGATAAGCTATGGTCGATAGCTTGGCGTTGGGGTGCTCGCTGCTTGGTGTTTGCCTGAGGTACTGTCGCTCTCGCTTGATACTGGTTGGTTGGTTACTAAGTATGTGCCTGAGGAATCGGGCTACCGAGTAATGTGCCTGGCATTAGAGTCGACTCTAGTCAGCCATCAATAAATACCTAGATATACTTCAAGGTTCTTCGATTTCAATGCCAATCACAGAGTCATAAAAATCTTTGTTGGTACAACTCATGCTTATTCTACCAGACTAAACCAGTATGCCACCGTCCTCCCGGAGCACCAACCCAGAATACATCGAATAGCATAGAAGGGCCAGATTCCAGATCTGCATTACTTTTCCCTACTCAATTATGACAACAATTTCCGCGTCCGGATTCTCAGCCGTATGCTGGGGCTTCAAAGAACGAAACTTCTCCTGCATTCCCCTCAATCCAATCCAAGACCCGATAATCAGAGCTAACCCCTCAGTCCAATTATATCAGATAGCACCTACCTCAACTCCCATGCATAAAATCAAAAGCAAACTATCATTCAACCTGAACTGGAACAAACCAACCACCTACCAATTCCAGGATTCTATCCACTTCAACCCCACCGTTCTCACACCTCACAATCCACATCTATAAGTACGAACACAGATCTACTCGTACATCCTGATCTCGGTCGAAGGGTCTCAAAACTCAAGACCGAACAAGTACGTAGTCTCTACAACCGTGCCCGCAACTGGAAAAAAAAGAGTGCCACACGCGATCAGCGGAGCAGAGAAACAACTGCCACTGCCCTGTTTCCCCCCTGCTCGAAACCCCCACACTCTTACCCTCTAGGATCATAAAAACCGGGAAATGCAAGACATGCGATATCATATGTCTTGGATAAACTCTTCCTGCAAGATATATCGAGAAAACGATCGTCGGGGGAGTACAACTTGTCTTAAACCAAGATTCCACTGCTGATCGATGTGGTTGGCAGAAGCCTGGGAAGGTGGTAGGGTTCGGCGGGTGGATCCGATGTATGGAAAAGTGGTTCGCACGAAAATTCTCCGTGCTCACCCCCCCCCCAAAAAGTCCTATCCACATCGGATACCCCCGGTGCGAAAGTGGCAAAAGACAAAAAGTATTGACCGACGCAGGGCTCGAACCTGCAATCTCTTGATTCGTAGTCAAGCGCCTTACCATTGGGCCAGCCGGCCTTGTTGATAATATGACATAATTATAAAGCTCATATTCACTTCTGAGGATGTGTTCGCTTTCATTCATGTGCGTATGCTAGTTAACAGTAAACATGCTACATTGGATATCTTCATAAACAGGACAGTAAGGAAATAGAAGGGAGTGGAACGTGAGGCAGGAAGGGAATGTGGATTAATCGCGGGGAAGATTGGCTTCGGGATCGGAGTCGCTGTATCGCTCCATCAGCGCCTCCTTCTCCGAGAGGGGCTCCTCTTCTTCGACCGTGATGACGGGGATTTGGGGCCGGCGGCTGTCCTGTGCCCAGAAGTAGACAGAGATGATCATCCGACCAAGGAGGAATCCAATGACGCAGGCGACGCCTCCAGCCACGACGCCTAGAAGAGCAGGGAAGATGATGGCGCGGATCTGTCGCATGACGCCCCGCTCGCGGCCGCTCCAGAAGAACTGTCCGTTGTGGCTCGTGCGGAAGACGGGAGGGTACTTGGTCGAAGCCGACGTCTCGTGCGAGTTTACAGTCGCGGCAGGAACCGGGGAGTCGTGGGGGTGGGGGCGGGCTTGGTCGTGGTCGTGCTCGTGCTGGCCGTGGGAGAAGGGGGTCGTCTTCAGGCAGTCAGTTACCGCTTCCTTGGCGTTGTTGACATAGGACTCGACCTTGGACTTCCACTCCTTCATGCGCCAGATCTTGTTGCCGTGGCCGTGCTCGCGGCTGGAGTTGGGGTCGATCACGGTGATCTGGAGGTTGTCGGCGGTGTCACGGACTAAGCCGATTGCAACGGCGTGGTCGGTGACGGGACGGCCGTGCAGGTCGAAGAGGCGGAGCTTCAGGTGGTAGATATCGCCCACGGGAGCACCAGGGTGAGATGGGAGTGGTCGGACATCCAGAGCGTAGGCGACGGAGACGGATTGCTTGTTGCCGTCCCATTTGCGGTCCACGGAGAACTGCATCGGCACGGACGCGGGGAAGAGGGGTTGTTTGTTGGCCAGCAAGACGCCATTTTGCGTGGAGAAATCAATAGTCTAGACATGGTCAGTTTGAGATTCGAGTTGTTTTCCGGGGAGGATTAACATACAAGGTGTGCAAGGGGGTCGAGTGCTTCGTTGCAGCTGGAGTCGGAGAAAGCACATGGAACGGCAGGCAAGTTTATCTGGTGGGCGCTGGCCGAGCGGGGGGAACTGATGTAGGAGTAAGGCACGGCAGCAGCGGCAGCACAGCTGCTGAGGCAGAGAGCGCCTGTCACGGACAGGTGGCGAAGCAACATGGTTGATTGTAGATCGTTTGATGATTTAGAAAGAGAAGGTGATGGTGGTTGGTGTTGGCTACTTGGTAAGTTGTATAGTGGTAGGTTGGTGTGATAATATGGCGGCGGTGATGGTGGTAAGTGGTGGTGGTGGTGGTGGTGTAGTAGTGATGCAAGGGAACGAATGTTTGACCAGGTCCCAGAGGGAAAGTAGAGGGAACGACAGAATGTTTATAGGATGCAAGACCGGAAGAAACGACAGAGCCAAGGCTGGAAAAATCATGCAGGGTGCTGTGAGCCGGGAAGAGGCATATAAAAGCGAGCAGAAAGCGACCAAGCAAACGCTAAGATTTGGCCCAGCGGGGAAAGCAAGACAAAGGCACAGCAGGAAGAAGCAGACGAGGGGGCGAAACGGGAATTATTCTGGGTCAATGCAGGCCAAGTTGATGGAGTGGAGTCAGAATTCCGAGGACTCAAAAGTAGAGTTAAGTTAGTGGAAGTAATGGAAGTTAAGTTGTGAGTTAGGTAATTAAGTTGTTGTTGTTGTTGTTGGTGTTTACTGCCACAATGAAATTAAGAGTATTTTGGTGATGGTTCTTCGGCTTACTGTTCTGGGTGCGGAAGAAGTGAAGGCTCTCCGTACTGTAGACAGGCGGCTTCCAACCATCCTCCATTCCTCCACCCATTCACCCGCCCCAACAAATAAACACTGCCTCAACTCGTTGGTTTCACTACTCTACCTTCTCTTCCTTGATCTTGGGGGCCAGGGACACTTTCATTTCTTCCACCTGCGCAAATTACTTGTGCAACCGGTTCCTGCTGCTTGTGTCACCGCAGTTGAGCGCAATGGCAATCCCTTGGGTTTGAAACAACCCCCATGGGCGGTTCTCGGAGGGTATTTGGCACCCGAGGATGGAGTATCTACTCTGACTGTATACCTACAGCACGCACTTGGACAAGTCCGGCAAAGTTAGAGACACAGAGCAGAGACAGACACCCTGACAACCAGCCAGCACAGCCATTCGCCCCCTCCCTCCTCTCAGGCTCTCACACTAATTAAATGCGCTATTATTAAGTATAGACCCTTTTTCCCTTTGGGCTTAGCCGTCCGTGTTTTAGTGCCTGTCGCTCTCCACTTTTCCATTGTCCGCGGACACCGGCGAGCTGTGCTATTTCATTCCTTCTTCTGCTAAGCTCTGCCAGCGCTGCCCCCCTCTGCCAATGATCAATCCAGCTGCACCTGGTCGCCCCCACGGGCCATTCAGGCTCTCACTTTCCTCTCCCTCCATTCATGGGTCATTGGAAGCTTAGCGATGAGGTTATCGCCCGGGGATCAGTTTAGCTGTGGATTCACTTTTTCTCCCCTCGGACCTCTCTATCTTCCGACCCAGACAGAGCACCCAAGGACTCACTCTTCAGAGGTCTCAGACAAACGGCTGCCTAATTTTGGACAAATCGGCGTTCCCTAATCTTGCTACTTGTCGTTCGATATGGGCAGACCGTCCATCTCCACCCCTCAGACACCTTACCAATAAGCCTCCGTCTGTCACTTCGACCGGCCGCCTCCGTTCGGCTACCGTGGACGAAGCCTTCGGGATTCTACTCTTCGGGGAAAATGGACAATCACCCAGCCCATCAGCGTGCGCTTGAAAGGTGCAATCGGACCCTGCGATTGGCACATCATGGCTCCGGGACATTTTCTTCGGCTCCCTCTTTGGCAATTCGAGCTGTCTTATTTGACAATCCCTGTATGACGCAGGGCATAGGCGATTATCGTATTCTCAAGATTTAAGGTTATGGGAAAACATCATCTCTCATAGCCTCATAGAGTCATTAGGCGACCCCGAAATGGTCGGTGGCTTGGGCGATTGGACCTGATGTCCATAAGTTCCGTGCCGGCCAACTCATCGGGCGCCATCCCCACTGTCAACTGGAGCAGGGTCGCAGCGTCACGGACAAATGCACTTATCCATTCTAGTGCTGCAAATCACTGGAAGCTAAGGCAACTCCGATGGGGGAAGTAAAAAAATGTGCCTGAGCTAACGTGCTGAAGGTATGGACCATTGGACCAGAAGTTGAGAGGGTTTTTTTTCTCTATGGAGTACCAAACTCCAATCTTTCTTTACCCTCAAGCTGATTACGGTTCACCCTTGAAACAGTTTAGCTCACTTCATTGGTTATTTTTAGTGCTGAGTCAGTCCGCCGAATGTTCCACCCAAAGGGCAATTCCAGGCAGACAAAAAAAAAAAGCAAATTTCGAGCTTATACATTGTTTATCCAGAGGCTGAACTACATTAGACGATGTGGTCAATTAGCGACGTCGGAACATACGCTTGCATCATCTATGCGATATCTCACGTGCTTATGGCTGCAACGGCAAGCAAACTTGAACGCGGTTCTGATGCGCGCATTCCACTACCGGAAGACTTACCCCTGACTGAGATCACGGATCCGGCCCGTCGGCAGAAACTCGCCCTGTGACTTGTGACTTGGGAAAATATAGCCACCCGAAGCTCCACTGCGCGGGTGGTGAGCCTTTCGGTCATGTTCGAACCACAATGACACTGACAGAGATTTTCAGCACCGGCGGCTGGTGGCAATGATGCCCGCTAGCGCTCCAATCTGCCCCCGATCATCCATTCAAGCATGGCGCACGATCCCACGTGGGTCATATAGGGGGTTCCCTCGCCGAATTGCCTTCCTTCTCATTGGAGATGGACTTTTTGGGCGAACTCATTCGGCTGCCATAGACACTACCTCATGCGACCAACGTATAGTTCTAAAAAAACTAGTGATGCGGCTGGATGTCCACCATGTCAGTCCATGCAAGGGTTCGCAATGGCGTCCTCCTCAGGAACCATGTTCGCAGGTCACCTATACAGTATTGAACTATAGTTCCAACCGTGAGCCCCCAAAAAAGGGATCCCTGTTTCACCACCATCCATCGTTCTTCTTTCAAAACCGCCCCCAAAGCCTAAGGATTGCCAGAGTTTCTTTCAAACATGGCCCCTTTCCCAAGGCGCACCGGATGCCAAGTGTTGGCGGTGTTCGATACGAGCGGTTCCGCGCTCGGATAGTTCGAGTTCACTTTCCCCCTTGCGTGCGATCAGCCGGTGATATTCCACCACGTCTGGCATCGATCCATGTGCACCGGATCTGGGACGCTTGATATATTACCTGCTCGGATGTTCAAGACTTGGCCCTGCGGCCAATAAGAGTTCCAGGCTATCGCATCGGCAACGGAAGAAGAGGGCTGCCCCTCTTGCACAAAAGAAACAATATAATCCTGCATGACCAAAGCAACGTCGACATCGACAACGCTTGGGTCAGGGCTTGTAGGGTCATAAAAGGTGAAGTATAGATCTTCCGAGTGCAGTCCTGGAGCCACAGCGAAACTGTACCCGTATACGGTCTCCAAGGCAGTGCTCAGGTACAGGTTCTTGCATCGGAAGAAAGCGTCGCTGATTGTCAGAGTCAACCTTCCAAGCGCATCGCTATAACCTAGAATGGCTGCTGAGGTGTTGAAGCTGGGTGGATAGAGCGTTTCGGCGATATCCTCCGCCAACTCGGGACCCAGATTCGGGAGAAAGTCGCTCAGGATGGTCGAATAGGCCGAGCTGTTCACTCCTGCCGGTGGAGTGAAGATGAGGCCTTCGTTGGAGGCATGGCCTGTCATTATGCGAAGATCCTGCCATTCGAAGTCGGGGTCGAGCAAGATGTTACTCGGTAGGTTTTTGATGAGTGATCCATCCACGACCGGTCCATAAGTGAAGGTTCCGTAGACGGGGGTGTTCACGATTTGATCAGCATTGGCCGCAATCAACTGATCCGATGGAAGAGATCGTGCTTCTTCAATGGATGAGACATTCAGCAGTTCGAGGAATGCGTCTCGCGCTGACGTTTGCTGGTTTACCGTCAAGGGATACCACATTGGACTTTGGATTATGGCCTGGCGAAAGGGGATGTCTCTTGCGTCCCTGTTGCCTCCATAAGCGGCCAGCTGATGAACGATAGATCCTGCACCAGCCGACTGGCCCATGACGGTGATGCGATCTGGATCTCCACCAAACATGTCGATATATCGCTTCACCCACTTCAGTGCGAGATTTTGGTCGTAGAGACCAGCATTAGCAGTGGTTCCATTGCCATCCGACAACCAGCCGAAAGCTCCTAGCTGTAGAAGTTAGCATCGTCGTCGAGCCCCTCGGTTCAAGAAAGGGACTTACCCGATAATTGATTGCAACATAAACAATCCCATCCTCGTCGAGCATACTGCGTTGCATCAAACCCAAGGGGTTCTGCTCCGACTTGTCGCCAGAGATATATCCCCCACCATCAATCCAGACCAGGACCGGAGCCAGCCCATTGCCTTGTTTCTGCTTCTGCTGAAGAGTTTTCTGCTCAAAAATTGCCTTGGGAACAACAACATCCAAGAACAGGCAGTCTTCAGTCACTCTCTCGTCGCCCCCTATCGACCCGGCGAAGGGAGAATATTCCCTCGCGGGACTTGATGCTGCTCCCCCTTCTACTGATGCTGATGGCGAAACTGCAGCCGATGCAGAAGACAACACCTCGGCCACAAACCCGGGCATAACCTCCTCCTCCCACTTCAACGTAGCCTGCGGACACACCCTGCCCTGTGCTCCGTTCTGCACTACCGACCGGTTTACCTGAGCTGGGGGGATCGATGGTCGGAAGCGAAGGGACCCCATCGGTGGCGCAGCGTAGCGGATATTGCTGAAGTTGTAAGTTTGCGTTTGTTCCTGGAAATCGGTTAGGACCGGGTATTTCTGCGTCTAGGGATCGAGGTGGGACATACATCCAGAGAGAAAGCCTGATGGAGCTCGTACCCCAGATCTACGATGGGGAGGTTCGTTTTTGTTGATGCTGATGTTGTTAGTGGTGGTGGTGGTGGTGGTGGTGGTGTTGCTGCTGCTCCTACTATCCCTAAGTAGAGGATAGATTGGAGGAGTAGGGGGGTTGTGACGTGCATTTTCCTTGTCTGAGGGAGGGGGCAAGTTGTTTCATTTCTCGGGTGGGTTGGTGTGTTCTGGTGGGTTGATTGAGGATTTTAATTTCTCTCGTGGGGAGGGCTCCACATATCATATTATATAGGATCCTCTAATCTGAGATGATTTCCGTAGGCAGGGGCAGAAACGATCAATCAATATGCAATCAATTCGGATGGTGGATCGATAGTCTTGTAGCCGGGAACGGATGTGGACTTTCCGGATTCGGAAGCGACGTATACAGGCCGCGGATAGAAGTCGAACCCCAACAAGGGATGGCCGGCGGCGCCCCGAGGGACTGGAATGTGACGGGCCGCAACGGCGTCCGTCTCGTATCTTTCCTTCCTTACTTCGTAGTTTCCGGTTCACTGATTGCCGGGGACGAGGGGAGAAGAAGGATCCGTGATACCCCATCCCACTGGTTAATTGATAGTTTCTGCTTCACCGAATAGAAGAGACCAACGCAGAGAGGATCATAGCTAGATTACCTGCACTGAATCATATACTAGATCCGCTTCACCTCAGACTTTCACTCCATGACCTGTATACAACCGCTGTAAGCTGCAATCCTACTCTATCCCGAACGATAGCCCAGCAGGTACAAGTCGATATTCTCAACACACCCTATCCTACACATCCTAACATACCAACCACCCCCCCCCAAAAAAAAAAAAAAAAAAAAAAAACCCCCCCAACCACCCCCCCCCCCCCCCCCCCCCCCCCCCCAAACTAGGAATCCTCCACCTCCCGAACCTCAAACCCCATCATCCCATTCGACGCCACCCCAGGATCCCCCCGCAACTTCCGCGCAGTCTCCACCCCCGCCGCCGGCACCCGGTACTCCCATCTCCTCCCCGCCGCCAGCTTCTCCCCCTCGCCCTCCCCCGCAGGCACCGCATACGGAAAAGGGAGATACTCCGGCAACAGCCCCAACTGCCGCAGCACAGTCGCCTGATCCCAGGCGATATGCTCATGATACAGCCGATCACCGCGGATATTAACGACGGCGGTGAAGGGGACGCGGAGCGGGCGGCCGGTGGGCGGGATGCCAGGGACCAGCCAGTCGACGACTGTGTCGTGCGTCAAACAAAAAATAAACTCGTCGACGACGCGGTCCACGCCGACGGTGCGGCTGATCAGTTCGAGGGACGTGTCCGCCGGGTTGGTGAAGATGAAGTGCCGCTCGTAGAAGCGGGTTAGGGCCGGGCGGCCGGTTCCGCCTGTCATCTGTTGGCCATCATCATCGTCAGCATTATGGTGTTAGTGTGGTGTTGGTTTTCCAGCCAGTCAGTCGCTAACGGCGTCAACCCACCCCATCCACATCCTTCCTAGGGGGGGAAAGGGGGAAAGGGAAAGGGAACATACAGTCGGAATATGATTCACATACGGCTCCTGCACCATCGTCGCCATGGTCCTCTCGACCGACCGGTCCCCGAACTCGTGGTGCGTGTGCTCCTCCCAGATCTGCTCGAGGTCAAAGTACGGCCCGCCCATCCGGGGCTTGAGGAAGGTCAGGGACCGCGTGTGCGCGACCCCCGCGGCGCTGGGCGTGAAGTCCGCGTGGCCTGGGATGATGAACCCGGGCGAGGGGGTGTCGGGGTAGTGGTGGATCTTCGTGGTGTTAGTACTCTCTGGGAGGGTTTGTCCCGCGGGGAGGTGGAAGAGAGCTGGGAGGGTGGTGGGTGGATTCGCCCATTGGCTGAAGTAGATTGCTGCCACGGGGACTGGCGTTTCGGGGGTGCGAGCTGTAAGGGATTGTTGGAGGAGCTGGGGGAAGGAGGGGGCGTAGTCGTGTGGGGAGCCGTAGACTTTATACCCATTAGTTCAGGCTTCGCTTTCTTTGGTTTCGCCTTGCCCTCTTAGTGCAGAGGCGACTGTTGGTAGGAGAACTCACCCAGGACCCCAAACTTATCACCGCTCCCACTGCACTGCGCGAATCCGGACAGCGCCAGTACAGCGGCGGAGATAGCATCCGCTACACCCGCCGCGTCGCCGCTGCGAGCAGCGTCGAGGGTAATCTCCACCACGGTGTAGCTCTCCTCGGCCCATTTCTGGATCGGGGCTGGGTCGAGCGTGGTGTTGTTTGCCTGGCAAGTTACCAGGTGGACGGGGCGGATGAGGAGCAGGCCTGGGCCTTCACCGCAGCGGGAGAGCGGGGGTTGAAGGGTGATGATTGGGGATACGGGGATGGGGGGAGCGGAGGGGAGGGAGGGCGAGGTTGTAGTCATTGTTGATGAATGGATTGACGTGGGACTGTATTGTACTGTGCATTTAATCATCTGGGGAAAGCTCCCTGGGACGAATGACGCTTTGATATATGAATGGCGCCCCCGCTATGTCGGATCGGATCCCGGCAAGTGCAACGGGTGACAGGTGATAAGAACGGTAAAAGCAAAACATTGAAACTGGATGCGGGGATCAGACTGATATCGATAACGCTATCAGCCTCTGGTTGGGGAGGATATCGATCTGGAGAAAAATAAAAAAGATGTGCATCATCCGTGAATCGAACACGGGCCTCATCGATGGCAACGATGAATTCTACCACTAGACCAATGATGCTAGTTGATGCGTAGAGTAAAAGAGATTGATCTTATAGGTGCACGACTAGCACGATCACAAAATCGAGTTGTACGGCTGGGGTTTACTCAACTGTGACTTGTCATGATTCAAGCGTTGATTTATTCAATATGTTTTAGTGAGTCTATTAGTCCTTGATGAGGGACTCTGCAGTATCATAGATTGTTGGGATGCTTCATCACCTTGCAGCCTAATTGTCATCAGAATAGCCAGGCCTCATCACAATGAATATATCTTGATTGCCTTGCCCGGTATTGAGACGACCAAGACCCCCCCAAGAGAAGACCTACACCCATCGCAACACCCTAAACCCGAACATCTACAAAACCTACACCAATTTATACACCAACAAAAAGAACCACCCAAGAATCTATTCCGCTACCAAGCACGGAAACAAATCCCATAAATCAAGACCATAAATCACAAACAGGGGAGACATAACATACTCCCCCCAAAAAACCACCAAAGAACAAACCGCAGCATACAGAAAAACCACAGCCATGTAAACCATAAGCCACAACCTCGCGAAGCATGAAAAATAATTCGGAAGAAGAAAATGTACCCATAAACTGCGCCAAACGCTGCCCGCGCGATGCACGAATGCGAAAGAATCTCTGCCACCTCAAGGGGGGAAACCACCATCCCATCAAGGTCTACTCCTCGCCCAAGCTATCGCGAACGCACTTGCGCACCCGCTTCTTGAATTCCTGGGGATTCTCGCGCCATAACCGCGCCGCCTCGACGTTGGCGGGACTCTCGTCGTTGGGGCTGGACAGCATGGAGATGACGGAGAGCAGGATCGTCTCGGGGGTCTGCACGGGGGACCAGCGCTCGGCGGCGGATTCGTAGCCGTATTTGTCCTCCTCTGGCGGGTGGAGGATGGAGATGCAGACGTCGCCGTTGGGGTAGACTATCCGTTCGAGTCGCGTTAGTAGCATGTCCGAGAGAAAGGGGGAGCTGCTAGCCGGGTCCGAGTGCTTGTCGGGCTCGAGGCTCGAGGCTGCGAGAAGAAAAACATACTGTTCGGGTGGAAGAGAGGAGTCTCGAACTTCATCTTCGGCGGCATGTGTGGGTAATCCGGGGGGAAGGAGAGTCGGGCGCGGAAGAAACCGCCTATTTATGACTCGGTGTTAGAGCCATGCCACTGATCAAATATTGATGATGCTAGAAGACTCACCGCCGTAAAGCTTGACATCATCGGAGATCATGAGCATCACCTCCCACTCGAAGACGTTGCTGTCCACCAATCCGCAGCTGATGCCCGGAATATCCTTGTCGGATTGCATCTGCTGCAGCTGCCGTGACAGCATGCGACCGGCGGCGGTGGTGGCCATGGCGTTGACGTGGAGGGGAAAAGAGGGGGCGGCGGGGGGAAGGGAAGCAAAGGAGGGGATTGCGAGGGGTGGAACGAGGTGGAACGGGACCGTGAGAGGGATGAGAGGGGTGTGTAGCGGCGAGAGAAGCACGCGGGGCTTCAGTGGCTCTAAGAAGAGTACGCTCGTACGGCAAGAAAAGGTGAAAGTCTCACAGAAGAGAAGAGAGAATGGGAGGAAAGTGACTCTGTATAGTCTACCTGGGGGAAGAGGATCGACAAACGGACTGACTGGTCAGAGGAGAAATATTGATGGATCCAAGGCGGTGTGCTCGAAAGGGAGAGTGGGGTGGCGGGGCCGCCAGACGATAAGACATTTCATCCCCCGATAGCCTCCCCTTCACTGGCTCGATCGCCCTAGGTGGCGTAAGGGAACTGCCTGTCTACGTAGTGATGGAAGGATGTATCATTCTTCGCAAATGCCGGACAAGGCAGCTCTTCTCTTGCCCAAGGTACTCACCGCACATGCGTGACCACGCTCTTGTCATGTTATTTTGGTGTCGACGTCAGCGATTTGATCCTACCCCGGACTACAATTCAAAGCTTTAATTGATTTCAGACCGACGCATGCATGTGAGGTCCATTCCACTATTGAGACCGTGCTGATAGATACAAAGAGTGGAGGGCTCAACTGATGTTGAAACAGTGAAACAGAATTTATTCACATATATAGAACGGAGACACGTAGTCCAAATGACTGGAGGGGGGGTGATCGTAAAGGTGGAGGTAGAGCAAAACGTCAATCTGCTTAAGCGTTGTTTCCAGGAAACCCGTAAGTCACAGCTCCGGCGAGGATCTGGCCGGTGAGCAGCATCGTGAAGAACATGGCCACGCCGGCCTCGATAGCAACAGCCTTGCACATCGACTTCACGAAACGGGTCAGTGCAGGGCGATCGAGGGTCTTCCAAGCATCGGAGATGCCGAGCTTACCACTGCCACCCAGGATGGCAGGCTGCACCTTGCCGCCGTAGGAGCGGTCGAAAGGCACAATAGCCTCATCCTCTTCAGGAAGCATGGAAGCAGCCACGCGAAGGAAGATGGCCCGCGCAGGAATGGAAGCCACAAACGACACCACGGTGGGCAGAAGGAGGAGACCATAAATGGTCCAGATAGCCTTGGTGAAAGAAGGATCGGTAGGGGTGAAGGAGTTCACATCCTTAAGTCCGTCAAAGCCGCCAAAGGCATCGATGAGGAAAAGGGGACCGTACAGGCCGGCGCCAGTGACGGCATGCTCGAAGGCCGCAACGGGAGCGATCCGCTTCCACGTCTGGAAGCCCCCAATGCGCTGGTAGAAGCGCTTGGGGGAGGGCTCCGAGATGACAATGTGGACCCACGCGAGCTGGAGGTTGGCCACCAGAACGCCGCTGACAACGTACATAATGTAATGAGGAAGGAACGCGGCGGCAGAAAAGGGCACCAGGGAGTATACAGCCGACTGAGCAAAGCCGTATGCCAAGTACATGCTCAACCCGCGGAAACGGGACCAGGGACCGGCCCGGGCGCGAAGATGACGGATGGTAGTGCATAACTTGTTGGTGATGGGCTGCAAGCGGGTCTCGATCTCAGGCTCGGTCGCATCGGCGGGCTTGTTCGGGTCGAAGTCGGTATCGATGCGGACGTAGATATCAGGGTTCGTGTCTTCCACAATAGCGAGGGTAGGAATCAGCTGCCCGTAGGTGTACTCGACCTAAAATAGATAAACATTAGAATGACGCGACAGTTTAAATCACCCTGGTGGAATGCTTACCGAAAGAAGAATGGCAATGAAAGCAAGGACGGTGAAGATGAAGAAAGCCGACAACCACCCCGCCAAATGGATGGTTGGCTGGCTCTGGGAGGGCTGCTTGGACTGGTAGTCCACAGCAGCCTCCACTCCTCGACGAAGGAGGGAAGAGATAGCCATGGTGGGTGATGAAATCAGTGGGACTAAAACGTTGGATGAAGGAACGGTGATGGGAAGATTGTTTTGACAAGTTTGATAGCGAAAGACGAACAGTTGGATGATGGGATGGATGGTGGAGTGAGGAAAGACAAAGAATTATAAGCCGGGGGAGGGAAAGGGAAAGGTGGGCGAGATTCAAGGTTAGTTCATTTCGAGGGGGTGCCTGGAGGCTGCCACAACCTGAAGGATCAGGCAGCCATCCAGTCACAGGCAGTAACGCGGCTGAGCAGCCTATCAGTGGTTTGCCCAGGTTGGCTAGTCTAATATTAGTGCGGCCGATGTGGGCCGATACGATGGAGAAGTTCAGGAGTTTGAGATGTATTCTTAGCAGCCGATGATTGCCAATTGTCTTCTGAGAACAGATTCATAGAGAAACTTTAATCTTTATTTAATATATCGATAATCTATTGTATTGTCCTGATTGATGTACTCATTATTCAGACCCTTGATAAAGCAGACACCTTTACCGACTGCTCGGTGCGATGCAGGGTTACTTCAAGCAGTGGTTTCAGCCACTTACTAAACAACGGTCGTGCACTAATCGCCCACCTACCATTCGGTTCAGCTAGCATCCCTCGAGAGTATAGGCAATCTCCTTGTAACTCTCAAGGTATGCAAAAAATCGTGCATTGCTCATGACAGACATCATCGTCACAGAAAAGAAAAAGCTAATATACAGTATCATACACATCGCCCAGACTGCTCACTTGAAGAACTCAAACCTCGCTATAGAGTCATCATCGTTGTCATCATCATCATCGTCGTCGTAACTATAAAGCCCAACCAGGGGCTATCTCAAACCATAACACCAGTAACCCACCGCGCCGCGGCCCTCACAATGCCCTCCACGATATCCATCTCCGCCTCGTCGCGGGGCGCATACACCATGACCCAGCCCTGCGGCACGGCCGGCAGGGGAAACCGCTGGCCCCAGCCCTTCTCGATGACCTCGCGCGCGTCGACATCGCTCAGCCACACGTGCAGACTGTTCTCGGCCGGGTGCATGTGCGCGATCTCGTAGCTGAGGATGCGGTCGCCCGCCAGCGGGTTGAGGGTGGGCAGATTGCGGCGCGCGTACAGGCCGTCCGTGGTACGGCCCTCGGTGTGCGAGGGCATCAGGTCGAAGAGCTCCGGGTGGGCGGTGGCCAGGTCGCGGACGAGGGCGCGCAGCCGCGCCTGCACGGACGGGTCGATGGGCTCCGGGTACTGGCGCTGCGGGAGCGTCCGCGGCATCATGCGTGGGCGCGGCCCCGAGCGGAGCGGGAGGGTGCCCGTGGGTAGGTAGGAGGGCCCCGTCTTTTGCAGCGGGGCCGGATCGCGGAGGTTGTTATTCTTGGAGAGGGCGCGTCGAGCCCGGAGTTTTGACATGCGCATGTATCCGCTACATTGTTTGTCAGTGTCAGTCTCTGTAGAGAAAAGGCAGAGGGTGGATGGAGCCATTTTTAAGGGAGGGAGGGAGGGACTTACGCCCAGGTCGGCGGAGTCCCGCCCGTGCCAAAGGCTTTCCATTCTCGGAAGTCGTTGACTGTCCTATACACCGCAACGCATACCCCGTTAGCGCCTTGGACCATAGACCGCTGAGACCAGGCTTGTAGAGTGATTGTTCTGAAATAAAAATAGGGTCGTTTCATTCAAGGTACCAAACAAGGCCAATGATCGCGGTCGCACACAGCCCTGTGACCACCGGATTGGTTTTCAAGGTTTCGAAGACATACTTGGATGAAGTGGGTAGCGCTGCCATGATTTCCGTATGCGAACAGGGAAGAAGACTAAGGTATGGGCGAGTCTGGAGTCAAGAGACAGAGCGATGGGATCGGTGAGATTGATGACTGACGTCAACTGCTGGCTTGTTTTCCTTGCTGGAAGGCTTGAATTTTCCTACTCCAAGGGTTCAACTTCAGGCTCATTTTAATAGCATCCATTGTGTTGGTAGCTTAGAGCTCTGTTCGTCTTCGCTGATGGTGGACATACGCAATTGACCTCATGCCAGCGTCATGAATGGCATGGAACGCCATCGGAGAAATGAAAGGGTTCGCCACAGTGAGGGTAAAGTGAGGTGACCGAAGTATGGGGAGCTCATACACATAACGCAGTTAGCACAGTAGCACAACTCATTCACTTAGTCAGATCCTCGATTTGAGGGGAGGCGATATGCATCGATGGGAGTGGTTGGGGTATGAGGTATGTGGATCGGAGAAACATTGTTGAGAGGTGAAGATATGATGAAGAATGATGCTGATGGGGGGCTAGAACGGGCGGCGATCGTCCATAGTTCCTGAATGACGTTATCCTCGCCTCGACGGTTGCAACAACTGGCAAATGAACGCATCGTATCCCATGCCCACTGCAGTCCTTCGAGAATCAATCGAAGCCGAGCTTCAGTGCGGCATGACCCGGGGTATAAACTGCCAATTTGCTCTTGACTAGGGCCACAAAGCTGCTGAGGTGACTTCCACGATTCAAGCTGGTAAACACACAATTTCTCCAAGTCGTAGGTCGTGCAAGAATCAGATGTCAAATATGCATGCAATCAGTCATAGCCGGTCGTCCACTGTTTGTTGTTGGGAGGCAAATGCCCCTGCTGGGAAGAGCGGGGACCTGATAATAATGGCTTTGTTCAGCTCGGTGCTCATGTGGGGCCGGTCTATTTGACGGTTGCATACCGAATCTGCAAGTCATCGTGGTGACATTCCTTGGAACCATTAAGGTCGCTTCGCGAAGCCGACTCGAATCATTTTACTTGGTGGCTCTTTCGTATATGCTCAAATCTTAATGCACAGACATCTGGAGTCATAAGACCCTGAGATCTTTGCATGCACATATCGCAAATCGTAATAATGGCATAGTCCCGAGAAGCTGCGTAGAAGAATATCACAAGAATGCGAAGGAAGCAGAATTGAAAGAATGTATTGATTCAAGAAGCTAATGACAAGTCCTTCATACCATTAATCCATCCGCCCTGCTCCAACCCCTGTGGCCAGAGCAAGAGACTGGCACATTATCTACTAGTCATTATCGCATGACCCGTCATATTAGAATATACAAGCCGCATTAGAAACATCACAAGTCATAAACCATAATAGTGAGATACACCCGAGTCATAGTTGTGCTTCGATGCTGGACGCGAACGCAGCCAAGATTAAGCGACCAACCTATCGTAATCGTTCATTTAGATGAGAAGCATGGCAGCAAGTCCGAAAGCACCGAGAGCACCGCTACTGGCAACGTTCATCTGAGAGGCAGCGCCGGTGGAGGTCGAGGAGCTTGCGGGGGCGGTGCCGGTGCCAGTGGAGGAGCTGCCAGAAGAGCCGCTGCCGGAGCTGCCGGTGGAAGAAGATCCGGTGCCAGAAGCCGAAGAGCCAGTGCTGCTGAGAGTAGCAGTGCTCAGCGTCGTGCTGGTGATGGCACTAGTGATGGTGGTCTTGGTCTAGGTATGGTCAGCATACTAGCTCGCGAGATAGGGGACAAGAGTGTACTCACGGTTCCAGCAGAAGTAGTGGATGCGCCACTGGTGGTACCAGAGTTGGTTCCAGTAGTCACGGTGGTGGTGGTAGCCGCACCCGTGCCGCTAGAGGTGCCACTGCCACTGGAGGTCGAAGCAGAGTTGGTCGAGGCGCCCGCAACACCAGTGGTGGTTCCGGAGGCAGTGCCAGAGGCAGTTCCGGTGGCAGATGAACCAGTGCTAGAGCCGCCTGTAGAGGGAAGGTTAGTATCTTTCGAGTCAAAAAGCACACGCAGTGTTGCTGATTGGGTCACATACTGGTCGAGCTAGGGCAAGAAGCCAGAGCCGTAGACAGCACAGCAGCAGCGTTGTCACCAGGGCAGGCCTGAGCGGTGCAGTCACGGATACCATAGCTGTAGTTGACGTTGTTACACAAGCAGCTGAGATCGCCGCTAGAGCAACCCAACTCGGAAGCCTTGTTGTTCATGTTGTTGACGCACATTTGCTAGAACGCGAATAAGTTAGTCGTCATCGATCAGCACTTGTTGCTGTCGGGTAAACATACTGCGCAGTCGCTAACAGAGATGGCAGCATTGGCAAGGTTGGCAGCAGCCAACAGCACCATGGAAAGCGAGAAAGTCTTCATCTTGATGAGATAGAGAGCTGGCACGCGCAAAGAATGAGGATAGATTAGAGAAGCGAAGTGAGGCGAACAAGAGGGGGTATCAACGAAGCGATTGACGCGGAGCACGAAGACGAGTGTGTGTTGTGGAACGGAACGATGGTTGATGTGGAAGGTAGAAGGAAAAGAAGTGTGAGGCAACGAGGGGGGGGGGAAGATGAGCCGATTTAAGTTATGAGGAGGTGGGAAAGAGCGCGCAAATCATTCATCGCCTGAAGTGCTTTCCTTTTCTTTCTTTCTGTTGTTGGCTGTATCGAGACTGCTTTTTTTTTTATTTTTTTCCCTTTCTTTTTTTATGGTTTACCCGCTGCGTTGATCCCTAATTTCCACTCTTGTTTGTCCACTTAGTTTCCTTTCCAATTTTGATTTTATTTCATTTTTTCTTCTTTCTACCTAGCATCAGTCTAGGACTAACTAACACGATCGTCACTGGCTGATGAATGGTTGTTTTTCAGGCAGCTGTCCAGCCAACGTGGCTGAGGACAGCTTCACGGTCACGGTCACGGTGCCGGGTGAAGTCATGGAGTCAAGATCTCCACTCAAGCTAGCCCTATCGTTCTTGATCCCTACGTAGCAACAGCCTGTTAGATTGACTGCCGTGGCTCAGTAGAAGCTCCTGGCTAGCCCTACAATGCCCTCATAGGTTGATTGTGAAGGAAGATGCATTAGTTTACTGTAACCAGTGACTATCACGAGTGCCAGAATCAACAGCGCTGCAGATGCGCCCAGATGGGGTTCCGGGAAAAGGGACTGCTGCTGTGGCTGGGAGGGTTGTGATCAACCCAGACCCAGACGGCGAACTCCACCCATCATCGACAACTCGAGCTTCATTGGTCTACCTCACTTTATCTGGACGGTCTGCTCACCGAATTTTCTAAGTTATCATTTGGGATTACTTCTTCGGGGCCATTGACTGGCTTTGGAAATGGCCGATGGTTCAATTGTTGAAGCTCTGAGCGGGTGTTTCTCTGATCGGAGAGATTTGTGTAGGAATGACGGCACAATGAGAGATGGGCTGTCCTACCAACTACGTCAGAGTCGATGCCACTGCATGCTGGGTACCCAAGATTTGACTAGGGATACTCTACTAGTAGGGTTTTGCTGGTGGTCTCTGCTGGCTGGTTAAGACCGACAGGATGGATGCAGGGGATCGTCTCTGCCGATCCTTATTGGGCCCTTTGGCAATCAGCCCACCGCTGATGTGGCTGACCGTCGGCTGCCTAGCCACTTTGGGATGTGGATGGTGGATGCAAAAACAAATGAGGGGAACCGGGCACCGCACGGCACTCTTTTGCAGTGTCGCTTGAATCGCTTCCAGCAGCTGTGGGGAAGTGTTGCTGAATTTTCCACCACCACCAGCTCGAAGTCTCGAACTTTATCTCTGGCCAGTCGGTCGCTAACCATGGACCGACACGGGATCTATCGAGCATTCGCCCAGACCATCCATGATTAGCTTCGGCTGCCGCGAAAAATAGAAGATAGGTAACCAGCCACCTGTGTTTACTTCTCTCAAGTTGCCTGAACCTTGAGATCCTGTGGTGCAGGAGGGGTATGTTAGGGACTAGACTGCGTCGCAGAACCAAGGTCATCCTGGATAAGAAAATTGCTGGAGCACTGGAGCTGGAGCACTGGTCGTGGAGCACTGGTGGAGGGCTCCCATCGAGTGGTCGAAGCATGGTCCAAACAAAAATCGGGTCTTTTCCACTAGCGATCCAAATACTCCGCTCGCGAGAGAAAGAAGCTTCCAATGCGGTCAGTCAATGTCAATTGCTTTTGTGTGTGGCGGTGCAGTTGCTGTTATTGCTTTTCCTCTTTTCCTCTTTGGGATCAGCCCCGGAGCTCGACCGAGAGAAGAAATGACGTCATCTCTTCTGAGAAGGAAGAGGGAAAAGAGTGCCAGGTGAGGGCCAGCACTGCTTCAGGCTGTAAGGGATTATTCCCGTTGTCATCACCATTAACATCACTCTCATGTCACCCTCTTAATCAATATCCTGGCTGACTGCCAGGAATGTGGCTTCACGCTCATTTCTGATCGTTGCACATGCGAGGGCCACCCCTGACGCTACCTTGGGACCCATGATTATGCATCACAGCGAACAAGAAGATCCAGGGAGTATGACTTCAGAGAACATGGGCAGAAGTTTCTTTGGACCCTAGCAGCCCCTTGACCCCCTGAGCTTAGAACTTTATTTGACTCTAAAATTTAAGGGAGTAGCTGATCTGCTAGGGCTGACTGACCACATGCAGCTGCATCATCTTGCATTTCCCAAACCTACCATTGGATATACATGGCGCTTTCTAGTTTCTACTATGTACTTAAGCAGCAAATTGGCAGGAGTCTCATTACATGCCCGGTGCCTTGATCTGAGGCAATTTTGTTCGCTCCGTCATCTCATGCGACAAAAGAGAGAGACCGAATCAAGGATGACCCAATCTTTGCATCAACCTCGTATCAGTTTGTGCACCTCACGATCGTAAGACAGAATGATCAAGGCTCATGACATTACAGAAACCTGATAGCTCATGAATGATCTCCACAATTACACAATATTGACAATATTTGCGCAGAATCAGACACGTCCGAGCGCCGCTATCATGAAAAACAACCCCCACAGAAACATTAATCATGAGATGAGAACTCTACTTGCCTACTCCGTACTCATACTAGTGTTCTTGATGGAAGGCAGCAGCATTCTCACCGGCTATCCTGCCGAAGACGACACACTCTAGGAGGGAAGAACCTCCTAGACGATTCTGGCCGTGAAGTCCGCCCGTGATCTCGCCTGCAGCCCAGAGGCCTTGGATAGGAGCACCGTCCTTGTCCAGCACCTGGCTCTGCTCGTTGATCACGACTCCACCCATGGTGAAGTGAACAACAGGCGTGACATTGCCCACGTAGACCACCGAATCGGAACTCATGTCCTTCAAGGTCCAATTCCCAAACGCGGTCCGCCCGAACACGTCCGGCGTCTTCCCCGACACCACATCGGCATAGCCCTGGAGCGTGTCGCGGATGGAAGGGAGCGCAAGCGCCAACTCGCCGACCGTGGTCTTCCGCATCAGCCCCTTCCACAGGTAAAAATCGAGATGCGTCTTCGACGCCGCCGCCGCCCCTTCGTCCATCAGCAGCGTGACATCCCACTGGCGCAGACCGGTCCCCTCCAGCGGACTCGCGCTCGCCATGACCGCGGCGGTGACTTGCTCGCGCGTCGTCAATTCATCGACAAAGCGCTTCCCCTGACCATCCAGCAATATACCCCCCTCACCTCGCAGCGCCTCGGCAGCGAGAAACTTCACCCGGGCCGAGCGATCCTTCGCATCCACGAACCCCGTCGGATGCACCTGAACCTGCTCCATATCGACGACCGCAGCCCCCACCGCCTCCAGCAGCGGCTGCGTGCCTTCGCGCGCGTCATTCGTCGACGGGATCCCCGCTAGATCCGGCCGGTACTTCTCCAACAACCCATGCGTATCACCGGCAAAGCCGCCCGTGGCGAACACCAACGGCCCATACAACGTCTCAGTCCTGTTATCCCCCTCCTGCCCCGCGACCTCCACCCCCAGCATCCCTTCTTTCCCCTCCTCCTGGCCTTCTTTCACTTTAACCACCCTCGTGACCCTTGCCTCCGTCCGCAACTGAAACAGTGGCTCCCGATCCAACGACTCCAACAGCGCACTCACGATCGCAAACCCAGGCGGCTTCTGGCCGGCGCCGCCGCGGTGCGTGCGCGCGCGACTGTGGCCGCCCAACTGCGCCACGGTGCTCAGATCGACGCCCTGCTCGTCGGCGAGCCAGTCGACCGCCTCCGCCGAGGAGGTGACCAGCGTGGTGATGAGTGTCTCGCGCCGGGCGCGCTCCGCGTCGACGGAGGTGGCGAGCGGGCGGCCGGCGGAGCGGCGCGTGTCGGCGAGGAAGATGTCCGCGGCGTCGTTTTGGAGTGGGGGCTGGAAGCGCGTGGGCGCGCCGTTGATGCCGGACGAGGCCTTGATGCTGTTGCCCCCGGGTTTGGCGGCGCGCTCCAGCATGACGACGGGGATGCGGTGCGCAATCAGCTGCGTGGTCGCGCAGAGGCCGGCGAGGCCGGAGCCGATCACTATGACGGCTTGTTCGGGGGACATTGGTGGCTTGAGTTGTGGAATTTGCGTAGTGGTGTAAGGAAAGAGACGAGCTTGTGGAAGAGGGTGGGTGTGGATGGGTGGGATGTTAATTGTAGAAGGTGGTGAGATGATGATGATGGGGATCATACGGTGTGGTTCCCCGCATCGCCGGATAGGCCCTGTATCACACCACTGCACTTGGGAAATCGTACCGTGGACCACAGTCTTGTTTTGCCGGGATGACCCGTGGTATAGGGGGTAGTAAGCTTTGATCGGGAGTTTTATTCTGATTCCAAGGACTCAGTTGACTATTGATGGAGATGAGTGCTGATTGGGTGGGGGTGTCTATCTATACAATGATAGGGCCAAGTTCAATCCATGATAGAGAGGGGTATATCCAAAACAACCATTGTCGAATCCAATCAGCTGAAAAGGAAGAAAGAAAACCCCCAACACCACAACCTGTCATAGAGTATCAAGACCTCACTCTTCCAGAAGGGTCTCACTGTAGGATTTCAGGTTATGCATATGCGGAGTCCTCAGAAAACTCTACTAATAAGCAAGTGGTCGCCCATGGGCAAACCCGTACAAAGCCAATCAATATGCACGGTGTACCCGGCACATATTGTAATTTAAGTATAAGGTCTAAAGTGTGAAATAGCGTGATGAACGAATAGCTCTTGCGAGGCCTAAGGTGTCAATGTATCGCCTTAAGGTGGTGTTGCTAATCTCTCTAATTCGCGAGGCAGCCGCTTGCTCGCTTAGTTGTCACATGACGTATGCCTGAGGCCTGCTATATAGATTTCCCTTCGCGGAGTATACGCGAAGGTTGGAAGGGCTGGTTGGGCCCTTACAATATAACAGTTAACTACAGTTAACTGTTCTATTTAGCTGTTGATGTACTTTTATATCTTAATCCAACTGCCAGGTTATAGTCATGCTATGGTTAAGGTATAACAGTTAGGTTAAGCCAGTCTACCTTTTAATCGGTAGATATAAACAGTTAAAGTGATAGTTAGAGTTTGATCCAATTTTAACTATACAGTCAAAAATCTTTCATATCTTGACTTAGCCGCCAGATTATGGTTAAATTAAGGTTAAGGTATATAACAGTCAGGTTAAGCCACTTTATTTCTAATATTATTGCATTTTGCAGATTTGAACAGGGAGAGTATTTTGTAGGTCCCTGCAATGAGTCGGCGCAGGGGCCCCGCAAGGCACCCAGCAATAGCCAATATCCGAGTTAAAGTCCCACCTGGCGACTAATGAGCGGCTGGAGCCTTCGCTTGCATGGAGGAATGCGATAGCGATTCGTCGGCACCGCAATACCCGGGCTAAGCAACCGAGCCCTCCGTAGTTTAGCTAGTTTTGGCGGTACTTTATTGCGCAAAAGACGCCAACCCGCTCCTGCAACCTATGTTATGCATCCAAAGTTTTGAGACCGCACAGATTTTGCACCTGGGAGGCCTCAAGAGACCTGCAATGACCCCTACTAATCCTGCTGATGGTTCCCAACCCGTGACTTACGCCCACGGCCGTATCATCGCCCGCTACCGGGTGATCGTGGGGTCTTGCCGCAGCCCGGCCATACATTGACCTCACGATGCGGCATTGGCCGGGGTCTAGCGCATGCGCGGTATCCAACATCATTTGCTCGCATTACCGTGGCTTACGGCCGTGATTCATCGATTGGGTGCAACCACACCCGAGAGGCTGACAATGACGACGAATGCGAGGTCGAGACGTTTGTGAGCAAGCGGCTGAGAGCACTTAAATTGGCGACTTCAGGGATTGTGCAATGTAACATCCAATGAGGTGTCAGATGTGGCAGATGAAGCAGAGCAGACACGCAATCATTCGACAAGGTGGAGGACAGTGCGTCGGGATGAGAGCACGGGTGGGGCCGAGAAAGAAAGGGACCAGAGGGGGGAAGCATCGCTAAGCTTTGGAAAGGTCATTGGAGAATAACCTAAATAAGTCGCAATCTCCTTTGTATCGTGTGCACAACACAGACTTTACCTCGTTCAATATAGAAGAATTGCTTCGCGCTGAGTATGCATCGTTGGCACTATACTGCATTCTTGCTGCTGTATCTCTAGGAATCAACATTGTATTTCTCTTCTTTTGGCGACAACACAAATGGAGTTTTAAGGTTCTGCATTTATGCGCCATTATTGGATGGTCCGGTACACTCTTCTTGTGCGTTCGATCTGCTTCTGCAAACTTGGATATTAGGAACTAATTGCTCACTGTTATCTACAGGTATGAGCTGTTTAATTGTGCAGTGAGTGGCTTGACGGTGTCAGGCCCCACTACACACTTATCTTTATCTTTCTGGTACATAGGGCAGATTCTGGCCGTTTTTTTCAAGATGTTTCGACTTGCATCCTTTTCTATATCTTCTACCACATTGTTGACTACTTTTTGCTTGGATACGGTGGATCATTGGGCTCCATTTCAAAAACCCGCATTGTACACTGGACTTTGCTTGGCACCATTGGAGTGGTCTCATTGATCCACTGGATATTCCTTGCAATTGTACTAGGATATGGCTTTTGCACTTATGTGACGTATGAGACGTGTTCAGCCGACTACATTCCTGACGGAGCGATTAGAGGTCATAATCAGATGAATGCAGCGTATAGCATTTGCATGTGGCTGTTTTCGGCAGAGATAATGAGCTGGATTATCATGGCCACGGTGAGGATGACGAGAAGACGTGGGTCTTTAAGTTTCAATGTAAGTGATCCAGTCTCGTTTTAGAAAAGGTTTTCAGTTTCCGTGGAGTTTTTCATTAATAATTCCAATAGGAGCCTAATACCCTTGCACTTCTTGGTGTCTGTCTTCTCTTCGGTCAATTTCTTATGGGTCTGATCACCGCGATTGACTGGTACTTGGTGGGTGATTGGGGCTGGGATTATTATCCGACGATGATCACCATACTCAGGTCTATATCACAAGCGCATTGCAGGGAATCTTCTATTTCGACATTTACCTGGTCATTGTGCCAATATGCTTCAAGTGGAAAACAATTGCAGAAATTGAAGGGGATCATATTGAGGACGTCACACACGTCGAGGAGTCCTCAAAGTCGACACAGTTGATAGAGCCTGCGGAATTGGAATCCCAGTCCGACCCGCGCTTGAATGAGGCACATTCAAGCATGCTTTATGAAGCTGATTCAAGGCAACTTGTCGAGGCTGATGCCCAAGCAGGATACAAGAATCCTCAATCGGCACAGGGCGCTTCAAAGGCCGAGCACCCGTTGATGTATGAGTTAAATGCCACTCCACGTCCCTGAGAAATATTTTAAGTCGTCCGATTCAACGATGCGGCACTTGTCAAAGTCAATCTGATAATAGTTAGCAATGATTTAAAAACTTCGGTCTTTCGAGGACCAACGAAAGGTGTCTTATGGCCCTTTGATTGTGGGCAATTGAAACAAGAATCCCGCTGCCATTTCCAGGATATCTTTTGAGCGCGACATTGAAGAAAGGGTGAATAAATAGCTCGCTTAGTGCCACTATTCATACGCTTACTATATTGAATCTATCGCGCAGTTTGTGAATACTTCTGAACTACTCACAGAGTACTTAGAATACTTGTATTTCGGCAATTCGTCTAGCTTCGTTGGCTGAATATCTTCGGAGGGCAACCGGGTAGGTATATCTATTAACATGACTAGTTGGATACTCCGGAAGATCATTAATATACTCAGTATACTGGGTTGTCAAAGAGACACTTTCCCCTGCGTTAAAAGAGTTACAGAGTATATCTCCTATAATGAGAATTGTTGATAAGTACTTCTTAAGCAGTTCTGAGCATACTTCAGGCGGACTTAATTCATCTTCAAAACTAGCATCAATAACATAGGATAGATCCATTTTTCTGAAAGTACTTTGAAAGTACTTGGAAGGTGCTTGGAAATTACTTTATAGATGAGATATAGCAGCGATTGAAGAAAATATAAAGTTCAAGGGTGGAATAGAGTGATATATAAAGGTTCTACAACTTTAAATGAACAAGGTTTTAAGTACAATATAAGATTTGATTTTTTTTTTTGGTTCTATAAGGACTGGTGGTGAAGTACTGTAGTAAACGAATGCCTCACGCGAAGGTTGGAAGGGCGCCCGAGGGCCCTAACAATATGAATCAGCTCGCCTGATTATGGGGATTACATAATGTTCATGGGCAAAAGTTAACAAGTTCTTTGACTTTATCTATACGACAATTCAGGGCAATTTGACTTGTGCTAAGAGCGCATCTGAAGTACCTACAGAATTGCTTGCCACTTTAGGGCCGCACCTCAGAAATACTTACCCATCCACCGTTGGAGATAAAGGTAAGCAAACTGATATTATTTGTGATCATAAATTCTATCATTGGGAGCTAGTTCGCCATTGACACCAGTCATGAATAAGGATTTGCTGGCAAACTATGGTGCTGTATATTTATTATAGAGTGTTGAACTGCGGTTTTGACTAGGTACATGAATAGTACTTATTCATGAACATATTTTATCTGAAACAGTATATCTGATGAAGCATCTAATGATTATCACCCAAACAAAGACAAATCAATCAATTCAACACTCAATCCCAATCAGCTGCTGGGGCTCACAGAGCAAGTCCACGCTCCCCCCTGGCTGATCGCGCAGATCCGATGTGGACTGCTTCTCCACACCCCAACTCCCAGGAACTCCCCTTGGATCGAATGGTAGGTTCCAACAAGGGGATATCTAGTCATGACACCCGTCGGGCGCAATACTACATTGTGTCGAATCTGATTGATTCTGCGCTGGACAATGCAGGTTCCACCACCCGTAACTAAGTGCGAGGAGCGCAGGCCCTCCAAGCTTGACATCCAGTTAGCGGGATTGATGTCTTCGCCAAACACAATCCCATCCCCCTTTCCACTTCGGATCGGCTTGAGGATATAATCTTTTTTCAGGTCAGGGTCCTTCTTGCAGGATTCGATCAACTCTTCAAGTTCAGCTGAGCCAGGGAGTATCGTATCGGCAATGCCTTTATCAAGAATCTTCGCCTGCGCATGCGTGATAATATCCCTTTCTACTAGAGAGTCGAGCTCCTGTCTGACAATCCCCAGCATTCGCTTATCGTGGACAAGTAAAATAGTACGCAAGTCGTTGAAGCACCGGAGGCTGACTTGGCGGAGCATCTCTGAACTCAGAGCACGAAGTTCCTTTTGGTAGAGCTCCAGGCCAACCTGATAGATCTCTTCCATGGTCTCTCCATCATAATAGATCACTGGTTTCACGTGCTCGGTGTTTTGGGCTTCAGTATCTCTTATCACGCAACAGAGCCGGTAACCGCCTTTGGCTTGTGAACATGGCACGAGCCTGAGATCAGCTGGCAGCACAAAACGAGGCTTGATTCCAAAACGTGTTCTGAGATACTCCACAACCATATGAATGTCAATGCCAGGTTCGTCCCCTTTGAGAAGGTGCAATGGCAAGTTGGGATCGAAAAGCCCTAGAAGGCCACCCAGCATCTGTTCCGGTTTGAAAGATTAGCTCCTGTAGAACAAAACCCTAAAGAAAGCATAGTACTATCTTCAGCTCTTACCTCGGCGGGTTCAGTAGTGCCGACTAATCCATTACCTGCATCGCAGATACCCTCCTCCTTCAGTGCCTGTTGCCCACAAGCCGCATACATCATTCCATTGAACGGAAAACGAGCGTTTATTTCACTGATTCGAAAATTTTCTATAGGGCCCGGGACACCTTTGCGGCTTTCATCTTCAATCAGAAAATCCGGTCTCCACGAGCCGCGGCAGTCACGATATGGTGGGAGGTTGCTTGGTACTTGGCTATCAATCCACTAACGGAGGAGAGATCATTTAGCATTCTATACTGTACAGCACTAGGTAGGGCAACAACATACAGATATGGTCCACTCGCAGAAATGAAAGTCCCCTAGGAAGAGGAATACAACCCCACAAAGGGAAACAAGAATCAGAAGGACTCACAGAATATGAATATTTCATTTACTTAGAGCTCAATAGTCTAAACTCCTTCGGCCCATATATTCATAGTCGCAATATCATACGCAGATGACTAAATAAAAGGATGACGACCAAATCACGAGCTGAAAATTGCGAGAATTGTATGATTACTGCCTGTGTTATACGCAGACCTAGTGAATCGAGTCCTGAATTTTTCTAAGTACCAAGGAATTGAAGATCATCTCACAAGAGACAATCTCTTGCTTCAAAATAAATGACAGAAACCCAAAAAGCCCGGATCATGCTTGAATACAGCTCCACACCTGTTGGACTTTCCTAATGCAGCGTTTTGTTCCTTTGATTTCTGGTTAACCAAGTAACGCGACGTATTGTGATCAGAGTGCTATTACATGTAAGAACTAATGCATTATCTAGTATGGAGTGGCCTATATATCCACAGTATAGATTAAATAATTTGAAGGTATTAAAATCTCATATAGCAGGAAATAGTGGATACAATCTCGAGTGTAACCTTCTTATGCACCTCACCAGTCATGATCCACATACAACTAGCGCGGTGCCTTGGCTAATATGATAATGCTTTCCGCCCAAGGGTCGTCCCGGCCCCCAAGATCATCCGCCCATCAGGGTCTCTTTCTTCGCCGGACTCATCGGCGAACCCAGGATCTCTTACACCTACCCCATCCTTCATTCCATAGGTGGATCCTTTCGTTCATTGTAAGATCTTCATTCCACTTACAGGAAACTTTGTAGTGGCATGGGGATAAGTACCTGGTTCTCCGCCCTTTTTGGTTAGGGCACAGCGCTTCCTAGTAATTTACCAAGTAGATCGCCACTGTAGCAGGCGGAACTCAGTCAGTCGATTGAATGGATCGTCTGCTTTATGGGTCCCTGAACCCAGAAGATCATTGAGCAATCTCATATTTGTGATAGAGGGAAAGTTCTGAGAAGATAAAAAAAAAAAAAAGGAATAACGAGATATGGCAATGAGGTTGGGAAGGGTGACAGAAACTTCGGACTCAATACCTAGGTACAGAGCAAAAGGATAGCTTACTGTAAGCCCATCTAAATTGGGTCGCAGGTGCCAAGGAGTACGCTATCGATCTAGCTTTCAGCTCCATCCCAGAACAGTCGCAGGGCCTACATAGTGGAAGTGGTACCAAAAATGCCAACGACCTGTAAGAAAACACCTCGGCTTGCAGGATAACAGCACCGCTGACGACAATGTAGACAAAAGTGACGATGAATCCGCGCTGCTGTCCTGATCAAGTCAATTGCTCAGCGTGTCGCGGAGCATTTGTGCAAAAATCGGGCTAACTCGTAGAAGGATAGACTATGTAAGATGTGCTCTGCCTAACCAGGAATTGGCAAAGGTGCTTGTGTGGGTCGTGCATATCAGCTAGACACGGTGGCAAATGAATTCATTTAAATTGGGAATCCAGACTAACCAATTGATACTTAGCACCAAGAGCAACGATCGTGCCATTATCATCGGTCCTAGCATGTTACCTAAACAGAATTAGTTACGTCAACCGACGCGGAGTACGCGGAGTCCCTGATTCCAGAAAAGCGAGACTAGGCAGATGATCGACACGGCCATTTTCCCAAAGATCAAACGGGTTCGGAGCTGAGCGAAAAGCGATTCCTGTAAGAGTATGGCTCATTGTGGCAAAAACGAGATCTATTGTGTGCTTGTCGGAGAAGGTGGTCTTTCTAGGAGGCTAGGAGGGAAGATGTGGGCGTGTTCGATGTGAATATTTTGAAGCAATCCCGTTCAGACCTTGCATTCTTCTATGGTCTGAACCACGACCTTCGTCGAGAATCATCCAGGATGAATACCAATAACTTCCCACTGTCAGACGTGCTTGCGGTCGCGAAGATCCATCCGTTCTACAACTCCGATGTACTTTATCCACCGGACCCTGAGCAGATCCGGGCTGCTGTGCAGTCTGGAGACTCCCAACCTAGAAAGACTACGAGTAGCAGTCTCGAGTCGCTGCCACTCACAACGAAGAAGAATCTGTACGTGTGCTCTTCACCTCATTCCCCATCAAGCCCAGTCAACTAAACTCACACCTCTCAGCTATCAGGTTGTCGAGCGATTGACCAAGGACACGAGCCCGCAAAACGAATACCGTCGCAGTGCCTATGTCAGCATCACGGGTGGTGGTTCCGGGGGTTTGCCGCTGATGTTTTTGTCGGACGCGAAAGAAAACCGGCAACAACGCGCAGCATTTGGCGATTTCCTGAGGATCTGCCGCGTGGTGGAACCGCATGATTGGATCCTGACAACGCATGCCGCGGGCTATTGGTATAGGTTCGTTTCGGCCCTCCGCGGCAGAACTAAGGGTGTTAGAGCTGACCTTGGAGCTTTCCTTCACGCTTGGGCAGGTCTCTTGACCTCATGAGTGAGATTCTAGAAAACGCAGGAGGGACGATCCTCAGCGCGGGTAATTTCATGACCCCCGATGAGGTTGTGCGCGCCCTTGAGCATTACAATATCAACGTCTTGACAGGCGATGGCAGTCAAGTCATTCAAATCGTCCACCGGATTGGAACCCTTCCTGCGGAGAAGCGCAAAGGGATCAGGTTGACGAAAGTGATCTACACCTCTGAGCCGCTGACTGACGGTCAGAGACAATACATCCGCGCGACGCTGGGCCCGGTCAAGATATGCTCTGTCTTGGGAAGCGCAGAATCCGGGCCGTACGCCCTCCATAATCCGGACCTGACCGGGGATGCCGGGCTCACAGGCTCCATGGACTTTGTCTTTGACACCCGGAGCCTTGTGGTTGAGATCCTGCCCCCTGCCGTTATGGAAAATGGCTCCCCATCGGGCTTCAAGTCCCTGCCGGAAGGTCAAGAGGGAGTTATCGTCCAGACGTCCTTGCAACGGCGGCGTAATCCCCTTGTACGTTACATCACTGGCGACCTCGCATCGGTCCACCCACTCCCCGACCTTGCACGGTCCGTGGTCCCGGAATCTGATCTCGAACACTTGCGGGTTCTCCGTTTGCGGGGTCGTGATCGTCGCTTCAGTTTCAAATGGTATGGGGTATATTTTGAATTCACCAACATTGAGAAGCTTATGCAGAGGGAGGACTTCGGGTTTCTGCAATGGCAGATCATCAAAGCAACCCATGATTCATCCCCGCAGACAGTCCTTGAGGTTAGGATTCTTCGGGAGGTAGCTAGTGAACACCTGATCGCGCTACAAGATCTCGTCTATGAACTGGAGTCTTTTTTCTTCGTGCTGCCCGAGAATCGGCATCTGTTCCGGCTGGCGTTTGTGGAAGATCTGGGTGGCTTTGAAAAGAGCGGCACGGGGAATAAAGTTATGAAATTTGTGGATCGAACACATTAGTATGTTGCGGACACGCTTCCACAGGTCGGGCACAGATGTAGTCCATGTGTAGACAAGATACTTACAAAACCATAGAAGCGTTTTCCTGTTTCGCTTTAGGTAATTCGCACTCGCCTTATTACTGCTTCCTTGTCGTGTAATAGATACTTACAGCGTGTATCTTTCCATATATCTAACACGTAACTCGTCGGGGCCTGTGGTGCACCACATTCCTCTATCCGAGATAATCAATATGATATCATTCAGCGTGTTTAATATACTTCGAAACAGGTAGTCAGATTGTCTAGTTGACAGCGTGGCCACACAAGTTCTATCTATTGCCACTAGTCAGGCTCAGTGCATGCCCCAGCAATGTAGGAGTTACTCGAAATAGTATTTATGGTTGCACATCGCTCACGAGCCATATAAACCCGGTGTTGGTAACCTGTCCTGTATGATTGTGTTATATTCTTTCAAGGCTTCCAGCAAGCATGACCTCAAAAGGCATCTCAGATAGCGATGCCCATGCGACATCACTCCCAGCAGAAAAGCTGGAGGCGAATGATGACTCGCAAGATGAGGATAGCATAGAGTACCCGACAGGTGCCAAGCTTGCCATTATTCTTGTTGCCATCTTCTTGTCTTTGATTCTTACCGGGCTGGTCTGTAAAATTCCATGGCGGCTATCCCTTCCCCTCCGGATCGCTTACCAAGGAAAGGATTAGGACTTCAACATGATAGCGACAGCATTGCCTAGCATCACCACACATTTCCAGACCATCGCCGACGCTGGTTGGTACTATTCAGCATAGTGAGCGTTCTCCCTTGTTGTTTCAAGACTGAGTAGTCAGTGGTTCTAATAACGCACATCAGCCGTTTGACCTCTTGCGCATTCCAGTTTATTTTCGGCAAGCTATACCATCTTTTCTCTGCCAAGTGCGTATTTCTTGCCTCCGTGCTCATTTTCGAACTGGGATCTTTACTCGCTGGGGTAGCGCCCACGTCTAGCGTGTTGATATTAGGGAGGGCAGTATCTGGCATTGGTTGCGCAGGTATTATTTCTGGAGTCCTGACGTTAGCTTTGCCTCCCCGATCCCTCGCTGTTTCCCGGCTCCTCTACTCCCGCATGGCATTCCAGCTGACTCGTCGAATAGCATCATAGCGCAGTGCTTCCCTCTGCGCAAACGTCCGCTATTTACTGGATTGGCAGCAGCCTTTGAGGGTGTATCTGCGGCTGTTGCCCCAATGCTTGGGGGAGCCCTGACACAAAGCATCTCCTGGAGATGGTGCTTCTACATCAACCTCCCCCTCGGAGGTCTTTCCTTCCTGTTGATCCTATTGTTCTTCCAAGATCCATTGACAACAGCGCGCAAAATGCTGCCATGGAGGGCCAAGCTTCGGCAACTTGACCTTCTCGGCGCTGGGCTTTTCGTCACCTCGGTTACCTTGCCGTTATTGGCTTTTCAGTGGGGGGGCACCACATACGCCTGGGGCAATGTTCGGATCATCGTTCTCTTCGTCTTAACTGGTGTCATCCTGGCTGCCTTTGTCTGGCACCAAAAGAGGAAGGGCGATCATGCTCTGCTCCCCGCACGAGTAATGCGGTCACGAAGTGTCTTTGCCGGAGTGTGGTTTGGCCTCTGCCTTAATTCATCTTTGTCGGTGTTTGAGTATTATGTAGGCGCCCCCAGCCGCCTCGGAAAGCTCTCTCCCTCACTCTCAATGATAACAAACTGACGGACTGTATTCTGGAACTAAGATGCCCACCTATTTTCAAGCCGTCCACGGGGTGTCTGCCACGCTATCCGGCGTGCTTTGTCTGCCGATCGTGGTGGGGCTGACTCTGTCCATTCTTGTCGGAAGTTCCCTCACGAGCGCTCTAGGATACTATACTCCCTTTATGATTGCCACAGCCGTCATCAGTCCGATTGCAGCTGGCTTGCTCACCACGTTACGAGTGGAGCAGTCTCTCGTCTCGCTTATTTTCTATCAGGCTCTTCTGGGCGTCGGCACAGGCATTGGCTTCCAGGGCCCCCAGGTGGCCGTCCAGACGGTCCTTCCCGTCGCCGATGCCCCGATTGGCATTGCGCTGATCATCTTCGCCCAGAACGTGGGGCCGGCAGTCTCCGTCTCAATTGCGCAGACTATCTTCACCAGTGAACTGGTTACCAGGCTCCGGGGAATAGTGCCGGACCTGGACGCCCAGGCACTAACCCAGATGGGGGTTTTTGAGCTACAGCAGCACGTTGCTCCGGCGGACAGGTCGCGAGTGGTCGATGGGTACGATCGAGCTTTGACCACAGCATTCTTTCTGCCGGTTGGCTTGGCTTGTGCTACGATGGTTGGTGCCTTGGCAATGGAATGGAGAAGTGTGAAAAAGTGAAGCGGTGGCGGAAGAGGGCTTCGATGCGCTAGCTGGCTTTAGATATATGTGCAGAACACTGATCTGTCGTTCCTCTGGACTGACTCGCTGCTTGATAATTTTCACCGCTCGTGTCTTCATCGCCCGCATACAATCTGACGGAAGTGAAGAAATCCCGCTGCATCGTGTCCTGATACTAAACCGAAATTACCATGAACTTGGGTTAAGGATGCCGGTGGTTTCTGTCATGGTGTTCGGGGAAGACCATTGTACAACGTTGTCTAGGAAGAAGTTGCAAGATGGAGGATCCATCGGGTCATTTATGTCGGGGTAGAGAAAGTCCTGGCCGAACCATGACGGCTCAATCCCTAACGGAGCTGGGATAAGACACCGAAGACCCCTTATCTCTTATCGACAAGACAAGAACAGCACCGTCTAGTGGTGATTAGACGCGCTCTCCTCTCAATGGCATGGCCGGGCGCCATTGTATCTCGTTCCAATCATAAAAACCCACATCAGGGAAAGATGCCAATGACGAAGTGACCTTTCCGATACGTGACCTATCTGTGCTGATCACCAGTTTCTGAAGCTCTCGAATTGGGTGGTACCTCCTGGCTACTGATACGCCGTGAAAGTGCTTCTACTCTCAAGGGCACAGCACGGAAGCACTGTTGACTCGTTCAGCTTGATTCGGACTTATTCATCTGATATAAGAATGCATCCAAACTTAAATTCCGGGTATCTCTAGGTGTATCTGTATCTGTGTATATATGTCAATAAATATGAACCTCTATGCCTTCTCCGTCTGCCGTCCCTTCCGCATAGACGGAAGGAAAAACGCAGGATACACGACGGTAAGGGCGCCCACTCCCAGCGCGATCATCCTATCACACATGTTAGCCACTCTCATACAATACCAAAGCATCACCCGAGGAAGGACGACATACATCCCATCCAACACCAAGAACTCGTCTTCCTTCTGCATCAGGGGGTTCCCCCATCCACCGGCCATCTCGGGGATACTGTCAACAAGAGCATCGTTAGCAATCATCTCGACGATGCGCATCCAACAACAAGGCAAAAGGAAGCTGCCTACCGATAGATACACCGAATCAACACGGTGAAATACGCGAAGATCTCCGCATAGATAACCAGTCGAATATGCTTCACCCCATCCACGTTAAGATCACCGCCCAAACCGGGCCCGTGCCGGACGACCCGAATGAAAAACTCCAGCGCGATCAGCCCGCATACCGACATGGTCGCCACCTGAAATGCGATACCGGCGATGATGATGTCGTCTCCAACTTGCAGGAGGGTCTGGTCCGTCTTGCCGGCGGCGGCGGCGACACCACCTCCGGCCGCTTGGAGGACGAGGGACCCGACGTCACAGCTAATGAAAATCCAGGTGAAGAGGCGCGGTTTGAGGCGCGAGTACTGCGGCCCCAGCGAGAGGACGATGTGCTTGAGGGTGAGGTAGATGCCCGCGGCGACGAAGGTGGGCGCCAGCACGAGGCAGACGATCTGTAGCTTGAACGCGTTCTCGTTCCACGGATTGTAATGCATTTGTATGCGCCCGATATACCCGGCCAGCTCCATGAAGGCGCCGATGACCATTGCGATCGTCAGCGTCCAGGAGCGGAAGTAGATGCCGAATCCCAGCTGGAAGACGCCCAGGATGCCGTAGAAGATCGCAAAAAAAATGTTGCCGCCGAGGTTGGGGTAGTAGCCGTAGGTGGTTGCCTCGACGGGGCATTCTAGCGAGACTTTTTCGCAAGTGCTGTAACTCATGGTGATGGTTCTGAAGAGTTTCGCCGATTTCGAGATGTGGAACTTTCTGCTGGTTATGTCTATGTCGGAATCAAAATTTGAGATCCAACAAGAACAGAATGAGAGAATGCAAAGTTCTAACGATAACGCGATGCAGGAATAACCGTTATGATAAGCAAAAGAACGACAAAGAAGAAATGAAGAGATGGACGTGTTGTCTCCGACAAGGATTCATGCTCGTAGTCTGGAGGCCTGAGGGGGGGTCAGACCTATTTTAATACGGGGAGTTGTTTGAATTGGTTCCTTAACCCCGATTAGGTGGCGTTTTGGTGACTGGTGGACCGATATCAAGAAAAACGTGGTTAACAACCACGGTGATTGGGTCGCTTTCGTTCTCGTTCTCGTTCTCGTTATCGCAAGGCCCCACAAGCGGGGAGAGCCGATTGACTTTTTCGACCTCATCTTCGGCTAATTCAGGTCAACACGCATTAATCAGCGTTCTCGCGTCTAGGTTCCAAGGGTCAAGAATTCGTGGGAAGTAACGTGATCTCAAATGTCTTCACAAGCGGCGATTTCTGCATTAGATACCGCAACAAACGGGGCAACTGCATATGACAGCTGGGGCAGACGGCCAGTCCGTTCGAAGACCTCCGCCTCGATATGCATGGAGGCTAATTTAACCTGGGCGAATCCAACGCTTCCTCCAACTCATCAGCCATAAATCCTCATGTCGAATCCCGTCACCGTTGTTTTCTCAGAGCGACACCCTTATAATAATAGCCTAATAATACATGGACGCAGAACCGTATCCAAGAGCAAGTCATCCAACAGACATCGATCACGCCTTCTCAGTTGGACCAGCCTCTACCTCGTAACCTATATCTGTTAACTCAGTCCTGCCCATGTCCTGACATGAAAAAAAAAGACAACATACCTGACCGTCTAGGTCTGAAGGAAAGAACATAAAAGATAGCAGCCATATACATGGACACAACAATAGTCTGCCCTAGACATTCCGTCACCAGGAGTTCTGTCCATCCATTCTCGTAACCCTTCCACACTATACCAACTATATCGACAGCCCCAATCGATGCGTACCCCATCAGTGCGATGACTATGCTGTAGCTAAGCCCAGACATCCGGACGCAGAACCAGACACTGAATGCTGGCGGAGCTGCGCGGAACAAGCTGCGCCAAAAGGGAGCCCACCCCGGCGAGGGAGGAAGCGAGGACAGAATGTCTGGCATCTTATTGGATATGATATCGAGGAGTATCGGGAGAGGTCCTCGGATCATGTACTGTATGGTGACAGCAATGCCGATCCAAAAAAGTGACGACAAGACCGTCTGAAAGTTCCCCATGGCGTATTTAGGCCACAGAGCTCTTTTTCGACTTCGAGATTCTCAGTGCTCGGAAGGGATGATATAGAATGGATGATGATGGTAATCGATGCAAACTGCTGCTGCTGCCACACTGCGTATGCGAATGAAGGAGGCTGAAGGGTTTTTAATGATTTCCCACCTGCTTGTAAGGCTGATCTCCGACCATACTCCGCCGTTGAGTACCCACGGCAGTATACATAGCTGCGCTGTGCGGGGAGCTGGGACGAAACCTGACAAATCCCCATTGAAAGCTTGGCTGAGGCTCTGAGCTAAAGTCAATAGTTCAAGAGAGCCCAGGGGTTGGACAAGTTCAGCGATAAAGCATCTGATTGAATCATCGTTTACAGTCGACCCACTGCTCTCACATGTGGGTCGGCTCGCTCCTAGCGTGGGCGGGTATGGAATAACGATTCTGAGCTCACTGGCAGAATGGCTGAGCTAGAAGACAGCATACATTGAAGAAATGAACCTAGTATACTGAGGATGGATGGGGCCTCATGTGCTGAGCCTGAATTGTTTGAGCTCTGACAGTATAAGCCAATGCTGAAGGCGGGTGTCTGCGCCCATGTGATGTTGATAGGCTGTTTATTTGCGTTGCTTGACCTGTGTCGAGCAAACTTCAGGATGATCTTATGTGCTGTTTGTATTCCAGATATGAATAGCCTGAATAAAATACAAAACAAGCCGAATCAGCCTCAAGAGCCCGATGCTGATGCTGAAGTTGTAAAGAGAATCTCATACAAGCAGTGGCTGCTGGTGGCCGTAGCGGGTAAACTTCCAGAACTGCCCAGTGCCAGCGGACGGATAAGTCCGGTGCACGTGATCTCTACCGGCTTTCCCGACGTGTCGCGCTCTCTTCCCACGTGGGAGAATCACCATTGATTTGTCTTCCTCATCAACCCCGTCGAAATGGAAGATGCCGCCTCGGAGGACCCATACAAAGTCACGCAATGGCTGCGACCAGTGCAAAAAGCGCCGAGTTAAGGTAGGTTGCGTTTTTTTCCCCCATGCCTTTCGGATGTGCCTGCCAACTCATGCACTGCGCCACAACTCCGGACCTCTAATGTTTAAGTATAGTGCGATGAACAAGGCCCACCTTGTTCGAACTGTACCAGCCGCGAGCTCAAGTGTACATACTTCAAGGCTCCAATAGCTCGGAGCACTATCAATTCATCTTCTACCAGCTCTATACCTGCTTCAATCCCTTCCATCAAAGGATTATCACCCGAAATCGCAAGCCACAGCCGGACTTTGTCCCGGTATGGCAGCTCTGCTCCGCCGAAGTTTGCTAGCACACGAGAGCTGGAGTTGATGCACAAATACGCCACGGAGACCTATCAGAGTCTGAGCAATGAGCCAGTAGACCACTACACCTGGCAGACTGTCATTGCGCGAACAGCTTTCCAGCATGACTTCCTCATGAGTGGGTTGCTTGCAGTCGCCTCGTTGCATATCGCTGCCACCACGGACCCACCGGAGGCTCTGTCCTATATTGACACCGCATTGGAGTATCATGACCGGGCATTTGCTCCGTTCCGGCACGCAATAGACAACCTGACTCCTGCCAACTGCGATGCTGTCTTTGCGCACTCGGTTATTACCACAGTCATTGGCATTGCCCTGCCTCGGCTATCTTCTGACAGTCAGGAAACCAGCACGATGACCGAGAACATCATCGTCGTTTTTGAATTGCTTCATGGTGTCAGCAAAATATACACCCTCAGTCGCGACCATCTGTCCACGCAACTGGTCACTTCTCGAAAAGGATTCTGGGAAACGCAACTCTCAATCCTCGACGCCGAGACTGAGACCGCCTTCGATAGACTGACTAGCTTGAGCCACGCCATGCAGGACAGCATTACTGAAGAGCAATATCGCATAATCGATGGAGCGATCGCACTTCTGAGGCGCTGCTTCTGTAGATACAACCATGCCCGCGATATAGCATCCATTCTAGGATGGCTTGCGATGGCTAGCAAGGAGTTTGTGCATGCTTTGAGGTGTCGTCAGCCTCTTGCGCTACTCGTTCTCATGCACTGGGGAGCACTTCTAATGGAGCTTGATGGTAAAGTGTGGTGGGCAAAGAACTCGGGCAGAGCGCTGGTCTCTGAGCTACTAAGTGCTCTTCGTCCTTGTGATACACAGTGGGAGGGTGCTTTGCAGTGGCCAGAACGGAAGATCAGAGCTTAATTTCGACTGCAATCGACGCGGTCTATTCGTCAACAGCACTGCATTAGACTTTGCATGGCTTGTGCCTGCTTGGAACCGAAACCGGAGCACTATCCACAGCTACTAGACCAAAGTGAATCATCACGACGTAGCATCACGGACAGCCCGAACTAAAGCTTTACGGACCGCAACACTCGCTCCCATGCGTCTGTGGCCCGTTGCTTATTGATTCTGTCTGCATCATGTTGACATGCTGCCAAACTTAACGGACCACCCAGCTGTTTTAACCAGAATGATCGACCGCAGTCAAACAACCAATTGCGTGAACCAACCTTGACCAGGTCCGCAAGGAAACACTGCGGCGTGGTTCGATCTTTCACAAACAGTACCGTCGGTAAAGCATGTCGCATGCCTTCTGGGGCGTACGTATCCGCCAACTGCATAATTCCGTCTAGCGTCGTCTTCACATATAGCTGCGATCCAAGATGAATAACCCCTCGCGTACCCGCAACCGTGTGAAGAAGACATGCATTCGCCACAAGGTCAACCGGCATCTCATCCAACGTATTCGCGCCACTATCATAGCCCTCAGCCGCGTGCCAGGTCTGCGTTTCGCCATGCGTCATCAGAAATAGCGAGGCGAATCTCTTCAACGGGATGGAATTCTCCGGCGCATAATGCGGATATGGATCCTTGACCGCAGGACCAAAGATTGTCGGACGCACCAGTAACATGGGCAGCGTTGGGAACCGTTTCAGCATCAGCCGTTCCATCAGATACTTCGCATGGGTATATGATGACGAGAAGTGCTCGGCGTGCGCGGAACCTTCGCCTCTGAGGATTGCTGCTAGTAGCTCCTCCGGATCATCCTCCTCACCCTTTCCCCCCACTTCCACCCCAACGGAGTACAGCTTCTCCGCCACGTGCCCATCCGGCAAGAAACTATTCACATATGCCGTCGACACCTGCACGAAGAGCTTCAACCTGCGGAACCGCGCGGCGATTTTCGCCATCTCCAACGACGGGAGACAGTTGTTCTCCACCGCCTCCGCAACGTCCGCGTCCAGGGTGATTTTGGCAGCCGCGTGGATCACCAGCGTGACCTGCTGGCGCAGCTCATTCATCACCGCCACATCGATCCCAAAGTCCGGCTTCGTCATGTCCCCCACAACAAATTGAATCTTTCGGGAGTGGAGGACCGGCTGCGTCTGCACGGGCATCGCCTTCTTCCATTTCTGGATCGCGAGGTCCGGGGACCCCCGGATCAGGACGTATATCTTGTGGGTAGGGACCTGCACCGCGAGTTTGTAGAGGAGCACGGCCCCCAGCGCGCCGGTGCTCCCGGTGAGGAAGACGGTGTGTTTCTCGAATAAGGTTGCATAGCCTCTGCGTTTGATCTCTTCCTCGTGCAGTGAGGGGGTGGAAAGGAGGGCGAGGGACATCAGGGGCTTTTTTTTGATTGTGTATATCTCGTTGCGCTGTATATCGCGTAATCCGCTGTCTCTGTGATATAGCAATGTGCACTGAATAACAACTGATGCAGTATCAGCAACTTTTGGACGCCAGCAGCTTTCGCAATGCTAGAGCCCTCCTTCTGTGCATTATGCAACTACCACAATACAACGAACAGAATCCAGTGATACCTTCCTGCAACCGAGTCAGTCAAGTAAACTTTTAAAAAGAACCGAAGGGAGGTCGCACAGGCCCTTGATTCTCCATCTTGCAGAGCGACCAACCTACATAAAAGCATGTCGTAGCTACCCAGCCAGTAGCTAGTACATGTGCACGAACAGAACCAGTCCCGCGTCATTCCCTATCCTACCTATTTCTGTTTCTTTCTGTTCACATGCAAGGCCATTCAGTGTACAGTATACACACACATGCTTTGACCCCAGCCAGCCTCTTTCCCCGATGCTATACACAGAAATCAAAGTTGCTTGGCTAATGCATCCAAAGAGAGTCTCAATCCTGCCCAGACCGTTCAGCGTGACATGATCCTACATCCTAGATGTAGAGTACCCGAGTTGAACGCCCCGTAAGCCCCCCTTACTTGAATCGATGAGAAGAATCAGGCTCACATGACTTGTACAAAAGTCTAGAGAAATCACATATCTCCCCGTCATACTTATCCACATCGTATCTTCCTGGTAGCTTTTCTGAAAAGAAACCATTCGGAGGCCCGATCCAGACAATTCATCGATAAACAAGATAATTCAGCGTTTGTCCAAGTGATTTCGATATAAGGATACACCCGTGGCTCGCTCCGTGCGACCATTACGCGTTCCGTGCTGGAGGGTGAGGAGAGCTATGGTCGAGGGGGCAGGGCAGGGTCCTCACAGCTTGGTTGCATCTCATGTGAAGAGCGCACATGTGTGACGTGGCTATATGTAACATGGGGGGCTCATCCGAGGTCGACGTGGGTCGTCTTTTGTGCGTCTGGTTTCTATTCCCTTCTACCCTTCGGGTTCAGGGGTTACAGTATACCGGGCATGAGGCATATTACTCAAGGAAAACTACTTGATCGGGATCTGATGCCATGCGGTAGGAAACTCGGAACTCGGTTGCTTTGCATATATGTGTGTGTGGATAATTGAACAGGTTGCGGTCACCCTCGATTCTTATACACTCTTAGATAACTATAGTACATACTCGTCGTTACCCCTTCGGGACGACTCACTAAAAAGTAATCCAGATCATATACCTATTGGCGGACCCCGTCACGAACAGCCGCCCCAGTTGCTGAGAACATGAATGCCCCGGTTTCATCAAGCAGAAAAAAAAAACGGGCGAAAGTCAAAGGAGACATAGATACATACATACATACATCGACACATACATACAGCATCATGTGAAGTAAATTGGGAAAAAAGTCAGCGAAAACCCCTTGAGACCGGTCTAACCAGCCCTGCCCAGAGTCATCTGAAATGATTATGTATACTTTAGAAGGGAAGAAGAATTGTGAAATGGTTTAGGAAGTTTTGTTTCCACCTCCGCCGCACCAACACCGGCCGTCTCCTTCGCGCTCGACCTGAACAAGGATGTTCATGTCTTTCTCGCGAAGATAGTTGACTGTGCGTTGGCGGACGTCTTCGAGGTCAGCGCCGCGGGAAGCGATAACATGGATTACGCCGAGGAGTTTGGGGTTATGGCTGTCGTGGGAGTGATTGTGGTGGTCATGGCTGTGGGAATGGGTGTGGCTGCCGTGATCGTGGCTGTGGCCATGGGCATGATTGTGGGAGGGGGAATGAGAGTGCGAGTGAGAGTGATCACTGCCATGACCATGGCTGTGGGAGTGCGAATGGTTGTGATCATGATCATGGTCATGACAGTGACTCTGGCTATGGCCGTGGGAGTGGCTGTGACCATGATCATGGCCATGGTGGTGGTGATGACCAGAAGACTCCTTCCCTGTGTCGTCCAGCCAAAATCGAGGTACTGTGTACCCGACAACTCCTCGGAGAGTACTGACCCCGGCTAGGGCTTCGCGGACATTGTACTCCACATCAGCCGGTAATGCCAGTAACAGTGTCTTCGCTGTGCTGCTGACGAGCGGGACTGCCGAGGCAAAAATCAAGATTGCGATCAAGCACGAGGCGATGGGATCATACCCTGGCCAGCCAGAGTAGTGGACTAGAATGGTAGAGATCACCACAGCCACAGATCCCAGCGTATCGGCGAGAATATGTAAAAAGATGCCGTGCATATTTTCGTTACCATGCGAGTGTCCGTGACCGTGGTCGTGTCCATGTGCATGTCCATGGTCGAAGGCCATAATTCCGACGAGGTTCACTAGTAAACCCGCAATGCTGACAACGAGAAGCTCACCAATGCGGTGCATTTGGCTGCCAGAAGACAGTCTCTCAACCGCTTCATAGATAATTTCAATACTAATGATCCTGCATGCCGTTAGTTGTAGGTCACAGACTCAACAGTTCGCAGTGCTCACATGAGGAAGATGCCGTTGGCAAAACCTGACAGCGTGTCCACTTTTCCATAGCCGTAGGGGAACCTCGAACTCGGAGGCCATTTGCTCATGACAGCAGCACAAAGACCAACGACTAAAGCAAGGCAGTCAAAGAACATGTGAATACTATCGCTGAGCAGCCCCAGGGACCCAGTCAAGAAGCCGTATGCCAACTGCACGAGCATGAAGCTGAAGTTAAGGCTGAAAAGAGTTAGCAATGGTGAAGCATAGTAGAGTGGCACGAAAACTCACCACATGAAGTAGAAAATGCGTCGCGAATCGCTTTCTTTGAGAATACTGTACAGAAGCGGATACGATTCGCTGTGATGGAGGATAAGCTTGGTAACTTTGGAAGCATCGGCAGATGAAGGGCTGTGCTGCTCATGAGCATGCGAATGCGCAGAATGGCGCAGACTCTTTACATCATAACGGGCAGCAAGGTAGGAGACGAGTGAAACAACGATCCGAGAGACATAAATGACCTGCGCGTTGTCCTGCAGTGGAGGTGAGGAGAAGAAGGCAGCGCTACCCATCCCTAGAACGAGGCCTAGTTTATGCGGCGACTGTAGATGCGAAGGGGCAATAGCGAATAGACTGATTGCAAATGCACCAGAGGCGGCAAGGTGATAAACCATGTCAGTGACCTCAAACGAGATGTTCCCGGAAATGACAATTGTGACTAGTGTCAGAGACAAGCCTGACAAAACAGCCAATACAGAATCATTAGCTGAAGTAGCGCTTGCACCCGACTCTGATAGCGGCTTCTTGGACGATGCGGGCGTAGATAGGTCAACATCAACCGACTTGGCCCCTGAGAATGGAGGACGGAGTACAAAGACGGACACAAGCAAAGAAGCGTAACCGAAGAAAGGATGATCATCCCAGGTTGCATTCAAGCCCAAGAAACTCAACACGATGACCGCGACAAGAACAGCACCGCTTGCTTTCTTTTGACCGAATCGAAATTGGCCACTGCTGTGGGTTCCATTCCCCTGAAGGAGCGTAGGCACTCCAGAGGCTACTGCAAGAAGCAAGCTGAAAGCCACCAGGAAGCCTCCAATCTTCAGACCAGCATATATGGGCAAAGCAAGAGAAGCCGCTTGCAGAAGTGCCATCCTTGCCGTGCTTGAATTCACCGGGGGAAGTGCAGAAGCGGAGTCGGATCCTCCCCGCTGTGCCGATCGCACGATCTGTCCGCATCCATATAGTATCAGTGTAACTGCTGTCAGCATGGCGGTCTTCCGTTCGACTTGTTCTAATTTGCCGATGCTCGAGGCGGTCGCGTCGGGATCGCCTGAGATTCCTTGTTGCATCTTCCAATGCGCATGGTGTTGGTAGTACCAGGAAAGGGCAATCCATGGCAGAGCCAGGAGGGGTCCAACGATAGCATCTTGACTTCTCAAATTGTTATTACGGGCTGGGCGAGCGCGACTGGGGAACTCACATTGTATTTGGTCCAGACTCGGCTGATGCATTCAGCACTTGAGCACCAATTGGCCCTGCAGCGCTATCATTCTTCGTGTGATGTGCATGGTTGCAAGAAGAGGCGGAGTGCTCATGAGTAGATGCTTCCCAGACGCTATGATTCGATGCATGGGAGTGTGTATGGTGATGAGCATGTCCGGCAGAATCTCGAGAGTTGACATTGAGAAGTACAGGGCTGATCACAGGTTGTGGGGGCTGTTGATTTGCTGAAGACAGGTCGAAAGAGGAGGCCGAAATGGAAACTGGCCCGTGCGACCTGCGAGATGATCGCGAACGGTGACCACGAGAATGCCCAAGCCCATGGTTCGGAGGAGCTGTTTCCACGATAGATACGGGTGTCCCGGCCGACATTGTGTCTGTTTCGCTGCGCTATGCACGATCGTTGCAAGTGTCCAGCCAACAGCCGGAGGGGGTTCGTGAGAGGCCGGTGCTGGAGCCGAGGTTCCAGGAAACAGCTGCCTAGAAGCAGAACAATTGAGCTTTAAGAGCTCAGCAAAAATGATAGGTCGGAAGATGAAAGCAAAAGACGCAGCATAGCGCCCGTGCAAAGGGAATGAATGGAAGAAAAAGGAGCGACCGCGAAGGGCGCTTGTGGCGATCTTAGAACGATGATGATGATGGACGAATAGCCCCCAGATAGCGGCGCGACGATCGGCCGGCGGTGATAACGAGCGCCACGTGACCAGCTTTTCAGCTGGGGCCTATCTCGGTCGTTGCCTGACATTTCAGGAACACACGTCAAATCGAGTGTATGGAAAGAGTAATCAATCATTCCCCAATGTATTAATTTGACTTATGAGGGGATGATCCGGGGTAGGACAGATAGATAAAGCTCCAGCTAGACCGAAAGATAACCAGAGGAGAAAACGCCGAAGATACTTAATTGGTCCAGTGGCATGTAACCTATCAATGCGAGCCGCGCACCTGTTGTCAATTTGCCCGATTTGTTTATTCTGACGCGCCCGGCGTGTGTGTTTCTGTGTGTGCCGTGCCTCCGTACTCCGGTGTGGGGTTCCGTTCATCGGCCCAGGATTCCTCCTCCGGCCAGCTTGTCCCCAGAGCTCTAGATTTCTTTCTTCCATTATCGCGCAGGGTCAGGATCGATAGACATACTTCTGCTGGCTTAGCGATACATGGTTGAGACGCCTATTGATCGCGCGTCATTTATTTGATTCACTATTGCCGTGCATAATGCTGGATCATCTGTCATCGACTTCATAACCCCCTCAAGAGCTTGATCCGTCGTACATCATGCTCGCAACTCTCATCAGCATCGCCTTTTACGCATCTACAGCGCTCACGCTGGCAATCATTTTCCTCTCCCCATCAAGATATACACCCCAACTTGCCTCTGAAAGTGATGGCTCCGACAAACCAAAGACAACCGTCCAAGTTCTTGTACTAGGGGACATCGGTCGCAGCCCGCGCATGCAGTACCATGCGCTCAGCGTAGCGAGAGGCGGAGGCCAAGTGGACATCATCGGCTACCATGGTGCGCAAAGATAATCAATTGCAGTCGCATAGCTCGAAACTAATACACGGCTTCTTCAGAATCGGAAGTCCACCCCGAGATCACCGCCCACCCCCGAATTTCCATTGTCGCGCTCCCCCCGCACCCGACCTTCCTCCAAACAAGCAACAAGCTTCTCTTCCTCCTCTTCGGACCCCTCAAAGTGCTATTCCAGCTCGGCTGTCTCTGGTGGATTCTCGCCTACCGAACCAAGCCCGCCAAATGGCTTCTCGTCCAAGTCAGTCACCCCTCATAACCCACCTACCGTCCTTGCTAAACTCAACCCCCATTCCCCACGACAGAACCCCCCATCCATCCCCACCCTCGCCATCGCCACCCTCACTAGCCTCCTCCGTCAGACCAGCCTAATAATCGATTGGCACAACTTTGGCTACACGATCCTGGCCCTCAAGCTCGGCGACGCCCACCCGCTCGTCCGCCTCTCCCAGCGCTACGAGCGCTTCTTCGGCCAATACGCGACGGCGCACCTCTGCGTCACCAACGCGATGGCCACCGTCCTCGCACGAGACCTCGGGATCCGTCGTGCCCCGATCCTCCCTCTCCACGACCGGCCCGCCGACCACTTCCAGCCGATCTCCGACCCCGCCGCGCGCGCCGCCTTTCTCCGCTCCCTCCCGCAGACCGAGCCCGTGCGCCCGCTCCTCGCGACCAACGCCCTCCGCGTCCTGGTTAGCTCCACCTCCTGGACCGCGGACGAGGACTTCTCCGTGCTCATCGATGCCCTGTGCCGATACTCCGCGCTGGCGCGGCAGCAGCAGAGCAGCCCCTCAGAACTCCCCGCCATCCTGGCGATCATCACGGGCAAAGGACCCCAGAAGGAGATGTATCTCCGGCGCATTCGGGAGCTGGAAGCAGCGGGGAGGCTGGAGAAGGTGACGATCTGCACCGCGTGGCTGAGCATGGAGGACTATGCGCGCCTGCTGGCGTCGGCGTCGCTGGGCGTCAGCCTGCACACCAGCAGCAGTGGCGTGGATCTGCCCATGAAGGTCGTGGACATGTTCGGCGCCGGGTTGCCGGTGGTCGGGTGGAATCGGTTCGAGGCATGGCCCGAACTCGTGACGGAGGGGGTCAATGGGCTTGGGTTCGGGAGCTCGGAGGAGCTGGTGGGCCATCTCGTGGAGCTGTTTAAAGATGATACGAAGCTGGAACGTCTGCGGGACGGGGCTCGCAAGGAGAGTGCCCGTCGTTGGGATGATGAGTGGAATCCCGTGGCGGGGAAGCTGCTGGGGCTGTATTAGTGCCATTACCGATATAATCAATACATATAGCAATTTATTCCTTCTTCAGCGAGCGATTGGCTGAGAGCAGCATTGACTTGTTGTTAAGTATTTACTGAGCTATATACCGGCAACTAACACTATGGACGGAACTTCCCGCCGCAGAAGGTGCACGTATCGAACATGTCGAATAGCCGCTGACAAGACCGCTGGAGATCCGCGTCTGACGAGTCCATCTCGTCCTCGTTCAGATACTCTTTTCCGCAGCCAGAACAGAATTTGGACATCCCGGGGTCTTGGATAGCTAGTGACGTCAAGCCACACCGCACTGCATTCGAGAAAGGGGTTGTCAGTTTGTGATGTGCAGGATAGCATACGCTTTCTTCTGGGTGTGCTACATACCGAAGAGGTGGCCCGCGGCGCATTGCGCTTCCTGGTTCGAATACCAAGCAAGGCCGGCATCGCAGATCTCGCATCTCTCGAATAGAGGGCTGCCTGGCCCGCTGAGCTTATCGGCTGACTTGACATTCACCGTGCTCTTGGAGGTGGAACATTTGGAGATCTCCTCGGTCAGATCTGCGCCCGTGATGGTCGCGAGTCTGATGAAGACCTGGCGGGCTTGCGCCATGATCTCCTCGTTGGCGCAATCGACTATGGCCGAGCACGCTGCTGCGTATAATACTTTGCCAGACAGTGGTGACCTGTCGCCTTCTTCGTCTTGAGAATGTAGAATGTGCCGTAGGGCCGCATCGCGCCGTGCACTGGGGGCGTCAGGGCCAGAGGCAGAGTCGGGGTCCGATGTTGCTATTGGCCCGCTGGGGAGCTCGTCTGCGACTTCACCGGTGGTTGTAGAGAAGGTTACTATCACTCGGTCTTCGGCGGCTGTGCGGTATTCGATGACGTCTCCGGGGTGGAGCGTGGTAGCGCTCGCAACGATGCCTTTGCATGAGGTCAGACCCCAGATCCTGGCCACGGCGAGGCCTCCGAAATCTCGATTGAAGTCGAACTGTTCCCGCATATCGTCGATTTGATTCTTCCAGGAGGCCTTGGAGATTAGTAGATCCTGCTGTTCGGGAGAAAATTGTTTCGTTATTGCGTAGCCTCCACCTGTTCCTATATGCAGCGCGAGATTCTGAGATTCAGGCTCTCGTGTGACAGTCATGGCTTTCTCGTGTCAGCGTGGGCGAGTGTGGTTGACAGGATATCGCTCACATGATATTGGATCCCAATGCCTTGGGGCTTCGGACTGGATCTCTGTCGCCGTGTCCTCATAGAATGGTAGGTGTTGTAACTCGATTTGTGAGGCTTTCTGCTCATTTCCTTCATATGCCGAGTGAGGCATAGTAATAAGAGCGAGGCCCCCAAAGACACCTGCAGCCAAAGAAAGACTTTGCGCATTGTCCTGGTATAATGGTTAATCGAGTAATATCTCCCTGTCAGATGTGGTCTTACCAGACTGATCCATTCAATAGGACCGGTGAAACGAAAATCTTCCAGTCCTTCGCAAGATACTGAAGCGTTCTCTTCTGATTTGGCCACTGGCTCGGGAGGCAGACCCACGTCTGCTCCGTACTTGAGAGATGCTGGGTCAACTTCTAGTCTGAGGACCCGCAATTTTGTCCCGTACACAACGGCCAGATTCCCTATCGCGTGACGGGCAGTTGGGCGTTGCGCCTGATCTTCTTCTCCCGGAAAGATCCATGGGCCCCAATTCATTGACGAGACAATGGCTTTGGACTGTAGCGTAGCGGAAAAGAGCGATGATGGTTGAGCCTCAGCATAGCTCACGAAGGGATTATTCAAGGAAGTAATGGCAAGCACATCAGCTGTATACCTTGGACTTTGTACTGCTACCAAGCTTCGTACTCGGAGGAAGATCACATCCTTAGAGTCATTTGCCACTGATAACAGGTGATGGCCCCAGCGACTCTCGACGCCGGGAATTGCTAGTGATTCCGCATCTTGCTCCGCGATAGGTACTTTCAGAGGCAATGACCACGAAAAAGACCGAATGTATGATTTCCGCAGGGCCAAGCCCTCATCCTGGATCTGGGGTTGAAAGTGCAGTTTTAGGGAATCGTTGACGATGGCTACGCGCGTCCATTTCCCTTGGATCCCGACAGGCTCATAGAGGGAAAGCAGCAGATTGGAGGTGAAGACTGCGAGCACACAGCGCCGGAACTTAGCGAGTCCGGGAGGAGACCAGGCCAGACCTACCACGGTGCTAAGGGACTGCTCGCCGCCAAGCGAGAAATTGTCACGCTTCTGGGGATAGATTGTCGGCCATTCGCTTTCAGTGAAAACATTGACCCTGAACCGATTGGAATGCCAGTCGTTGATGGCTTTTTGCACAGGGCCCTGCTCCGCTTTTTCATTGGCCGTCTTGGGGGTCTGTTCGCAGTTAGGAAATCATTCGTAAAGGCTCGGTAGTGATGGGCAGGCGACTGACCAAGACCTGGACGTATTCCCCCGCACCGATGGCCAATTCCCCGTCTGCCGACCAGGCCAGGCAATCTGAGCAGGAGGGGAATAACGGTAATTCCAACGGTCCTAGCATCTTGAAACGGCGGTGGTAATCAACAACTTCTCATGATTGTGAAGAAACTTCAAAGTGTGTCAGATTTATCATAGAACATTGGGTCAATGACCGGCACTGTTTGACATCCCTTTGGTTGCTGGAATGCAGTGTCCAGCTATAGCATTGTATGGCGGGACGAATCTATAGTTGTTCCTGCTTCGGGTTAGTCCAATGTGGGCGGGAAGGAGAAAGATTGCACACTACATGCGCAATCACGTGCAGTGGGCCGAGCCTGTGGTCCGGCTGCATGCTACTTCAATCAAGCGGGCGGTGAGAGCATGAGCTCACGGGTCTGACTTCTGGATAAGCATTAGGTAATTCGAATGGCATGAGCACACCATACCTATTGTGGTTAGTTATCCAGGCTAAATCAGCGGTCAGTGAGTGACTGGTCTGACAAAACTAACAAACACTCACTGTGACGGTGCAGTAGTAGACTAGCAGCGAGGATCAACGCCCGCCATCCCATCCTCCCGCTCCGACTATCGTCCGTTCGTTCTCCTCTTTCCGAACTCCATCCGACCAATTCTCCACTGTCTTCAACTCCTCGTTGTCTTGTTACTCAAGTTTCGGCCTGAGATCTCTCATCCTCTTCGCCACATCTTTCACCCACATCGCCCACCCCTCTGTCACCCATTCGTGGTCTTTGCCACCTGCAGTCATACATCCTGACTTGTTCTTGGACCATCTTCCGATAGCTCCTCCTTCATCGTCAATACCCCGCCACAATGTCGACCTCTGCCCGTCGTCGCCTTATGCGCGATTTCAAGGTATGTACCTGCCCGCCGCGTTAGTGCCTATGTCCCTTGCGTTACAATGGGTCTCTTATCACAACTCTCGCTTCAAGCTTTGTCTCGACCAAGGCCAAGCCGAGCTACATTAGCTAACAGGTATGCTTTATTTTAGCGTATGCAAACCGACCCTCCTGCTGGAGTTTCCGCATCTCCTGTAGCAGACAATGTCATGACTTGGTGAGTAAGCCTAATCATCCCGATGTTCTCTCCCGCAATAGAGTCTGAGTCTGACAACCCCTCCAGGAATGCGGTCATTATCGGCCCCGCTGATACGCCCTTTGAGGACGGCACATTCCGGCTCGTGATGCACTTCGAGGAGCAGTACCCCAACAAGCCTCCAGGCGTCAAATTCATCAGCCAGATGTTCCATCCCAATGTCTACGGCACGGGGGAGCTCTGCTTGGACATCCTACAGAACCGTTGGAGCCCAACCTATGACGTGGCCGCGATTCTTACCAGTATTCAGAGGTAAGGACTCTTCTCTGCCTTGCTCGTCCCCAATCCATCACGAGGCGGGAATAAAACGATGCTAACGATTCCTTTTCTGTCTATAGCTTGCTCAACGACCCGAACACCTCATCCCCCGCCAATGTAGAAGCCTCGAACCTATACAAAGATAACCGCAAGGAGTACATCAAGCGGGTGCGCGAGACAGTCGAGAAGAGCTGGGAAGATTAGAGACGAGAGAGGAGGGGAGACGACTATGATATATTACTATACGCGGGTTTGGGACTCTTGGTTCATGGCGATGTTTACAATGTCTTGCCCTGTGTTCCACTTGGGCTTGGTGCCCGAGGCATTGATCATGCTCTTGTGGGAATGCAAGGGCAGTGAATCTAAGGGACTGGCACTCCGTTGATGACGTGCACAGCGTGGGGTTTTGGCGCCTGGTTACATCTTGATCTGTTCTTCTTATCGTGATCTCCCATTGGTAATTATGAATAGCTGCATCGGTTTCGTGTTTATGTTTATGTCGTTTGTTGTTTCACTTGATTGCATTTGACTTTGGTGTCTCCTTGCTCTTTGCCGCTACTGCATGTCAGATACTCGGCCCGACAATTCGGCTGCTTTGAATTCTTTTAAATTTGAGTTTCCATTCACAGACCGTCTGCCAGCGATTCCAGCTCCTTCATGATGTAGTCTCACCCCAACATTCTTGCCTAGGCAAATTTGCACAGCGGAACTAAGGCATTCCAATGAAGTAATGAAGTTGGCAGGCGAATGCCAGGCAGGATTCGGTTTGGGTAGAGAAAGTCGAGCTCGGGAACTTTAGTTATTGCAATAGACAGGTTTGATGCGCCTAGTCCATTCCCCCCCTCCCTCAATGCCCGATAAGAATGCAAAACTTCTTCAGACTTCTTAGGCAGAGATGGCCCCACGTCAGGAGCATAGGTGGTTGACTGTGTTGTACATACTTCTTTCTGTCTTCTGAAACACAGAATTGGGAGATGCCAGTCGTGGTTCTGACCGCCCGGCCTACTCGTAATCGCACGTGGACCCCTGACCCAAACAGTAGGTAGTTTAGTCTACCTTAGTCTGTCCCGTCCCGTCTGTCCGTTCTGTCCCTCTACTCTAACCTACTGACTTACTCGTTAACTTACTTACTCTCCGCTCTCCATCTCCCAAGCCCGTTCTCTCATTACCTACCTTCTTGTGATTTGAACGAACCGCTCCCCCATTTTCGCATCACCCCCTCCCCCTCTGGGGTTCCTTATTTTCTTTTCTTTCTCTTTATCGGCCTCACCTTGAGTCCGGGTCAGAGTGATCATGGCGTACGTTTGTTTTGGCTCTTGCTGCTTCCCTCCTCCTTCACACCGCTTCAACCCACCTCGTGGGCAAATCTCACAATGCGCACGCGGCAGCAAGAACCAGTACTGATGGAATTTTCGGCTTGACAGGTCATCTGGCCCTAACGGCCCCAACACCATTAAGGGTGCGCATTCTCCATCTCCCTCTGTTTTTGTGTTTAGTTCCCTCTGGTTCTTCTGCTTGAAGGTAAAATCATGGTGTCCGCTAAGCTAACCGCTCCGCGACACAGTGGTTGCGAGATTCCGACCGCAGAACAAAGTCGAATTGGCATCCGGGGGTGAACCGATCGTCGAGTTTGAGAATGAACAATCATGTGTTGTCAACGTGAGTCCTCCTGTTCAGGTGAACGTTTTGAGTTGGCCCTCAGCCATTCTCTCTTTGCACCCTCTCTTCCGAAGAGCAAGAGTGCGGGGAAGCGAGAAGAGGGAGGGGTTATGTTCCCAGACTTGCTAAATTCCGACTTTTCGCGCATGTCAACAGTCCCGAGAGGGCTCTGGAGCCTTCACTTTCGATCAAGTGTTCCCTATGGATTCGAAGCAGCAGGATGTCTTCAACTTTTCGATCCGACCGACTGTGGATGACATCCTGAACGGCTATAACGGCACGGTTTTCGCGTACGGTCAGACGGGTGCGGGAAAGTCGTATACGATGATGGGTTCCGACATCGACGACGACATCGGCAAGGGTATCATTCCGCGCATTGTCGAGCAGATCTTCGCTAGCATCCTCACCAGTCCTAGTAACATCGAGTACACGGTGCGGGTCAGTTATATGGAGATCTACATGGAGCGGATTCGCGACTTGCTCGTACCGCAGAACGATAACCTGCCGGTTCACGAGGAGAAGTCTCGTGGTGTCTACGTCAAGGGCCTGCTGGAGGTCTATGTGTCTAGCGTCCAGGAGGTATACGAGGTGATGCGCCGGGGTGGCGCGGCCAGAGCGGTGGCAGCGACCAACATGAACCAGGAGTCCTCTCGGTCGCATTCGATCTTCGTCATTACCGTTACACAGAAGAATTTGGAGACCGGATCGGCCAAGAGTGGTCAGCTCTTCTTGGTCGATCTGGCGGGTAGTGAGAAGGTCGGTAAGACCGGTGCGAGTGGCCAGACTCTCGAGGAAGCGAAGAAGATCAACAAGAGTTTGAGTGCTCTGGGTATGGTCATCAACGCGCTGACGGATGGCAAATCGACGCACATTCCCTATCGTGATTCCAAGCTCACTCGAATTCTGCAAGAGAGTTTGGGAGGTAACTCGCGGACAACCTTGATCATTAACTGCTCGCCCAGTAGCTACAACGATGCGGAAACCATCTCGACCCTGCGATTTGGTGTGCGCGCCAAGGCTATTAAGAACAAGGCGAAGGTGAATGCGGAGCTCAGCCCGGCGGAATTGAAGCAGCTCCTCCGCAAGGCCCAGAGTCAAGTCACCAACTTCGAGACCTATATCTCGGCGCTGGAGACGGAAGTTCATGTGTGGCGCAGTGGTGAAGCAGTTCCCAAGGATCGTTGGACCCCATCAAGAGGTTCGGAAGTCGTCAGTGCGGCTAAGGCTGAGGCTCGTGCCCCTCGACCTGGCACTCCCTCTCGCTTCCAGGACATTCCCCGCTCAGAGACTCCTCGTCCCGACTCCAGACTAGGGGACCGATCCAGCACACCAAGCCTGGTTCTCGAGAAGGATGAGCGGGAAGAGTTCCTGAGACGGGAGAACGAGCTGCAAGATCAGATCGCGGAGAAAGAGTCTCACATTGCTAGCATTGAGCGGGGCCTGCGCGAGGCTCGGGAGGAGTTGAAGAGCATGAAGGAGAATACCGCACGCTCAGGTAAGGACAACGACAAGCTCACCACCGAGGTGAATGAGCTTCGTATGCAGTTGGAGAAGGTGTCGTATGAGAGCAAGGAAGCTTCCATCACCATGGACAGTCTTCGCGAAGCCAATTCGGAGTTGACCACTGAATTGGACGACGTGAAGCAGCAGTTGCTCGACGTACGGATGAAGGCCAAGGAGACCAGCGCTGCGCTGGACGAGAAGGAAAAGAAGAAGGCCGAAAAGATGGCGAAGATGATGGCGGGCTTCGACCTGGGCGGAGATGTGTTCTCCGACAACGAACGGAAGCTCCAGGAGCTGCTGTCGCGCGTGGACGAACTGCACAAGATCAGCGAAGCCGGGGAGACGATTGCGCCCGACGACCTGCTGGAGCTGCGCACTAGTCTGCAGGAGACCCAGGGTTTCATCCGCCAGGCTGAGCTTACGATGAATGACCGGGGCGAGCTAAGCGAGCTGCAGGACAGCCGCAGGGCGGAGGTTGAGCAGAAGCTGGCGACTCTCGAGCGGGAATACGAGACCCTTCTGGAACGGAACCTGGGCGAGGGCGACGTGGAGGAGATCCGGGAACGGTTGGAGAAGGTGTACGTCACGCGCAAGGAGGAGGAGATGCAGGCTGTCACAGACTTGCGCAGCGAGATTGCACGCAAGGACGAAGAACTGGGCAAGCTGCGCCAGTCCCTTGCCGACTCGCAGACCCGGGTGTCGACCAACGGCGCAGCGGGCAAGAACCTGCAGCAGCAGATCGCCGACTTCGACGCCATGAAGAAGTCCCTGATGCGGGATCTGCAGAACCGCTGCGAGCGGGTGGTCGAGCTCGAGATATCGCTGGATGATGCTCGGGAGCAGTACAACAACGTCCTCCGCTCCTCGAACAACCGGGCGCAGCAGAAGAAGATGGCGTTCCTGGAGCGCAACCTTGAGCAGCTGACCCACGTGCAGCGCCAGCTGGTCGAGCAGAACAGCAGCCTCAAGAAGGAGGTCGCCATCGCGGAGCGAAAGCTGATCGCCCGGAATGAGCGGATTGCCAGCTTGGAGAGCCTGCTCCAGGAGAGCCAGGAGAAACTCACCCAAGCGAACCACCGGTAGGGAATTCTCTCGGCTAAACCCCGTATAGGACAAGACCTCAAGCTAACCACGCACCTCACCCAAAACAGCTTCGAAGCCCAACTCACCGCCGTGAAGGAACGCCTTGAGGCCGCGAAGCAGGGCTCGACCCGCGGACTCCCCAGCATGGACGCCAACGGCGGCTTCAACTTCAGCGGCTCCCGAATCGCCAAGCCTCTCCGCGGCGGCGGCGGAGGAAATGAGAGCAGTGCTCCCGTAGCCGGCGTCCAGTCGCAGGAGACTGGCGCCAAGCGCACGAGCTGGTTCTTCGATAGACGATGATATCTCACGATTTTTCTTTTTCATTGTGTATTATCTTTCTCATTCTCCGAAAATACTTTTTCTGTCGCATCATGTGTGAAGCCGAAAGGAATGAAGCCCGCCTCGTGTTGTTTTTTTTTTTTCGCCCTCTCGTATTGATTGGGGGGGAAAGAAGATATCCCAACCATTCTCTCTCTTTTTTTTTTCTCTGACTGTGAGGCATGAGGCATGATTACATATGATATCTCTCTCTGTTCTTGTGCTTCTTGCCTTGCCTTGCTTTACTTGGTCTCGAGAGTTGCGGGGATATATTTTTGATTCTCTGTTTAGATGGAAATCTCATACCCCCACTGGCCCCTCGCCGCCCTACAGTGCCTCTACCTACCTATCTCCTTCCCACCTCTATCTATACCCATCCCATCCCACTATCACCGCTCTCTGTTTCATAAGGATTCGCCCTACAGATTATAGATGGACAGCCGTTGTGTCTGGATGACAAACACACCGGATCTCGATTCTTCTCTTGTGCGTGACGATGCAAGATAGAAAAAGAACTAAGAAACGTTGTTGCCATTCCATGTAGAAGAACATCCTCTCAAGCGGAATCGCGTTTTGATATTGGGACCATCAAGTTAAGGAAACCCCCCAAGAGGAGTGAGTTGTCATTCAAGATCGAGATTAACTTACATCCTTATGGTTTCCTGATACTGTGATTACCACCATGAGAACCAGGCCGCGGGTGATGATGGTAACGAAATATCGCAACGTTTGCATGAGAAGCTAAGCTAGCAATGGCGTCTTGAAGTGTAACGTTATTTACAAATCGCCTTCCTCTTCCCTACCCTACCCTCGAACCCGCTTCTGGGGATCTATCGCGTATGCAGCACCAGCACCAGCACCAACAAACCCGTACATCAAGCAGAAGAAGTACCCGGAAAGGAAGGGAAAAGAAAAAAAAAAAAAAAAAAAACCAAGCACATGACCAGCCGCCCGCATTCCACGATACACAGAGGAGGACACCTGAAGCCGATGAACAAGGCAAAAACCATGGTACAGAAGGAAGAACGAGAATACCATCAAATTTCAAGAAGAGAGAGAGGGAGAGAAACTGAGCAACAACGCTGACTATGACGTACCTCCCACCCGCATCCTAATTGGGACTGTCTTGGAGTTGATAACTTGAAACATATACACATACAGCCACATAAAAAAAAGATCCCATAAATGTCCCGCACACATCATAACGCAAGCACAAACATATTCGTAGGGAATCCTTGGCAAAACAACAACAGCAGCAACAACAACAACAAAAGAAAAAAACATACATGTATCACGTAACGTAACGTAGAGCTCACCACATCGCACACGACACAGCTAAAAAACAGGCAGGCATGAAGTAGCAGAAGACGAAAAAGCGAGAACGGGTAAGCGCCGGTTTCACCGAGTGGGGAGAGAGAAAGTAGAAAACAACATGCAAGAGGACTGGCTCTATACCAACCCATCGTACAGCGAGAGGGCGCTCACGATTGTCTCGTCCCGTTTGCTCCCCTCCTTGAACTCCTCCATGTCCAGGCTCCCGTTCTCGTCCTTGTCCATCATGCGGAAGATCTTGCGCACCCGTTTCTCGGGGGTGTCTTCGTCCTCGGGGAGTTTTACCATCGAGCCGACCTGTTGGACGGGAATGTTAGTCAGTGCGGGAGGGTGCGGAACGGAATTCCAATTGATGAAGGAACAGCCCGTGCCAGAATTACAGGTAAGGCCGGGGAAAACAACGCACCATCTTATAGATCGCCTCCACGATCGCCAACATCTCATCGTACGTGATCTTCCCGTCGCCGTCGATGTCGTACAGCTGGAACGCCCAGTCCAGCTTATCCTCCATCTTGCCCCGCGAGGTCACCGACAGGGCACAGATGAACTCCTTGAAGTCGATCATTCCGCTGTTGTCCGAGTCGAATACCCGGAACACGTAGTTCGCGAACGAGGACGGGTCGCCGAAGGGGAAGAACTGGCGGTAGATCTTCTGGAATTCTTCCTTGGTGAGGGTGCCCGACGGGCAGTCTTTGAGGAAGCCTGGTTTATAACCGGGGAGAGTTAGCTCTTGACTATTTATTTTTGGTTCTGCTTATCGCGAGTGCCTCTTTTCGCAGGCGGTTCTTGGCTTTGCGTCCCATGCTGCTGGTGGGCTGTTGTGCTCGCTCGCAAGTCATATGCTGCATGTGTATAGATCCGATGGAAAAGGAACTCACCCTTATACCATTGCTGCAGTTCCTTCTTATCGAAATGTGTCGCCTTTTGGAGTTCGTCCAGCTGAGCGGGGGAGAGCTTCGACTGTCTGCAGTGGGAAGGATATATGATGTTAGCCTTTGGTGTAGTTTGCGGGTAGGGTGATAACATGAGTACATGTTTGGGACGAGGGAGAGCGAGGGCCGCCGCGCGGTAGCGGATAAGGGTTCGACCGGGGGGAGGGGGGAGGGGGGAGGGGTTCATGCAAGAGGTTTCGCAGAAGCATGGGGTGCGCAGAGAACCAGGAATCAGGTCTAGACTGGGTTTGTCTCTCTGGAGAGAGAAGTCCTAAGAGATTCATCTGCGACACAAGGCCCTATGCCATTGTATCGCGCCCTTGCTTGCGTCCCCATCTCCCTTCCCGTCTCTCGAATGGCGACGCGGGGCAACTGGGGAAGCGCATCACTTACGACTTGCCCATTGTCAACTATGCGTACACCACAGTGTCAAATTCGGTGATATATGAGGGTAGGAGAGGGGTGCGTCAGGGATGCGTGTGCGGGATGGACGGCGCAGCGAAGGACGAGAGAAGACACGGAGTTTCGGATAGCGCGGGGTAAAACAAGCGGCGGTGGTGGGACCGATAAGAGGGAAGAAAAGGGACCGAGGCTGCTGCTGGTGGTGGTGGGAGGTAGTAGGTAGTATAGTGGTTGGGAATCGTGTAAGTCTAGTGTAGTGTAGGTGTAGTCGAGTGACGTCGCGAAAGAGCAGGATAATTTAGAAAGAACAGAACACGAGCGAGACGAGGATCAAGTCCGACTTAATTAGAAATGGGTAGACTAAGAGGAAAAGTAGTGGCGACGCCCGAGGGATCGAACCGGTGATGCTTCCTTCATAGCCCCGAGCCGCCGGTCCAGAACATGTTTATGTGCGGCCTTGGCAATTGCCCTTGCGGTCGAAACACGACTCGCGTTGGCCTAGATCCCAACGACTTGCACATCTCTTCGTCACCCTCTCCCACTGTCTCCACTCCGGGCTTGTCCATCGTACTGTACACATACAAAGAAATATCCAATGCCGCCGGGCATCCCCCCATCATTGCCCTTTTCAAGCATCAACGGTCGATCCGTCCGTCACTCATTCCCCCGATTTATGTACAGCCCTCCCCCCCAAAAAGAAAACAACAAAACAACAAACACCAGCGCAGTATGGCAGAGGAAAGCAAGAATCATGCACAGAGCAATAGAACAATGAACTGCCGCTTTACATGGGATATCCTAGACAAGGGACCGTGATAACTATCTCATAAAAATGACAAGAGCAGCGACCAGCGACCAGCGACCGACTGGGCTTACGAGGTACAAAAACGACAAGGTTCCCAGGGAATGGCCATGCTTCACAAATGCGAACCATTGTCCCAGAGTCTGCGAAAGTCTAACGCCGGGGCAAGATAATAATAACAGTCATACCCCGAATGAGGCAGTGAGGGGGTTTTTCCTGGTTGGCCTGGGCGAGGCAAAACGCCTCGGTGGCTCCACAGGGAGCGGGCCGAGTTGACGACGCGATCAGTTACTCAGTAATGTCACGGCAAATTCTCTAGTCGACCTTGATCGAGCCGTAGATGCGCTGCACAAACGCCCAGCTGGCGAAGAAGCCAATAGAGCCTGTTCATTAATGGTCAGTTAACTGCTCTTAATGCACCCTATTCTCAGATGGGACGACCACATACCTGTCAGAATAAAGACCACGAAGCCGATCAGGGCGGAATAGCCGATGTACAGAACAGCACCCGTGAGGCCACCAAAACTGACCCGCGTGATCCAGAACAGCAGAGCGTTCAGGAACACGTACACTCCGGTCATTCCCGCTCCGGCAAACGCCCTCCAGTGCCACCGGTAGTTCTCCGCACACAGCAGGAAATAAACCAACAGCACCGTCGTGGCAGCCGAGGTGATGACCATCAAGCCATAGCAAAGGAACAGGAACCCAAACATGTAGTAGATCTTGTTGGTCCAGAGCGAAGTCATGATGAAATAAAGCTCCACAAAGATGGCTCCAAAGGGCAGAATGCCGGTCAACAGGAGCGACGGAATCGGGCGGAGCGTACCAGCCATGGGCGGCACTTGGCGCGGGATTTGGTTGGTCTTAGTCGGACCCTCAATTGCCTGTCAACTCGTTAGCAAGACTCGCCTCGGCACGCTCGGGTGTGATCTACCTGTTGCTTGAATCCCAGCCAGCTTCCGGCCACACTGAGAGGCACGCTGATGACGAACCAAATCAGGACCAGGGCGAGCATGGTGGTGAAGGGTACAGCTCCGCTAGATCCCTTGGCCCAGACAAAGAGGTTGAGCAGGAAGAAGGTGCCGAAGATAAGGGCCGGAACCAGCACAGGGGTCATGATAATATTGCGTTTCCAGGCATCTCCACCCAATGACTTGTAGACACGAGCCGATACATAGCCCCCGATGAAGCCAAAGAGGGTGTAAATGATGAGAATGGCCGTCGCAAGGAAGCCACGGTTTGCAGGGGAAAGGAGACCGAAGAGGGCGAAAACTGTCCACAAGAGTCAATAACATGACATGCAAATCGATCGCAACGCAGCTTACCAACGGTGACACCGGTCATCATGAAGAGCTGAGCACCATTGCCCACAAGCACACTGAGAAGCAGAGGAGCTTTAGGACAGCGAAACACATCACCATGAACTAACTTCCAGCCTGAATCCTCCTGAATGCCGTCCTCCACGGCTGCCGAAGTGCTGTCAAAATCATCCAGGTTGATCATGTCGAGTCTGTTATAGCGAGCGATATCCTTCTTCAGAGCCCGGATAAGAATCATGCTCACCATACCCACGAGGAACACAACAAACACGGCCGAGTTAATCAGAGAGAACCAATGGATCTTGGGATCGTAGACGTGCAGGTACTTATCCCAACGGGTCGCCCACGGGGTGGACGACTCACGCCAGTAGACACTGTAGGTCCAAGCCACGGTGGTCTCGACCTCCTCGTTCAGGACAACGCCAGTCCCATCCGTTTCGCACTCCGCGGTCCCGTCCTCCAGGATCCGAGCATTGGCCCGAGATTCGGGTTGCACAAGCACACCGACGACACGGTACTTATCCTGGGCCCCGTACCCGACCCGATGGTAGTCGATCAGGATCTCGAAATGGTTGTTCAGAACCGGGAGGCCGTCATCGTTGATCGAACCGAGCGCAAATCCCGGGCTGTAGAACTTGTCCTGGGTCACAGCTTCCATGTTGATCTGGGCGCCGGGCAGGCCGTCGACCAGCCAGTTGATGTTGTATCCCTGCTCGATCCTCCGGTTGACGAATTTCGCACTGCGGGCGTCGAAGGTGGCCGTGCCACAGATGGCTTTGCAGGTCTCATTCTGGCCCATATGCAGCTCCAGCGGTGACGTCTGGATCCGGTCGCCGAACAGAATGGACCCCAATGATTCCCGGACATCCTTCGGTCCGCCCTCGGGAGCGCAGAATCTGAAGGCTGGGTGATAGTAGTCGTAGGAGAAGACGGAGTGCAGCTGCTCATCCTGCTGCGCGAGACCGGGGGTGAGGTGGTTCACGTAGAGCGGCACCGACTGACCCTCATCGTACGAGGTCGGGGCGACACCGGGGAGGTAGAAAGCGGCGGACAACGAAGGGGCGCAGAGAAGAAGGGTGGTTAGAGGTAGGGCTCGATTGCTGAACCACATGGTGGGCGATTCTAAGTAGAAGCGGGCGGTGTTAGCTCGTGTCCGTGGCTCTGAGAGGCCAAGAGATAGGATGCTCGGGGCCGGGCCTAGGCACCGATTGTAAGCGTAGCTTTCTGGGGGGATGGAACTCACAGATTGTAGCTTTCCACGCCACAAGCGAATCTCGAAGATCGCACGAGTTGGCCACTCGGGGGAACAGTAGCAGAAACCAACTCGAAGGGCGGAATGCGGCACCTTTAATAGGGAACGGAATGGGAGAATGGAAGAATTGGGAGAGACCAAACCGAGCTGTTCCCAGAACGGCGGGAGCGTCGTCACTTCACAGGCTCTCCCGTTGTTGAGGCCAGCTCGTCGCTCTTGGCCCACGTGACATCCCGTTATCCATTGCTGCACGAATGACTAAGGACTTAATCGGCACGTGCCGATAAGCCATCTCTAAAAATTTCCCTTCGAAATCTTCCGCGGCGGCCAAACACATCAGAACGAAACCACACACATCAAATGACAATGGCGGCCGCAGTGTCGCAACCTGCGCCTTCGGGCCTACGGAATGTCTCCGCTCTGCTGGAGACTCTCACCACATGTTTGAACAACACCGGCTCGTCCTTGCCCCAGGCCACCCGGGAAGCCCCCTCCGATGTGTCGATCGAGCCGCCGCAAGACGGCATTTCGCTTCTCGACACCAAATCCGACCTCCTCCTGTCATACCTTCAGAACCTCGTTTTCTTGATCATTTTCCAATTGCGAGGCCTGAAGAAAGATGAAGAAGAGGATGAAGAGGTCGACGAGTCCCTCCCGGAGGATATCGTTAAGAAACTTGTGGAGCTACGCGTCTACCTGGACCGCGGTGTGCGCCCGCTGGAAGGTCGACTCAAGTACCAGGTGGACAAAGTCATCAAGGCCGCGGAGGATGCCGAGCGCGCAGAGCGGGATGGTGTTTCTACAGGCAAGAGCAAGAAAGCCAAGGGCTCCGACGCCGATGAGTCGGGATCGGAGGGTAGCAGCGACAGCGAGGGCGACAGCGACGAGGAGGACGAGGAGGAGGGAGATGGAGCGGACATCGACGAGATGGCCTACCGGCCCAATGTCTCGGCCTTCTCGAAGAAGGCGGAACCCCAAGCCAGACCCGACAAGCTCAACAACGAACCCGCCGGCGATGGTATCTACAGACCGCCGCGGATCATGCCTACGGCCCTACCCACGACTGAGCGGAAAGAGCGCCGCGAGCGTCCCGCCCAACGGTCAAATGTCATTGACGAGTTCGTTAGCGCCGAGATGTCGTCCGCTCCTATGGCGGAGCCGAGCATTGGTAGCACGATTGTGCAGGGTGGTCGACACACGAAGTCGAAGAAGGACCGCGAGCGGGAGGCCGAGCGGACCGCATACGAAGAGACCAACTTTGTGCGTCTGATGAAGGAAAGCAAGAAGGACCGGGCCAAGCGACTACGGGCCGAGGGGCCGCAGAACCAGTACGGTGGTGAAGATTGGAGGGATCTCACCGCGGGCGCCGACCGGATCACGAAACTCACCCGGAGGGCCAAGGGCAGCGGAGGTGCATTGGACAAGAGTCGGAAGCGCAAGATCACCGAGGATGGACAGCGTGACGACGGAGTGGGAGTTGGTCAGATCTTCGAGAAGCGGCGCAAGAAGGTGGACAGCTGGAAGCGGTGATTTGTGCCATACTTTGTTTGCTTGGTTTTTGTGTGGAGTATTTTGAGATAACATTCGATACCATGAAAAGTAGTGATTCTATTGAGAGAGTTTGTTACTGTGTGTGGGTGGGTGGAGTTTCATCGTATCCGAGAATCCGGGCTTTTCACATGCAACGCAACCGGTGACATCATCCCTCAATCACTTCATTGTATCAACCACTGCCTGCCTATATTTAAATCTATTCCCAATCAAACCAGCATTATCCCGACATCAATTCAACCTACTACCTAGGATCATTTCACCAATTAACCTCCTCCCTCCACATTAAGCACTAATCAAATAGTCAACATGGAAGACCCAGGTAAGTGACCACCATCATCACCAACACGATCACAGTTACTATCACCACCACTAGTATGACCACCACTAACCTCAAACCTCAAATAGCCTCCGAAATCAGCACCATAATCCACCACCTCACGCAATCCACCCCGCAAGACCAAGAGCGCACGATCCAGAAATTCTTCACCCCGTCCGCCGCCTTCGTGCACCCCTTCTGCCGCGTCTGGAGCTACCCAGGCAGCCGCTGGTTCGTCGAAAAGATCTACCAATGGTACAAGATCATGTCGCCGCGGATTGAACTGGAGGTGCAATCGGTTGGTACGTCGCCTAGCGCTCACTCTCATCAAGCCCCAGCCCAGCCCCCCCCCAACCCTCAACAAGACACAGGACCAAACTAACCCCCAACAGCCTTCGACAAACCCTCCCTAAAACTCTACCTCACCATCTCCCAAATCTTCTCCATCTGGCTGGTCCCCTTCCACGTGGCGCCGGTGACCCTGACGACCGTGCTGGACCTGACCACGGACCCGGAGGACGGGCGGACCCCCGTGCAAGGGTCCGGGAAGCGGTACTACATCAAGAAGCAGGAGGACTTCTACCAGCCCTCGGAATTCATCAAGTTCGTCATGCCCTGGGGCATTGGGCAGTTGTTGGTGCTGGCGGCGCAGACGTGGGCGACGCTGTTCTGTATCGTCGGGTGTGCGGTGTTTTGGCCGCTGATGTGGTTGGAGGAGAAAGGGGTCGTGCCCGGTAGGGTATTGAGGAAGGGGAATCTGGGTGGGGATGTGGTCGGGTGGGAGAAGAGGAGGTTCTTGATGGCTAATGGGACTGGGGAAGAGGATGGGGAGGATTCCGGGGAGAAGAAGGGAGAAGGGAAAGGGGGGCAGAAGGGGGAGTAGGTTAGGCTTTGAAGGATCTGAGTGCGTGATGGGAGAATTGGGTTTGAGAGTGTAGGAAACAGGCTGGTGGATATGAGTTGGATGCCGGAATTGTCTAGGCCTAGTGTTTCTCTTGAGTAGATATGTTTATGATCGCGATTTAATGCAATGTTTCGTGTACAAAACTACACTGGTTCAACGTATAGCTGCTATAGTGATATACCGGTGAAAGAATGTTAAGAAGCTCAAATCTCTTCTCATTTTGGACTCAAATAAGTGAGATACCTAAAAAGCATCGCACAGTGTCAGTGATACGCACCATTGTCACAGCTCTCAGCAGGACCGCGGGTGTTGGACGGGCTCTTCAAGGTTAGCACCACCGGTGACCCAGTTAACGGACCAGCGACACTGCTTCACAGGCACTGATTTTGAGATCGGCATTTTTTCAGGTATACTAGATCCTGGTTGCGTCTAGAATTTCAGCATACAAAATGTTTACTGATCAGGGCCCTTTTTCTCGGGTTCTATCAAATATATATATCTGGTGAAAAAAGAGAAAAACAGAGAGGTATATTATCCGCGAAATCTATATCCTAAACATGCGATTTATCCTAATGCTGCCTCGGATTCGTCCGTGCTATATCGAGGTGACATCTCCAGCGACAGCGGCTTGTATCCGCGGCGCTGCGACCTGCGATTTATAACCCATCTCCAGAGCAGAAAGACACACCAGCTCAGACAACCACCCACTAAGACCAGCGTCGTCTCCACTTCACTCGACATGGGGTCGAGATATCGGCTCGCGAACCGCTCGCCCCAGCCTTGGGATTGCTGCCCCATCACTTGGGAGACTCCGAGCACCTGACCCTGCGCGTCTAGGGCGGCCACTCGGAAATAAACCGTCGTCCCTCCCTCGTCAGAGAGAGGGATCTCGGTCTCAAACCCGTCGCGAGGGACAGTCTGCTCGGCAGTAAAGGCCATCTGCTGACCCATTTTCTGACCGTCCCAGCGCTGGACCCGCCACCTCGCCACCTCCGTAGCGCCATTCCAGCTCACGTATACAGAGGACCCGCGGACGACTGCGTCAGGTCGGGTTCTGGGTCGGCCAACCCAGCGGCCCCTTGTGATCCGATAAGACATCACTTGGCCCAGCTGGAACCAGTTACCAGCCCCGAAATGGGTGTCGCACAGCACTTCCCCGTCGGGCGCAAACTCCGTGAACGCGGCGCAGTGGCCCCAGCCGATGAAGACGTTGCCTGTGTCTGGCAGCAACTGCATGCTTCCTTGCGAGAGCGCCCCGGTTGGCTGCTCTACGGGGGTCTGGTAGGTCGCCTTGACAGTCGCGATGCGGTTGGGCACGTCCAAATCTAGAACTAGCCCACGGCTGGCGGTGGGCTCGTCGAAGAACCACTTGGCGCCGTTATCGAGCAGGGTGATCGTCTGGCTATCCTGCCACCGCGCATGGTGCTGCCAGGCAAAGTCGGTGGCGGAGCCGTTAGAGGCATCCGCAAACTCGTTCAGCGCTCCTCCAAGGGTCCAGAGCACCGCACCTGTGCGGCCATTGATGCTGGTGATCGAGTGCGTGTGTCGGGCAGAAACCAGGTAGTTGCCGGCCTCGTCCTTGTCTACGCTGTTCATGTGGAAAACGTCGTAGGGATGCGCGGGGCTCCACCCATTGCCCAGTAATGCCTCGTAGGAGCTGGTTAGGGGCACATGCTCTGACATGCGCCATTCAAAGAGTAACTCCCTGGTGGCGATGTCGATCTCCTGAAAGAGACAGTCGTGGATATAGCCGTGCTGTGGCCCGCCCAGATCGCTCAAATCCGCCGGTTCGGTGGTGTAGACAATGACGAGGGCGGTGTTGTTGGGTGTAATGCGGAATTCGTGCATGTCGCCCTCCGCCATGCCCACGGCGCGGACTTCGATACGGGGAGTATAGGTCGAATCCATCTAGCCAGCGGATCTGTCAGAGATGTGTCAATTGACGCAGCATGGGAACGGGTCAATATACCATGATCCAGGAGCCGCGCCCATGGCCATTCTCCCCGACCCCATGCCAGTAGGTCAAGAAGGTCTCTCCGCGGTACTTTTGCACTTGAAAATTGTCCAGCCGCTCGGAGGTCGGTGGCAGCTTCCATACCAGTTCCCCCTGGGCATCGAAGATCATGGGTCCCGGCTGCTCGACCGCGTCGCCGCGAGTCGAGAGGAAGACCAGGTCGTTGCTGCATCGCGGGTCCCGCGCCACTTGTTCCAACTTCGGGGACGCAAGATCAGTCGAGACATATTCACGAACGGGGTACAGGCCTAGAAATCCTGAGTCGTACAATGAGACGCCGATACGTAGGCGTAAGCGCTGTAGACTAGGGATGCCCAGAAAGATGATAGCTGCAAGCAATGTGCTCAACACAAAGAAACAAGTTATGAACCCAATCCAGGGGCGGCGAGAGAGTGGACACCGCATATCATGAGGATAATCGCAGGTTGAACAGAAGAGCAAGCCAGTGTCGGCGTGGCTGACACTGCCGACGGGAATGTATATATTTCCATCTCATCACTCATCCACATCTCCTTTGTTGCTGAAGGGAAGTGGACTGTCTATAATTAAAGCATGACGCAATCAAAGCACTGCCAAGCAAGATTGGGAGAGTTCGCGTATCTGTATGGAGGGAAAAGAGAACAAGTGTTGCTCCAGACATGAAGGTCAAGGTGTTATTCGCAAGCCGGTTCCTGAAGGGGATGAGATTGAGCGGCCGGGCCAAGCTTTGCAGCTCCACTTTTGGATGCCGTCGGATTGCGCAAGCCAAAAGGCATCCTCATCAAAGTCACCAGTTTCTCTTATCCGCTGCCACAACGACTGACGTGGGAGAGTTACTTGCCTGAAAGAATAACACTGCTTGATGCACCGATGTATCACTCTTTTTCTCATAATTTCCGTCATTTTCCGGATACTCATGGCCGGAGAGAGCTAACAATTCTCACATTTCCATAGTATTTATCCGGCTCGACACCCCATAACCCATTCACAACACCAACCATCTCACAAAGAACATTGAAAAGTGGGTCAATCAAGATATCATCACTCCAACTATGGATACTCAAACGTATGCCTTCTGTCTGCTGCGCCACTGTCCGAGCGCACGGGTCATAATTTTGGGGAGCTCATCCGACGCTCTCCCCTAAATGCATATCGCGTCAACCTTGTTGAACGGCGCAACTGCGCTACAGCATCTGTCACAGTATATATGTCCCCAAGATATTATTCTCTTGGCCACAGGCTGCAGCTTGCCTATCAAACGTATCGTTTGCTCACCCGGTCAAGGTTATCGATACTGTGATGGCCTCATGTTTGCCGATCGACGCTAAACAGCGTCCCAGCGGACACTGATCTAAAGACGTTGGAATTTAGGAACGACATTCGTCACGGTCTTTCTTAGTATTCTTCTTATTCTTGCCATTCGACAACCTCCGCGCAGTTTTATTACTCATGTGATCGCACGGACATGGCCTCTTTTACTTGCGGGGTTTATTCAAGCTACAACCCCCCTTATCAGTCTACGACTATTTTCACCTAGTACTGTACAAGACTTGACCATTTCATGTGCTTCATTCAAAGGATCTTTAAATTTGATTCCACGATAAAAAACCTCGGTGCCGTCGATTCTGCCATGCCTCAGATTGTCTGTCAAGTTTCTAGAATGGTCTTTTGAACAGACCAGGCTTACTAGCAGTCCGTCGTCTGAAGCACCACAGGCAGGACGGCATAGTCACTAAAAAACACCCGAGTCTCGTCCCGATGCGTTTCGAAAGATGGTCTGCGAACTTGGTTAACCGCATTATCAATCTCTCCAGCACCTGAGAATCGTTCCAGTATATAGTACCGTTTCGGTCGGATAAGCCCTTTACCCGGTCCAGAGGTACACCCCTCACTATAGAAGGTGCTTCTAGATCCAAGAAGATATCTATGAGTATGCTTCCATCTGCCGCCTCGAGAGACGACAAGACATCCCGCAGAGCTCAACCTAGGAGGAACAGTGTCTCGAACGCCTGGCCGGGGTAAACACCGGGAGTACCGTACATCATACATCATTCCCTACAGTTCCCAAAGCAGAACAGGAAGCTTCTTTCACTTCCTGCTTCAGACTGGTCTGGCAGCACGCTAGAGCGTCCACACCTCCGTTATGCCAACGCCTACTTTTCCTATACTACCTCCATCTCTTAGGAAAGATTCGTCTCTTACCAATCTCTACTCAGGCGGGACCTCTTCATCAATTTCTTCCGGGGAACCAAAACAATATACCCATATTCTCTACTCTCTATTATCTACTTGTGTTATATACCAGATCTTCTTAAAATTTGTAAGATAGTACATGATATAATATATATTATATAAGAAGAATATAAATAATATATCATATCTGAATAGTTCTTCTTCCTACTTATCTCCAAGATTTTCAAGGTATTTGGCTCTCCTTATTAGGTTATGTTCTCTCACAGATTGAATTGATGTATTCAGGCGGTGATGGATGCAGGTAGCGTGAATCTTCTTGGAGAGTGTACTTACTATAGGAAACGAGCTGCTGTATATTGACTTGGGTTCTTTGGATTTTTTGGGTAGTTAATTATTATTTCCACGTAGATATATTGTGGACTCTATTTGATGCGGTCAATCTAAATATGAGACGAAACCACACACAGTTTCCAAGTAAAGTAGCTGCTATATAGTAATATACATGTGAAAGAATGTGAAGAAGCCAAAGTCCCGTTCCCATCCGGCGAGGACTCAAATCAGTGAGATACGGACAATGTCCGAACTCAAGCATCGCACAGTGTCATAGTGCCACTACACAACCGATACAATCCACCAAAACAATTACGAACCGTCCCAAACTACCACTCAGGCATCGTCGCCATCCAGCTCTCCACAAACTCAATCCGCGCATCTTCAGCAGAAAGAGGGCCCGAGCCCCAGGAGTTGCCCAGCCACATGGTCTGCTGCTTCTCCTTAGTGCTGGGGGGGAACTCGGGCAGTCCATCTCCGTTGGGGTTGCCGGTCCGAATGAAGTTCACCCAGTAGTTGGACATGCGCTCCTCCACAATGTAGTCGTAGGGGTACCAGGTCACGTTGGAATAGTCCGAGTAGGGGATGTTGTTAAAGGTGTACCAGAGCTCCGAGCCGTGATAGGCACCCTCGTCGCGGTTCTCGGCAGGGCTGCGGGTGAAGTAGTAGGTGTAGACGGGGCTTTTGGCACCGCCGGCGGCCCAGTCAACAGACCACTCCCAGGTGCCGACGCGGCTCAGGTCGCGGTAGAACTCGTTGGAGTTGTTGTTCGCCTGGGCGAGGCTCTGGCCGGGGTAGAGCTTGAAGAATTGGCTGGCATTGTTGGCGAACAGCTCGGTGTACAGTTCCTTGTAGCTGGCGACGGTCAGGCCTGCGTCAGTGCTGGCGCCTGACTCGTCCTTGTTGTTTCCAGTGAGAATGGGCACGTCCAGGTGCGCGTCAAGAGACAGAGACTCGCCGTAGCCGTAAGGAAGGACGTAGCCATCGATGTTTGGGCGCCACATGGGAGGCTCCATGAAGAAGCTGGACAGGTTCTGGAACTGAGTGCCTTCGAAGATGGTGTCGCTGAGCGAGTCGTATCCGATCAATGTCTCCGTGGGGACCTTGCGGGCCGCAGCAAGACTGGTAACATTCAACTCCTTGAGAAACTCGACACCCTGGGCTTCAGCAGCAGCTTTGGTGCGGTAGCTGGTTGCTGCACTACCCGTCATGGGGTCATGAGGGCCACGCGCACCACTCTCGGCGATGACACCCGCCACAAGGCCCTTGTTCAAAGGACTCCACATGGAGTCGAGGGCACTGGCAGAGCCGGCAGACTGCCCGCCCACAGTAATTTGACTGGAATTTCCACCAAAGTTGGCGATGTTCTCGTGGACCCAACGCAGCGCAGCCTGCTGATCAAGAATGCCGTAATTGCCGGAGCTGTTGTGGCCCGACTCGGCGGAAAGCTCAGGATGAGCAAGGTAACCAAACGCGCCCAGACGGTAGTTGATGGTCACAACAATGATGTCTTTGGCCGCGAGACCGGTGCCATCGTAGGTCAGCACATCTCCCGAGCCTCCTTCGAACCGACCGCCGTAGATCCAGAAGTACACAGGTAGATTCTTAGATGTGATGTCCGAGGTGTCGTTGTAGTTGGGTGTCCAGATATTCAGGTATAGACAGTCCTCGCTCGTAGTAGTCTTGCCACTGCTGAAGATACCCGCACTGCTGATAGTCTGGGCACACTGAGGGCCAAACTCAGTCGCATTGAGAACACCACTCCACGAGGTGGCAGGTCGAGGAGCCTTCCAGCGGTTGTCTCCTGTGGGAGCAGCAGCAAAAGGAATTCCTTTATAGACAACAGCCACATCACCGCCACGAAAAGGTGAGTATTGACCCTGGACATCACCCAGGGTAGTATTGATGACTGGCAATTGCGAGGTGGAAGATCGTGCCAGGGGACCAGCGAACACTGCCAGTGGCGCAACGGCTGCCAGACCGGCCAGGGTGGAGATAAAGTGCATAAGGAAAGATTTGAGCCCACGTACTGCCACTGAGAAGAGGATAAATGAGGACGAGATTGGTTGTTGGACTAGAGGATGTCTGGGTACAACCCTCCTTATATACCTTCAAGCTCAAGTCGCAAGCAAGCTTGTCCCGCGGATTTGTCTCGCAACTCGGTACGGAGGATCGTCCGGCGTCGTCATCGTTTCAGGTAGCTAGTTTAACCATTGGAAGTGCCTTCGTGCAGCTGCACTATAGATTTCTCAACAAGAAAGCTGAATGATGTGGGCCGCAACCACCGGGAGGATCCGCAGGCCGCAGCCAAGATTTAAATCCTATCCTTCATGTGTGCTTACAGATTCTGCTTGCAGGATTACCACCATCTGGACTCGAGCCAGGAAGTCTGCAGAAGCAGGAACCCGCCTATAGTCGGGTCGGCTTTAAAGTTGCAGATCACAGGTTCGGATGTTGCGATAGGGCCGAGATCTCGGGCCCGACCCCGAGCGTCAACGTCTGATCTTTCCCTAGTCACGGCGCGTGATCTAAAGCAAGTGTCTCGGGGATTAGGATTAGGCGGCCGTAATTGCTCGATATGTAATGGTCGGTCTTCGGAAGTTCGGATCTCCGAGACTCGATACCAAATGCGAGTATATTGAACTGAATCTCATATTACTCTGCCTTTCGGGTTCAAGGTGTTTCATAGTCGTCTAGTTGGTATAATGCGGGAACAAAACACGATGCTTATATACAGGAATCTAGCTTGTCGATGTGGTGAATGGAAATTGTGCCGAAATCGTACTTCATTGAACGCCAACAGGTCGTGCTCCCGAGAGATTGACCACTCTCCCTCCGCCAGCCGTAGGAATTGCTGCCGCAGCTGGAGGCTGAACCCAGCCTGGAACGTTATCATCTTCACTTTCTCGAGCGTAAATTGTCTGCCACACGTTGGGAAACCCGGTAGGTACGGCCCCACGAAGGCGTGCGCCCGGGATGGCCAAACGGGGATTCTTGTGGGTCAGGTAACCGCGCATCAGACCTTGAATCAGGAGGGAAGCGAGAATTGACTCAATCTCTCGCATCATCAATGTAGGCTTCCCCTCTTCTGGCTCGAGATCAGGGCGGCTGGCGTAGGGGTCAAGCTCAAACTGCTTGTAATCTGCTGATGGCTGGCCATCAACCAGGTTCCCTGCCGGGTTGGCTTGCCATTGCCCTTGAGCATCGAAGTACCCATCAGGCGCCAGGTAATCAGCATATTTGGCTATTAGGCTGGGTCCGGGCATGGCTTCTTGCGCATCAAGGTCGTTTACACCTTCAAAGTCCCAATCGAGTGGTTTGTAAACTATCTGGGAACCAACACGATTGTTTCCAGCCTGTGCATCAAGCTCGGGTCGCGAGGCGAAGAAACCATAAGCCTGCTGAGCTGGGACCGTGTGCTGAGATTGTATCCACTGGATAGCGACCTCAACTTTGCTAAGATATAAGAATGGTGGCGGTCCGCGACTCTGGCCCTGAGGGTCACCGTGAAAACCACCATGGATGAAAACTTTACGAGCAAGCGACCTCCACACAAGAATCTCACATCTATTGCGCAGCGGAAGAAGAATCCCCTTACGCGCAAACCACTCTGTTTCGGGTGAACCAACAGCCAGGTGCTCCCGGAAGGCGATATAGTCGCCACGAGCGATCAATCGGCAAATCGGAATGAATTTATCTGCCAGTCCCTCGGCTTCCGGGCGTTGTAGTAGTTGTAGGGTGGGAAACCGGCCCAAGATGATATTGCACGGGATCAGGTAAGTGAGGATGGCTCGCTTCTGGCTTAACGCTTGGTGATGGCATTGGTCGTACGAGGCCTGTAGGGCAATCTGTGCAGGATAGAAGAGATTGTTGGCGAAAAGATAGCGCCCGAGGTAGTATAGATAGGTCACCCTCTGGGAGGCCGGGAAGTATTTGAGGGGCGGGGATTGTGCGCTAATACTCGCGAACATTTGCTCCGCATTTCGAAGTTTGCCGCACTGTTGTATGGTCATGGTTAGAGCACTAGATGCCGAGTTCACAGTTTGGTATTACCTGGAAGAGTAGCTTTAGGCAAAGGTTGGCCATCAAGTAGATACCAATGCGCTTGCCTTCGGGCTTTCCATGGATCCCTGGCGTACCACTTCGGTCCGTAAGGCACTTGATGAAGGCCTCCCGAACCACGTTTGCCGATTTCTCCACCAGTGTCACCTTCTCCACAGCTTCATCCTGGTTTGAACGGCCGTCGAGTCGGAGTAGGTGTGCAATCAGTTCGGGACGACGGTCGAGGCCCATGGCCAGCTTCGCGAGGACTTTCGAGAGGTACAGAACAGTCGGTAGGACAATAACGCCCATTTGGCTATCACCCAATGCAAGAACACATTGACTTTATGCAGTTGGTCAGTGTCCGCGAATGTGATTTGGAGAAAAATGCAATGCATACTTGACAAGTCCTTTGAGAAGGTCATATGTCTCGAGCAGATTATCGACATTCACGTCTCGTAGGAACGTGCAGTAAAGTTTCATGAAAGTTGCAAAAGCGGTCCAGGAGCTACCCTTGGACTTTGGAACCAATCCTTCACATCGTCGCAATAAATCTGTTTCCCGTGGACCAGAAGGATGGTGTTGCCGTAACTCGTTGGTCATCTGGCGATAGACATCGGGGAGAGGAGGCTCAATCTGCAGAAAGTCCTGTAGCTTGGCTCCATCGCGGGATTTGACGATATCTGCGACGCTGGCTAAGAAGCGATCCAGGGTTGGTGTGGCCATTTTGTCCGTAGTGGAAGGAGTGGGAAGCGAGGCAGCCCAAGATCGCGGATTCGCTGTCGGCGCGATGGTCATCGATGTCGTGCGAAGCTGTTGCAGAAGGCAATTCAACGAATGTCACACATGATGCGACGGCGAAGAGAATGCACGAGACCCTGGTCTAGGGTCTGGAAGGTAGAAGCCGGCACGCAGCTTGGATGAATTGTAGCAACAACGGAGGTCTGGACGGCGGCAGAATGAATGATGGGATGGATAAGCTCCCACCGCCGCAGCTTCACACTAGCCTCAATCAGGAAGTCTGTGCTGAGGCTTGGCGGCCGTCCTTCGGTCGTAGGCAACTTGCCTAGTGCCTTCAATTCTCTACTCATCTCGCACTACACTGATGACTTCACCATGGCCATTTGGTACTTCTCGAGAGCACCTGAATACTGCTGTTTAGGGACTTGGAAGGGATATAGCACGAACGATCATTCAATGCTCGGGACATTCGCAATGGTTCGCGACCGAGGCCTCGGCTATATATAGAACCACTCAGATCAGCAACTCATGTACGCCATAGCCCGTCACCATACTTGCAGTCGGAGCTTTTGTTGCAGACACCTGCATTCGGAGTGTTGTTTGAGCATAGCCGCTCTCGAGTCACTTTAATTGAGACCGGCACCGTTGAGATTACCACCGTTGGTAGGTAAATCAAGGTGGTCTACAGACGGACCGTTCAGATCGAGGTTACACAACCACGTGGGAAGCGATATGGTGTTACAAAAGACCAAGCGAATAGAGTCAAAACTTCACATACTCGATCCCATGAAATGCTCAAAGGACTCTTGGTTCTGGCATCTGACGACCTGATTCGGAGTGGACAGTCCCACCAGCCGGAGGACCCCGGGATCTTACGCGCAAACATGAATGAAGGGACAGATAACCGAAGAAGAACAAGGCCAGCTCTCTCGGTTGGTCCTGCGGGAATTATGCAATCGCAGTCATTAGTGCATGGCTCTTTCATCCGGAGTGTGGGTGGTTCCCGCATTCACATGCTTCGCACGATGGCCGATCCACAACTACGTCATGCTTTGAACATGGCTGTTTCAAGCCCCCATCATCATCGTTTTCCCTTCTGAGTCCCATTGAAAAGGTTCCTGCTCCCCCAGGGTTCTCTCTCAGTCCCGATCTATTAAAATCGAGAAATCTATTCGAGTCTTACCTTATCAGCTACTTTTGAGTGGCATCCAACCCCCCTCTCTCCCATTGCCTCCGAACAACTGCCTATCATGGCGGAAAAAAACCAGTCGGGACTCTCCATATCGGCTTTTCTGAAGCATCCATTCCTCCAGACATGGACTGTCTTTTACATGCTCTTTCAACACCTGATCACTTGGATCTTTGCCCCCAATCCTCCCAAGCCAACGGCTGATACAGATGGTCTCCCGAAGAAGAGAATTGCTGTGATTGGCGCCGGTCTGACCGGAGTTTCAGCGGCAGCACACTGCGTTGGTCATGGGTTCGATGTCGAAATCTTCGAAGCGAGATCGAAGGACAAGGGTCTTGGAGGTATCTGGAGTGTAAGATTCCTCGCACTCCTGCGCAATCGAACGAGCTAACCCAACCCGCCAGCGTGTCAACTCGACATCCTCTCTGCAAATCCACAGCCTTATGTACCGGTTCCACCCGTCCGTCAAGTACGACGCCGCCTACCCAACACAAGCAGAGATCAAAGAACAGATCGCAAACCTGTGGAAGCGCTACGACCTGCAGAAGCACACGACCTTCAACACCCCTATCACCTCGGTCAAGCAGACCAAGAACGGCAGATGGATTATCAACAACGACGAGTCCAAGTATGGTCGCTTCGACGGCATCATTGCCTCCGTCGGAGTGTGCGGTGACCCGAAGATGCCCCCCCTCCCGGACCAAGAGAAGTTCAAGGGCCAAGTCTACCACTCCTCCGAGCTCGACGGCAAGTCTGTGGAAGGCAAGAAAGTGCTCATCATCGGCGGCGGTGCCAGTGCCATTGAAGCGCTGGAATTTGCCGTCAAGAACCACGCCGCCGAGATCGACGTGCTCTCCCGCTCCGACAAATGGATCATCCCGCGCAACGTGTTCGTCCAGTCCCTGCTGGCGATGAACATCCTCGGCCAGGAGACCTCCTTCTCGTGGATCCCGGAATCGCTGCTCCGCAAGTTCTTCTACCGCGACCTGTCCGACATCGCCCCCTCGGGCGGTCTGTTCACCGGCACCCCGATGGCCAACTCGGAGCTTTTCGAGCAGATCCGCCAGGGCAAGGCGCGCTGGCTGCGCGGCGACATCGTTTCGGCCGAGGCCGACGGGATCCGATTCAACTTCCGCAGCCGCGGCGTGCCCAAGGGCGGCCCGGGCCACGAGTCCCTCGTGCCGGGCGATGTAGTGATCATGGCGACGGGCTTTAAGCGGCCTTCGCTCTCGTTCCTGCCGGACGACGCCTTCGAGGAGCCGTACTCGCCGCCCAGCTGGTACCTCCAGACCTTCCCGCCCAAGTACCCCAGCATCTGCGCCAACAACAGCACCTACGTCAACGCGATCGGCACCGTCGGCAACATGCATATCGGCATCTACACGCGATTCCTGCTGATGTTCCTGACGGACCCGCTGTCGCGGCCGAGCGAGGGCCGCATGAAGACGTGGATCGACTTCACCCGGCTGATGAAGAAGATGTCGCCCGTCGGGGCGTTCGATTTCTTCACCTACACCGAGCTGATCTACTGGTTTGTGTTTTGTATCTTGGTGAATCCGTTCCGGTGGAAGTGGGCGCCGTTCGTCCTGTTTGGCATTGGATACATGCTTCCGCTGGAGGTGGTGAAGCAGGAGGCGGCGTTCAGAAAAGAGCTGAAGCGACAGCACTAACGTGGTTCTTGGATGTAGATACAGTTGGACACTTACATGATTGTCAGATAGTTAGCCACTGTCTCGACATATTGTACATCTAATGACCTGATGATACTTTTTTTTACTTTACTTGTATTCATAAATGAATTCATTGCTATGTGCGTCTAATCTCCACACAATGTACAGCCCCTCCTCACACAATCCAAAAATAGTCCCAACCCCCATCACAAAGCCCTCCCCCATCCCAAAACAAACCCCTCTATTCCTTCAAATAATACTCCCCCCCCCACCAAGCCCTCCAAACCCCATACAACCCCCGAACCGGCCACACCCTCCCCACCAACCCCCTCCCCCACTTCACCCACCCCACCCCCTCCCCATTTTCGGATTGCCCTAACCTCACCCTTACCTTCTCAAACAAATCCGGCAAATACACCGCGTGATACCTCTCCCTTAACCCTTGGTACCGGTCCCAATCATAGATCTCCCAGAACTCGTCTTCCGTGTAGTACGCATGCGCATACAGCCACTTCTTGCCGCCGAGGGCGTGGACCTTCCGCTCGAGACGGCGGTTATGGTCGATGAAGGCGGCCCCGCGGTACGGCGAGGGGGCCCATAGGCCGAAGTTCATGAGGTACTGGTCGTCCTCGCTGTCGTCGGCTTTGTCCGGCCGAGTACTAGGGGCTGTTTGGGTTTGGGGCCGGCGTCTTCCGGAGGTAGTCATCAGCCCGCCGCCTTCCTCGCGCACGCGCAACGGACACAGCCAGATGGGGTAGTGGCCGAAGTTCTCCGACGAGTCCAACCAGTCCAGGAAGGTGGGGGTGGCGGCGTACGGGACGGCGACGTCCTGGATCAGGTACTGGGCGGCGAGGCCGCTCTGGTGCAGGGCGTGGTACATGACGCGGGTGTGCATGAAGCCGTCGAGAAGGTAGCGGGTGAGGTGGGTGAAGGGGGTCAGGAAGTAGGAGTAGGCGTAGCGGCCGGTCCAGAAGGCGCCGCGGTCGTAGCGGAAGAGGTAGTCTTGGAGGGGGATGTGGTCTTTCGGCGGCGGGGTTTCTGGATCTGGAGAGGAGGAGCGCGGGGCGCGAGATTGGGCGTGGAGGTAGAACCATGGGTCGTGGGGGCGGGTGAATTGCTGGATACTTGGTGGGGATGAGGCCGTGGGGAAGGTGTCGGTCAGCTTGCCGGCGCAGATGACGATGTGGTCTTTGGCGTAGACGATCCCGTCCAGGTACTCGACTGTCGGGTCGGCGGTGGCGGCGCGGATGGTGTCCAGGGCCTCGGGCATGCTGGTGGTGGAGAGGTAGGTGAGCTCGACGAAGGGCAGCGCCGGCCGGCATTGGATCTCCAGCATCGTGACGACGCCCAGCGTGCCGAAGGCGGAGGCGGCGCCCCAGAAGAGATCGGCGGTCGGGCCGGTGCGTGACGCAGACCGGATCTCCCCGTTCGGGATCACGATCTCGATCTGCAGGACGGTGGCGTCGAAGAAGCCGTGGCGGAACGAGCTGCTCTCGCCGGATGTGCCGGAGAAGCCGCCGCCCGCCGTGATGCCGGGGAATTCCATCACCACTAGCGGCACGAGGCCGTGCTCGAGGGTGGCGGCCACCAGGGCGTCCATCGGCACGTTGGGCTCGACAGTCACGGTCTGGGTGAGTTCGTTGACGTGCAGGACATGGTTGAGGTCGGCGGTGCTGATGGTGTTGTGCGCGTGGTGCTGCGATTGGCGCGTGGAGTTGGTCGAGCCATGATAGATGCGGAAGGGCTGCTGACGAGCGTGGAATCGCTTGACTTGAGCGGCCAGCGTGTCTACGGCCGTTTTGTGAGCTTCCATTGCGAGGTTGTTGAAGGTGGTCAAAATCATGGAGGATAATGGACGATATGCGGAGAGTGCGGAGGAAGCGGAGGCAGCGGAGATAAGATGCGATGATACGTTCATGGTTGCCTGATCGACAATGATATCATCCACTCATGCACTCATGCACTACTAAATCTTGGCTTCTTCTGCACCTAATGACTCAATTGAGACTGTTCGCATAATGAGCATAAGTATTGCTACCTCCTCTCCACTGGTAGAGCCATGCCGCCATTTACAATCGGATTGCTGATTATCTGTTCTCTATAGACAACTGTATGAAACATGCTTTATGGAAGCCAGGCACCGGGTTATGCAGAGTCTGAAAGATATTTTCACCTGTGGAGAGCCCTTAGCTCGAATCGCACTCTCGAGTGCTGATACTTCTCTCTGGCATCCTGACTGAGTGTGTGCTCATGGATGAACAACGACTTATCCACTGTGTGTGGATCAAGTCGACCTTCTTCGACCACCATTTTAGCCCTACACCCTTGTACAAGAAACGGAGCTTCTTGTGCGCAGTCCTTGGCTGGAACTTCCCTTCCTTCGTGCGTGCGAAGGTCCTTGAGATCTGCAGGAAAATAAAAAGTTCGAGCCTTACACCAAAGATTTTGATCCCTTTTCAACTCTCAGGTCGCAGCCTCTCTTCGCTGCACCAAATGACAGGTGAGATGTCCATCCGACGGAAATATTGTTTCTTTCTGCTGCAGCCACCAAGAGAGCAGGTATGCATAACAACGGAGTTAAGATAATCATAGAGTACATTAGCCATGGCATTTTGGCTGGAGTAGGATGACTGTAGGTTTCGGTGATAAATGGTTTGGATGTTGACCCGCGTCCAACGGATAGATTGTTGCAATTGTAACTTCCAGCATGTGGTAGATTCCTTTTGTGCAGCTCCTGTGGCTGAATGCGATGAGTGTTCTCAACATAAGCAGAGACTTGAAGAATATAAGCATTGAGTACCCAAGTCTCAAGACAAGGATTAGAGATGCTGTAGTGTTCAGCAGGAGCTGAAAAGGCATAAGAAAACGAGGAGGATCTTATTACTCTCAGGCACCGCCGGATGTTAGATGCATGGCCGAAGACCAGCAACGATATGCATGCAGGCAAGTACTATCGGAAATGGATAGACAAATCATAAAAGAGGAAAGTCTGGATAATAATAAAGAGTAGAGAAAGTGAATTGTAGGGATCTCGTTTGCAGCAGCCTCTTTTAGCCGGAGCCAGGCTAGTAAGGACTCACGGTTACTTGCTCAGAGCTATTAGTGGTAGTAGCAGTAGAAGTATCAGAGTAGGTAAGTAGTATCAGTTTAGTATACTTCTGAGATGCTGTTAAAGGGCTTTGATTGGGTTCCGGTCCAGGACTGTGGCGCAAGGTTCTTGTTGATAATATATTGTAATTCTTTGGTAAGCTGATGCAGCGAGAGCTGAGCCATGTGCCATCGAGCATTATTTTTTCGATTCTTTTCAACCGGACCATCCCTACCCTCGAGTGGCAAGATTGCCCGCCCAATGTTGCACGTCATGGAGGCCGGCCCACAGGTGGTCAACAGCGATTTCATAATAGAGCTGAGCATTCAGGTCCGATGTAAGTAACTGAGCCTTCGAACTATTGATTAATTAGATGTGATGGCACCCAATCATGGTGTTTCAAGTACTTGACAAGTAGTTACCACCTTCTGCAACCCGAGCCCCCATGATTCTTGTGAGAAGTACATAGGCCATAGATCTGGCCCTATGGTGGGTATATGGCTCTCGCTTCACGGCCTGATCATCGCAGTGGGGAAAGTATTGTTTGAGGACATTGGGTCAGAAGTGGTCCACTGCTTGCTTACTGCGCACCATGCAGACAGTTCACATACACATGCAATCACCTCCAACCTGGGGTATTGAAGTCTCACCAACTGCGTCCTGGATGCAACGTCTGATATTCGTCGCGAAAAGGCCGGATTTTCTAGAGAAAACTTGATCTGGGAGATGAGGAGTTACACTGTGCGGCTTTAATCCTTGCCTACCCATGTGGGAAGCCGGAGCGTTTGCGAACTCGCCCACAATGATGAGGGCTGGATCGGATCGAGTCGTCGCGCAGTGGTAAGTATCCGTATGTCTAGAGGATAGTTCATTGGTCCTATCTCAGGCGGAGAAATGAGACCAGCCAGAAAGGCAACGAAACACGTTTTGGAAAGCATACGAACTATGTCGTGAGCGATCCGGTAACAGCTAATCGTGTAAATATCTGCACTTGACGGGGGATAAAATCCAATCCGAGCTCTCCGTGACAAATTATCATATTTGACCACTGCCCACTATCACGTTCTGAGGCATGCCTGGGCTGTGCTCTCCCCCGAGGCTTTCCCGAACAGCTCGATCTTATCAAGTGTCAATAGATCACTGCACCCAGCGAAGTCAAACACTCATTGCAGCCTCAGCAGTCACTTCTCAGATCGGCTACGGCAGAGCTCCGGCAATAGAACAAAATTATTGTCTTGACTCAATTCGTTTGCAAGGATGAGAGAAATGACCGATATGTGCCATCTCGAGGAAGTCATGGTCAATATTTGATCTGAACAAGAGAATCACCAAAGCAAGCGCCAGGGACGCTGTGGATGAATTGCTTGCTGGTGTCCATTTTTCGTTTCGATCCATCGTTCTCGCTGGCTTGGGGCGTGGTGGTCGTTGGGCCGGCTCGCTGTAGGTATTCATGGCTTGTAAATCGAGCCCCGAGATTCTACCTATTTTCAAGAGTGTACACAGTCTACAGTCCTAAGTTCTAGGATAAGTGCGATCGTAGTAGAAGCCGAGAAGATTGCAATGATAGCAATGTGTCGCTCTCAAGCCGTCCTCGACACCTTGTTTTTTCCATCTTTACCTTTCATGGAAGGACGGCGTTCTGAGCAAGGCGGACTTTCCCTCAGATTGCAGCACATCTGCAGCCCTCGCACAGACCGTGCGCTTCGCCATCGTTGCCAAGATTCTCCGTCAGGGCATCGATATAGTCCTTTTATGACCTTCTTGTTGTTGTTGTCATCAAAACCTCGTTCTCTTTTAACTTTGTCTATGCCGGTCTTCATCAACCAGGATAGTCAGAATCAACAAAGGTAATGACCACTTCCTCAACATGTGAACGCCACAACCGTTGGAGAGGGCAGTTATCAATGTGATGACTGACATACTGCCGACACCGACAGTAACGCCAGAAAGTTTAGGGCACTGGTATGAAGATCGATCTAGTTCCGTCCAACAATAGACTCTGGTGCACTTGATGGTTCTAGGTCAGGTAGTCTCATAAGAGAAATCCCGAGCATGTAAGGCTTTTACCTCCGTATCTTGGTCCTCTTGGTTCTCTTTAAAGTGTGCAATAATAGCTGGACGAGTTTATCACCGCAAGAAAGAAGGCGAGAGCTATCCCTACTGTTGTTAGTTGGCAGTAAATGTCGTGTTTCCTTGAAGACTCACAACCTCACACCCACCGTGTCGACATCATTTCAGCCGTCCACGAAGGTTTTTGGAATTCGAATGAACTCGAACTGCTGAGGGTTGACTATCTGAGCCTATCTAGACCTTGGCGTTTCTGATTCTGGCAGTCTGTCACGCCAAGCTGCTCTGGCGCTGTTCGATTTCCCACGGCCCAAGACGCTCGCTCTGGAGACAGGCCGCGTAGATTGCAGGGGCGTCGGCTCAATCCGGCCATGGGGTACTGTACGCATGGCGGAAAGGTTAATGAGTAAGCTACGCGGTGGCCTTGAACTTATTTGTTCGCCCTTCTCAGGTCCTGAAGACACAGGCGTGCTGATACCACCATGAATATATCCAGTCCTCTCTCGCGGGCTATAGGTTGGTGAACTTCACATACCCAGACCGCGCAGCATTCAAGGCAGTGAATCAGCACAGAGATGCAATGGTGGTAGGATTGCTGTGTGTACCGGATCTGGTGCTCAGGTTGATGAGCTGAAGATATCGTGATTCTATCATATCATAATAATCTATAATCAATGCCTCAGTGCACTGAGATTTCAAAGTCTTCAAGGTCACTGCACTCTTCGTCTGCGACATCTTCCGCATAACTCTTCGAGTAGGTTTAGAATCTGCGTGAAGTACGCCTTAGTACCCACTTCGTTGCCTCCAAAGCACGTTCCCCACACTTCGCCCTTGCTGCCATATACCAGTGTTTCAGAATCGCCCGTGTCGACCATACCGTAAGCGATGCTTGAGTCAATGATGATCTTACGAGAAGCGAACCTGGTTGAGAGACCACTGCATCTGCACTAGATCATATAGACCGGCGTTCATTAAACTGAGTGATTGATGCGACCTTGGAATACGGTATGATCAGATGACGACGTTGTTAGGGACAATTGACCTTGACAAGAAAAGCACAAAGGCAGCGAGGGAGGAGTTAAACTCGCTAGTTGTCTACTGTAAAGCGCTTTCATCAAGTTCTCCGGGGCAAGGCCGATATCTCCCAGAGTAGATGCGAGCCTTATCCGGATCCAGGCAACAGTTCTCATATCTGGCGGCACCACATATTCGGTCCACCTTCTCCAACCCAAGCAGCACCGTGACATCAATTGGCATTGTGTTTGGCGATTCCACATGTCTGGATTGATCTCGTCTTTCGTTTATATGAGTGGTGCAGCGTATCGCATGTATAGGATAGGCTGGGTGTCGCGGACGCGTAATGGCAACCGCAAGTTCTCGCTGAGCACCGCGGAGTGATATTCCGGGAGGACAAACCAAGTGATACACAGGGTTACTGATGCGTAACGAATTTGCGCGTGTGATGATTGTGCGGATTGGCCTGCCACATTAACAATGCGGTGGACATGGGCCGCCTCGCCTCCGCATAGAATATACTATCTTCATAGTTGGGGTAAAAAGTAAGTCATAGAGTCTGAATACGAAAATGTGTCCGAACAGGACCATGTGGGCTCTGATCCTGCCCTTAGTATCGAAATCACCGGGGTAGCGCTTGTTGAACCCCCCGAGGTCAGTGGAAAGACCTGTTTAGAGAAATAGAATATAGCAACTGCAATGGCCAGAAAGTGTTGGCAATACTATGAAGTCGATAGTGCAGGGGGTCCAAGAAAGTGCCGGGAAGTGATCTGGCAAGTATCATGACCTTTTCATCTCTGCTCAATTTTCTCATCACCGAACCGCAAAGATGAGCGCACGCGCGGAGAATTTGGGCCGAGTGCACTCCTGATAGCAAGTCTTGTTGCGAACAGATAATTGCGCACCAAGCTTGTATGCTTCATACACGTGAAAGACGTAAGAAGACGATTTGAGACGAATGTGGCATATGTTAGATGTACGCGTAGGTTCCGATCTCCCAACTAGTAGACATCGCAGCACGGTGATAACCACATGATTCGCCTTTCTGATTTTCCGGTAGCTTGCAGATGATGTCAGGTTCTTTTTCTTCAAGTTTTTGATCGCTTCATGAGGCGTAACCATACGCCCCCGAGAGATTTTGATCTCGATTAGAGATGGTTATAGTGGTAAACCTCATTTGATTACGGCGTGGTGCTGAATGTCTACTTTTCGCCGGCCAGATTCAGATTTTCGATGATGGTGTTGGCAGTGGTGGTGGTGCTGCTGCATATGCTGTGTGTCCACGAAAAGGCTGGGAGATAATAACGCCCTGTTAAAAGGCTCAAAGCCGCTGAAGATGGTAAAGCCTTCTTAAGACTTTCGACATTGGGGCCATGGAAAGCTCTGAGGTGAAATTACGTTCTCGAGTATAGTCACCATCCAAGTTGTATCCTCAAGGATTGTCTTGTCGTCCACTGATTTCCCAAACTGAGCAACGTGTTGAAGATTTGGTCGCCGA